GCACATGACTTACTTTACCATCAACCCTCCTAGCAGAAATCGAGACAAGCACTACAGGAATGAAGTCGGAAGAACCTATTGACCACCTTAGCGCAAAGCCAAGCAAGCGGTTTCAGCTGTTCTTGGTGAAATAGTGCCTAATGATCTAGATCTTCTCTGGGAATCTATTATGTCCTCAAAACAAAATGAAACTGGAAATCACACTTTTTTTTAGTGGTTTGGATAAAGAATTGATGTACACGCTGGCAAACTGCTACAAAAATGCAAACGGAAGGGATTCTCGCAGGAAGATATTGTCCATAATGGCTGATAAGGTTAGCTTGGCAACAATTCAACAGTGAATCCCAGGCCTGACAAGTTATCGGTTTAAGGTCGCCAGGCAGCATGATGCAGTCCACGGCAGTGGAAAACTGGTGCCTACCAATGCACAAACGAAGTTATTATTCACCTGAAGCAAAATTAGCGCATTTCCTAGACTCTATCACAAGCTCCCATGTAATTCAAGATCTTCCATTCGGAGCCAAGATAATAACATTGTCAACTAACGAGGTCATCCAAGTTCCAAATGTGGTACGGAACATGATACCTGAACGAATCGTTTGCCAGTACCAAAAATATTCTGCCGAGCATGATTTCACACCCATGAGTCGCAGTACACTGCTAAGAATTCTGCATGTTTGTTCCGCTTCGACTCGCAAGTCATTGCAAGGGTTAGATTACGTAAGCTGTTCTGGTGCGCAGGCATTTGAAGATCTTGTGAACGTTGTCCACCAGCTCGGGGAAAACGGAATGGGTCTTACATGGGCAAAAACGCAAAAGGAAGCTTTAAAGGAGGCAAAGTGGTACCTCAAGACTGATTTCAAGGTAAAATAAGAAAGTGAAAAAGGGAAATAATTTTGTTGCGCGCCTGGCGTAGGTGTATTATGAATGTTACTCGACTGCCTACTACATGAGTGCTCTCTAATTGGTTACTGCTTGCGTCTAGATAGGTGAATAAGGGTGGATTCCCACTGTCGCGTAAATTTCACGTGCATACACACGTAGCTTTTAGGCGCTTAATTTAAATAGAGGCAATGTTTGAAAGGTCGCACGTAAACGTAAAAGTTGAGCGAGGTTTAGCTTTTACGTTTACTCGTGGCATTCCATACGTTCTTCTATTTTATTCACCCCCTTACCCCTATTTAGACCGGAAAAGGTTTGAAGCCCCCTTTGCTTAAAAGTTGATTTTAGTTAGATTATTTATTTATTTATTTTTTTTAATATTTAATTTTAACATTGTAACCCTAATTTTAGTAATTTTACTGGTTTTAATTTAGTTTTTAATAATATTGTAATGCCTTTTGTATTTTTATAGAAAAGCACAATATAAGTATTAAATATTATAAATATTATTATTAATTTCTAAACCACTCAAGCTTTGAGCACCAAACCCAGCGACTTTTCCTAAAAATCATCTGGGGACATTTTAAAGTCGTCGTGACTTGTACGTCAGCATTTTCGTTACCATGGCAACCGAGTTTTGAGAGCCATATTTTCCAAAACTTGCTGTTTTACTCATTCAATTATACCCTTACACTGTTCTCATACGCCGTCAAGAAATGCATCGTTAATATTGTGATTCCGTGAATGATCGACTCCCCAATATCGCGTTTAGTCACGAAACAAAGAGTTTAGCGTTTCAAAATGGCCAAAACTCACCCAGTTTGGCTTTTCTATCTCACTCTTTAAGTAGAAACGCAACTTTGCAACTGTAAAACCTACAAGGATTAAGAAAAATGAGTATTTGGGGATCAAATATCCACTTTCATGGATTTCGAAACTGGAAGTGTTTACACAATTACCGCCGACCCATCATGAAAATTCCTTAACTTCGATACCGCCTTATAGACTGAGATTTCCTTCAATAACCCAAGCTAATTCCCAGGTATGTTTTAGATGTATGTTTAAATGTGGGATTTAACTAGAATGAAGTCAATTCGGAGTTATACCACATGTGCAATATTGCCGTCGAAAATCAATAACAAAACGGAGTTTTTGTTATCCATAAAAACCTATTCCTCATTTTTTAATAATTTCTGCTCGGTGAGTGTCGCTTTTGCTCTAAAAGAATCTTCTAGTAAAAGAATAACAGTGATTTTTTTGAAATAAATTGTCCAAATTTCTCCGTGCGACTTTGATCGCGAACGAGAGGCAAGTTGATGTATGCAAATTCCACGTAAATGATTAGCCAATTTTGTGACTCCAACCACAAAAACCGATGTTCTAATTTTTCCAAAAAATAAAAAGCTTTTGGCGGGAACAATCAACATCAGGTATCTTATCTACCTAAAAGCTGCTTATGGACAAAAAACGAAAGAAAGCGATTTTTCAACTCTTGCCACGAAATTAAGATTTTGGTCGATATTTCCTGACCGTCGCTCTTAATGTCTAGAGAAAGGTCGTTTTTGAACCTTTTCCGCGATAGTCGAACACTGCTAGATTCAATAAAGAGACAAACTTGTGACACTAATTTATTTTGCATTATCTGCAGATCGCCGAGGGATTTAAGACCCGGAGGGACTCTAGACGTCTTCATAATTGTTGAGGTGTTATTTTGGATCCCTCAACAGTTAATAATCGTTAAAATTAGAAAATAATATTGAGTTCGATGTAATAGTCTCCACTTTTGTTAAGAAACGGGCGGCCCAAGCTCCAGCTGTGAGATGATCATCTTGCACAGTCATAGCGGCCGGGAATTATAAGAGTTTGTATGAGAATATTTACGACCGCTCTAAGGAATAAAACAATACGTCAAATTCTCAATAAAAATACTTCACTTTACTTCCACAGCGTATCACTTGTTATCTGACCGCTTTCTTTGATGAAAAGAACCCATTTTAGCGAGTTGTCCATTTCGAGGTTTTCAACGTACATAAGAAAAGCCCTTACAACGTTCAAATTTTTTCACTTTCTAGAGGCGCTTGAGGATTCTAAATGAAGATAAAATATTTCCAATAGAAATTTGTATTTTTCAAAGAGAAATATGGAAAAATATCAGACTGCTGGAAGTTTAGTTATTCGAAGACCGTGTCCAGTGAAAATTTTGTTAGTGTCACGCTTGGATCTCTTCGCACTCTTTGTACAAGGTCAGCGAAACGGACAACGTTGGAATTTTTTCACTTTGTAGAAGTGCTTGAGGATTGTAAATGAAGGTAGAATATTTTCCAACAAAAAAATTGGTATATTTCAGAGAGAAATATGGAGTTAACTGAGGACCGTGTCAGCCTTGTCATTGAAAAGTTTTTAAGTGTCAAGCGTTTGCATGGCTGAGTACTCTGTATACAGGGTTAGCGAAAAACATCAAGTTCGAAATTTTAGGCTGCCTGGAAGCGCTTGAGGATTGTAAATAAAGGTAGAACATTTTGGTATAAATATTTTTTGGATTTCGAAGAGAAATATGGAAAAATATCGGACTACCGGACGTTTAATTATTTTAAGTTTAGTCACTTCATTGCAGGAACGTCAGCGACACTGACAGTTTGCGTTACAATTCTTATTTGCTGCTTTGCATGGACAACAACCTCGACCACTCTTTCGAGCGCAAACTCCTCTCCACGGGCAGGAAACTTCAACTGACCCTTGGTCCTATTTAACAAGGATGGCAAACTTCAATTTAAAAAAATTGATGAATGGATGAAAACGTGGTGGATCGACATTTTCACCTTCATCGAAATACCCGCAAGGATTTTCGTGTTCCTCTTTAGCAACAACCGATCCATACGTGTTTACTGCCTCGGAATCTACAAAATCAATGGATTCATCTGATTCCATGCCAGATTAAAACGTATAGAACTGTTTTAAACAGAATTATTTTGTCAAGGTCTTCAAATTCACCGGAGAGAACGCAGAAGGTAATTTGAGACAACTTGACAAGGTAAAAATAACTGACCAATCAGAGGCGCTATTTAATCAAAAGCGGTGTTTCGGAACAAAAACAAACGACCGCGTTGCATCAAGGTTGGAAATGAGCCTTTGAGTGCAAGGTTTAACTCTTAGGTATAAGCCCAGGTCTGGTAGAGGCTCGGGTCGCACTAGGGCGACCCTCAAGTTGAAAAAGGGCAAACGAGAACGGCTTAAATTCCTACAGTATGTATAGAGACGTTCTTCTGCCTTCCTCCCAGAATTCACTGCGGTGCGCAGATTCTAGAACGATGGTGAGGGAGCGCTCGTGGACTATAATGAAGGTTAGGTCTTCACCGACAACACCGACGGTTTGAAACTGAGTGATTTCGAAGAACACTCTCATCATTTTGCTTTCTCAAGGATTTTTTTGTTATCGTCAATTCAAATCGACGACTGCAAGGTGAAATAATGCGTTGTGTAAAACAGGTTTGTGAAGTGAATATTTTCGATAGTTTACACTTTGTTGAAATGAAAAGAAAACATTCATTATTACTGCAGGCACTGCTACTGTGATCAATGAATTTAACACAGTTATCATCCTGGCTAATGAGTCTTGGTTAAATTCCAATATAAAGAGTAATGAAAACTTCCTGGATGGATACAAGATCTTTGAAGTTGAATAAAGATTCTGGGCCAGATTTTCATGTTATGAAATGATCCAAAGAACTAAGCGTATTTTTACTTATCCATGAAATCACAAGTACAATACAACAAAATAAATCCAACATGGTGAATATCCTGCATTGCAGGATTGCTAGTCAGGAAAACTCATGATTGTATCTATGAAGTTGGCGCGAGTTGTCAAATAATATTATAACATAGCTAGTAAATTTGTGTCATCAAATTCAATTGCCGAAGCGTGCTTCATATTCCTATTGTGCACGCTCATGATGTCAGCAAACAAATCCCTCGAGAAAAAAATTTTCCATGGGGTTGAAAATGTTATAAAACAATTGGTTCATATGTCAGCTGTGCGTTCATTGAGATATGAAGCACTTGGGAAATTTGGAAAGCACTCAAGAAGCTAGAGTTGCTCTCAGCTACGCCTCGAGCAACTCTTATGCATCTTTCATGCTCTCCAAACTTCCCGCATGCTTCATATCTCGATGAACACATGCTGACGTATGAACCAATTGTTAATTGAATTCACATGTAGATGTAGAATGTAGATTATGTTTGGTTAGGATTATACCAGTGCTCCCCCTCAACCAATCAGTTACAAAGCTAGTGCAATCACAACTTGGCTTCTCATAATTTCCTGTGCTTTTGGCAGTCAGCTTCTTTTCATTTTTGATTTCTATACCTTGTATTATTTAACTTTGTTCTGATATAATTGTTTTGATTGGTTTGGTTTTGGTTTTTATACATGGGCTTCAGCATAATTTAACCACTTTTATTACTTTAAATTCAGTGCAGATCATGGTCACATGGAAAAGCCAGACTTTGTGTATTTCTTCTACTGAGTACTACAGTTCTCTCGTCACTTTTCATCTACCTGAGATTTTCAACTTCTGAAGGTAAAATTTGTACCTGGACCCTTAACAATCATCATGGATGCATCCAGGAAAGTGTGCTTGAATTGTATTCTACTAATCAAATTCCATTTTGCCACATTACACTTTGCTCCATCATGTGCCATTTCCTTGTAAACAACCTGTATTTTATCACATATTCTAACTGCATTATCTGACACCACTGAAAAAAATTCACATGGAACTTAATGCTACTGATAGTTAATTTTCTATGCAATTCTCCTGCATTTTGACTTTTGCTACAAATAAAACTTGCTTTTGGCTACCTTGGACATAACCCAATCAGCGTTAATTCCTTGTATACAACCTGCATTTTGACACTTATTTCACACACACACGGCACAGTCCAGATAGGCAACAACTAATTCAGTAGCCTTCTTGAAATATTATCCTTTTCCCTTACTCAATGTATCTTCATTATTCAAGATCGCAATATATCTTTTATTTGGGTCTATTGAAGGTACAACAGAGTTTCAGTTTGCTTTTCATTGTAAAATTATGTGGAATTGTATTTTGAGGTGATTAACAGAAGATATAATTTTGTTTTCTCACTGTCAGATGAACAGCAGTAAGCATAGTATCTTTTGCAACCATTATTTGGTCTGGTCACACAAAGTGTGTTCTCTCTCCAACGGGGAATAGAGGGTGTTGTATGACAAGACCAAACAACAGCTGCAAAGGAGACTACAGTAAGCATAGCATCAATGCATTTCATTTTTGCTCAAAAATATTTAGACAATGGAGACAATAGACCACAAAAATCTGTGAGAGTTCAGATAAATTAGGTGTTTCTTTTGTCTTTCTCTAAAGGTGAAGTAATGTGATATTTTTGTTCTTTTGAAAGTTATGCTCTTTGCTGTTACTTAAATGAAAACATTTGGTACACAAAGTGTCCCATCTCAACCCACCCAACCAAAAAAATTAACTCTTGCATGCTATGCTTACCTATGTCTTAATGTTGATATTAATTTTCGTAGTTATACATGAATGAAAAAGTATCAATTGTGCAAAAACCAAAACTGGTATTTTTTTAAATGGATTTTGACAGGTGACATAGAGGACACATACCCATTCAGGCAAGCAAGTGCCCAACTACATCTTATCATCCAGTTTCCAGTTTTGTACACTTCCGGTAAAGTCGAAGATCATGTCTTAAAGCGACAAGCAGAGTATATCTACAGTCTGCAAAAAAACCTGCAGAGTCCACATGTGAGTCAAAACATTACTCAGCTCACTGAATTCAAATTAATTTATAGGACTTTCAGGGGTGAGACTAAACAGAATAATTATATCTTCACTCTTCCCCCCAGCCCCATAAAACCTGGTAAAAATTAGTTTTATTTCCTTTAGGTTGCAGCAGTTCATATTCTCTGTGAAAAAGACAAAGACCCCATTTTCATAAAAGCACAGAATTTGGAACAAGATTGGAAACTAGACTTCATCATTCTTGGTCGACGCATGCACTATAAAGATGCCTTTGAATTTGCCTCAAAACATTTGATTCAAAAAAACGTAATGGTTATGAACTCTGACTGTTATGTACATAGAGGATTTGAAAAACTGGATGAAAGTATTTTGAGTAGGAAAACAATGTATGCTCTCACCAGGCATGAAAGTGAAGAAAATATTCGTCTCTGTGATGCCACAGATCTTTGTGGACCAAAGTCAAAATTTCAAGGATCTCACGATGGATTTCTGTTCAGACTTCTCACACCAGTTTCCCCTTGGTTATTGGACAAGATTGACTATCGCCCAAACATTGGAGGCATTGAGCAAGTTTTGATTTTCAACTTCAGAAAATATGGAGGCTTTAAAATAAAAAATCCTTGTAAGATCCTGCATATTGTTCATCATCACTGCAGTGGGGTGAGAAACGAGACAGAACGCGTTTTTCAAGGTCAACGTATTGATGACTATCTTGATGTTGCACAGCATAGAAAACTTGTTTTGGCAGAGTTTTCTGGTTTATAATATGTTGTTTGAGTGTCATTAAAGGAAACTCCTCTGGAGATAGTTCTAGTGTATTAGGATGGGTTTGAGTTAGAAACAAATTGCAAAATACACAAATGCATGTAAGTTTTTAAGTGTCTAAACAGCTTAGTACCTTAATATCTGTGTCATATTCTTTAGAAAAATTGCAATGTACACCTAAGCCTACACTTAGCCATGGTAAAGACACTTTAAGGCTCAATCCTTAGTTATTTACTACCTGCCAAAACTTCAAAGAGCAGAATTGCTTTCTTCTTTTAGCCTTTTTTTTTTTTTTTTTTAATCATTTTAAGTAAAATTAACATTTCATATATTTATTAAAGAAAACTCAACACAACTCTCAATTTTACTCCAACAAACTATGTGAGCAAATTTATATTTTCAGCAGAACTTCAGTTTGAATAAGTGTTACAACCTGACGAGAAAATGGATTACAGTTTGCAAAGAACATTTAAAACAAAATTGGAACAGTTGTGCAAATTTCTGCCAACAAATTTATTTTACCTTCACTCAACAATGACAATAAACTTACACTTGCAACATACAGTTTGTCAGTTACTTATTTTTTTATAGATTTCATAGTTAATAAGATACATGAAAAAAATTACCCAGTTCTGATTGGTTAAGATAAACGCAGTTTTTAGGTTATTCAATGCTGAAGAGGGTTGATTCAGTGCAAAGATGTAACAAACCAGACTGAACAATCCCTCAAACTGTTTAGCCGGACTTTGAACTTTTTTCCGTCTTAAAGATGTGATAATATCATTGTTCATTTTTTTTTTCAGAGGGCACGGTAACGAATTCTACAATCTGATTGGTTCCTTACCCGGTCAGTATTTTCCTATCTCTGCCCACGGGCAACGATAACGCCTTCGTGGGTCGCCGAGCACATCCCTTCATTCGTTGCCATTTTTCATAAATACATCTCGTTTTACCGGCTGGGCAGTATTTTTAAGCAAAGACGTCGGTCACTACCTCAAGCCGATAAATAACTTATTGATCCTCTCTTTTTTCTCTCTCAAGTCACTTTAGTTGACTGAAAAATTTTCGTTTTAGAATGACTTTTTTGTTGCCCCCGCAGGGTTTTTGGCCCCAGAGGGCCAAAAACCCAAGGAGGCACCTTAGGACTCCCCGCGGAATATAGAGGAAGACTGGAGAAGAGGGAATGTGGGTATTTTCGGTAGATCATAACCAGAAAAAATCTCGATTTGATCGCTTGCACGGCCGCAAGGTATCAACGTTTTTCCCGCAAATGGTCATGGGCTGCCAGTAAAAAGACACGCGCGCGAGGACTTTTAGGATCGGCGTCTTTGACACGAGATTTGTCCTAGTATAGAGGAAGACTGGAGAAGAGAGAATGTAGGTGTTTTCGGTTGATCGTAACCAAAAAAAATCTCGATTTGATCGCTTGCACGGCCGCAAGGTATCAACGTTTTTCCCGCAAATGGTCATAACTACACAACTGTAAACAACAAGCCCAACTCAAAAAAAAAAAAAAGAAAATGGTACTGTAGGGCGGGGGCAGCTCTAGTGAGAACTATAACTAGTATAAGCAATGGTGTCATTACGTTGGTTGACAGGCGGCTTAAAAACCGCCTGCAATTAATTTTAATCGTTCACAAAAAGTACCTAGAGAGTTAAAACGTGAGATATTTAGTTATAGTTAAGCTAATCGATGGAACTTTCATTCGTTTAATATCTGAATTTTCTCAAACAGTTGGTTCGTAGTGGAAAGGCGAGCGAAGTTTTAATTTCAGTTCTACAACAAATATACGCTCTCGGTGAGTCTGTTCAATTTGGACATTTGTACCGTAAATTGTACAACAGAAACTTAACGAATTCAATGAGAAAAGGCCGCATTAAATCCCCTTGTGTCTCGTTGGAGTGTATCATCCGAATTAAGTTATTGTGGAGGAAAGACCAGATTTTCACACACCATTGCAGCAAACAAACGAGCAAACTCTCATAACTTCAAAACAAAAAAGTTTGAATCTACTTACCATTACTTTCCTCGCCGATTACGTAATGAACTTAATGTTAAGTTGAAAAAAAAAAAAATTTCATTTATCGGCCAAGGGTCGGTCCCTATGGTGAAAAACTGGGTAAAATTTCCGCATAGCCCCATCCTACATTATACATTCAGTTCTTCAACAGAGAAAACAATGACAAAAACAATACATTTCCATTGGGAAAACAGATTTGTTTTACAATTGTATGGGGCTGTGCAGAAACTTTACCAAGCTTTTCTGGCTCGAGCAGTTCTTCAGCAATCTCATCTTCTTCAAGTGATTGTAAAACAAATCTTTTTTCCCAATGGAAATGTATAGTTTTTGTCATTGTTTTCTCTGTTAAAGAACTGAATGCATACTGTAGGATAGGGCTGTGCGGAAATTTTACCCAAGTGAGTTACGATCACCATCAAGGATTGTCTTCAACACATCTTCTCTACTCATCGATTTAAAAGTTCGGCCATCTTCAGCAGCCCTGAACTTGGCCATAATTTGCTCGGTTTGCATCGGGAAAGTCGCATGCTGTGTCTTGAACGATCACAATGTATGCACAGTGATCGATGGGAAATGATCATCCTCATCGTCGCTCTTACGACCCAGAAGCCCTTTTCTTGCCCGTTGTGTATTCTTTCGAACGAACGCTCGGTAAGAGGATCGCAGGAATTCTCAGCGACCGGCCGCGCGTTCTAAGAAACTGGACACTAACGGCATGAAGCAGCCAATTAAACATAAGTCTTCCTTTGGCATAGCAACGTACTAAGCTTGCGATTTTTCCAAAATTTTCTCCTTTACCAATGGAGTCTCAAAAGAAGAAGTGGAAAAAGTGTATCAGAATGTAAAAGCATGAGCTCTTATTGGTGTCATGGCCAATAAATTCCCTTCATGCGAAGACCAGGGAGACGAGGACAACAAAGATGTACCAAGTGAGGACGAGAGTGGAATACTGTTCTATGTGAACAAAGATGGTTTTCCTATTAGTAAGAAAACTTGGGAAAGAATGTGGCGTCATGTGGAGAAAATACATCCGAAGGGAGCACAAGTTGTGCACAGTGTGCGAGAAAGTGAACACCTAGCAAAGGCAAGGCGCCAATTTGATACATGTTTGAGATCTTACTGGGAACAAAAAATCATAAATTATGAGAACCTCATGAGTAAAATTTATATTATAAGTATATACTTACATAAAACTGAAATTTAATTATTATCTCAACTATTGCAGACTATTCGTTTCAAAATCAAAGTTATCACAAAAACTGTCGTTAATAGCTGTAATGCTGAGTTAGTTTATGCCGCCAAAATATATTTTCAAAGACATAAAACTTATTTTTGCTTCTCCAAAACAACCTATTGATGTGACCTCAATGTTTCAATGTTAACTGAATGTAGGTTCCATATGTAGCTGTACCTGTGTTTACACCAGTCATGTCAGTGGAGGAGAAGCTAGGATTGATTCAAAACTACCTACAGCAACTGCAGTATCCTTGTAACAACATCACGACATTGATTACGAAGTCTTAGCAGTCAAATTGTGTCTGGTTTGAGCAAATTTCATGTTTCTTCCCCAAGTGCGTTGTCTACAATCTCATTCCCCTGAGTGGCTCAAATTCTTGCTTGTATTCCTATCCTAGTCATGGAGGTTCATGACCCTGAATGTTGAATTGTAATGTTACAGACAAGTGCATAGAAATATGATTCCAAGTTTGACGTCATTTGGAGAGTTTTCACTGAATTTCAGATATGGCCACTTACTAGGAAAGTTTACCGTCTGTGAGCTAAGTGATCACCTTGTGGTCCTCTGCAGAGACCAGAGCACATGCACTTATTCACAACTTATGCAAAACCTATATATTATGGTCTATTGCATCTTTAAGAGACTTGTAGACTGCAGATTTTTACAGGCTTCTTTTAGGGCTATGCGGCAAACTTTTCTTCTTTGACTTGTCTTAACTATATTGAATTTTTTAACATGGCTGTCACAGATATAATCATACAGGGACTCAATTTTTTGAGATTAAGAAGTGGAGACCATTGACAGGGTACTGTTACCAATGTTTGTGTCTCTTTTGGATAATGATTAATCTGATCCCCAAATGGCTTGTGGTAAGATCCAAAAATGGCATGGAAAATAGTGAATTAGGCCACATGCCTTTCAGCTCTTTAATATTCCAGATTTGACAGCCAATTTTCTGAGATTATAACATTTGCTAAACTATACTTTACTAGACTCATTCATTTGATAATGAGTCCAGAAAATTGTGTGTTTCTTCGTCAGTTAATTGAAATATTTCTTGATTTTTGAGATGTCTGTTTTGTAGTGTTTGAGTTGAAAAGGAAAATAACTGAATTACAGACACGCTTAGCTCTTCATTAGAATATGATATTAAGTGCTCTGTTAGAGTACAGACATGCAGTTAAATAGCACACAAAAATTGCCACAATACATGAAATGCATTTTCTCAATATTTTACTGAAAAGGTTGTACCATGTGAAGTTACTCTATGATTAGCAAAGAATTTTTGTATCTCTACAGGTTGATGGATACAGCAAGGGAAATTATAAAAGAGTCCTTACCCATTAAATGCCTTGAAGCTGTTATTGTAGGATTGTATCCTTTACTCTTGTACATGTAAGCTTTCTCTTGCAGAGTGTTTGTTGGGCATCTCATGAGAGACAATTCCCCAACTACCATACAGAATTTGGAATTCATTGACTTAATTTTAATGGCCTGGTCTTAATTTGTCTACAGATGAGGAGAATATCCACTCAATTATTCTGCTGCTTCATTTCCAAATGGAAACTCTGTCCTTAAGTGGTGACAGATTTTTTTAGTTTTGAATTGAGCTTATTGCTCTAATGAATTATAGCTGTATTATTAACAAAGGAATCAAACATTGGACACTTAACAAAAATGAAAGGTATTTTACATGTGGTATGACTGAGATGCAGCGGTTTACCATCAGTTTTAAAACACAGTTCAATGGACGCTACTACAGGTGATAACCATTATGCAAACTAAGCAAGCTAAGGTTGTTTGAAAAGGATCATTGGAAAGTAAGCTGCTGAGGTTGCAAAACGATCTGAATGAAGCAATAATTTCCCTAGCATCTGAGCTTTAATTTCCAAGATTATTACAACTGATTAACATATAATCAATATGTCCTTTTCAGATAGGGACTGACAAAACTTTTTTTTCCATTTGTGTGAATGACTTGTTTATTTACGCAATAGACTGTGCTTCTATCAATTTTTCAGAGCAATAACAAGAGCTGGGGGCAAGTGCTCCTAACATCCTAAGTGGTTAATTACACCAGGAAACTGATAGAAAGTGTAGTCTAGTGCTTTTATAATTTTAATAATATTAACTTAAAATCAAACATGATATGTTTAAATTTTCTATGGGTTTACTGGTAGAATATATGATAGGTTTTTGACCAGTTAGGGCACTCATACTATCTCAATCTACTACTATCTTAATCCTTCAACTCCCAAGATCTGATTGTTAATTCTCCCCTCTCACTTCTACACATTACCTTGTTAACTAGGTAGTTATGAGAATTTGGTGTGGGAGCAAGGTAACATCTTCTGCCTGATTAATTTGTGTATTCTTATAAAGTGTTTGTTGGATAATGTATGGATATTTTAGGGAGAGGTTACATGTCAATCACTTCTGGAAGTTAAAGGGTTAACATAAATGTAGTTTGATTCTGCCCCAAAAGTAGTTGTTATTTGTATTTTTGTTGTTGTCTTTGTTTTTTTTTTAATGACTGTGGCTCATCTTTAGGCATGTGGTGCTTGGAGTACACTACAATGGCAAATTTGGGACATTGGGATTAAGCAGAAGAGATGACCTCATGTTCAAGCCCTTGAAATTTAAAGTACACTTTAAGACATGACACCTTTAATTGTGCTTTGCTCTTTTACTCATTACACTGCTATGGCTGCTATGAGTTATTACTGGCACTTATTTTCCCCTTCTGTTAATTCCTGTGTCTTAAACCAGGACCTTAAGACATTTAGTTGAAATTTAATCATGAGATTGTAAGACAGAGCAAAATACTGACTTTGTGGCTGACTGCAGAGGCATATGGGATATTAAGATCAAATTTGTAAGTAGCCAAACATTTGACATGACTGCCAAATACAGTTTGAATGTTTCTTCGACAATTAATTGCTAAGTACTTTGTAGTAAAGTTAAGATTCAGGAAATTTCTTGTAATAAACCTTTGTCTAGTCACTTTGGTCATAAATATTACTGTAAGTTGTACATTTATTGAACCAAGTGTCATCTTCTCAAGACATATAGTGTGTTGAGACCATCACTCAAATTTCTCTTCTATTCATAGAAATATTGACCACTTAGAAATATTTTATTTCTCTCTTCAACAGAGTCTCCTGGATTTACTTGATGACTTCACAAAGTCATATAACAATTGTATGTAGCTTCTTGTGCATTGCTGTGTGTAGCTGACATGGAATGCTTTTTTGCACTCCATATGAACCTTCTCACAACTCCTTGTGATTATTATTTTTGGTTTGTAATAGCAAGGGTTCATAACTGTGAGTTGCGATAGAGAAAACCTAATTTCAAGTTCTGTATCAGAGCTGTTAAGTTATTTCTAATAATGTTCCATCTTCTTTTTAATGAGGGGAACATGCTGTAGTAAAACTAATTCCAATCAAGCCTTGATTTGCGGAGAAGCTAATCATAATAGTCCTCTCACACAAACAGCTCAAACTAATTTCTCCTGAGTGACTGTGTATGGGGGAATGGGGATTGTCTGTGAGGAGACATTTTACCAACAGATGTCTCTCTACATGAGGATAGGAGTACTAATTTCAAAACTGTTTTTTTTTTCTTCATTGCAGATCTTCATAATGTAAAGAAAATAAAACTGAGTCTTCCTGTAGTTCATGATATTCACAGCTGTGAAAGAATTCAGTGGAAGGTAAAATTTATGTTGAGCTCACAGTCCATTACTGTTTTAGTTGATACCTGTTTCTCTGCCATGAAGAGACTAAGGAGCTGGACCACTCTATTTAAATAAGATGCCAGACTATTGCGAATAATCTGGGTTCAATTGGTGCCAATAGCTTCTGTGACTTTTTCCTGTTACCTACATAATTCTCTAAGGCTGACTATAGCCACCATTACTGTTCCAAAATGCTTCTCTTGTATCCCTGGCCCGAACAAGGACTTAAGAATTTTTTTTCTCTTTTTTCAATTGGGCTTCAGTTAGTAGCATATACTTAAATTTGAAAGGCTTTAAGGTTTGCATACTGTAAATAGGTTTCATTAAAAGTTGAATGATCATCAGAAGAAAAGTAATGGCTTGTACTTTGGCTCTCATTGATGAGCTTGCAATTAGCCCTCCTACTTCCTCTAATAAGTCCCGTATCTAAAGGCCCTGGAAATTATGACTCCTTTCAAGGAACTTCTTGGAGCAATCATAGTTGTACTGTCTTAATTTTTCTCTCTTTTTGACTGATTTTTAAAGAATCTTTGGTTAACTCTCTGAATTTTTTCCTGTAGTACCTGACTTTGAGTCCACTGAAGACAAGTCAACCAGAAATGAAGAGCATCTTGGATAGATTCACCCGAGAAATCAGAGTATCGGTAAAACAATGTTCAAGTGTGTTTTGAATTCAATATCGCTATAAGCAGCCTCTTCTCTAGTAAGATCACTGTCTAAAACTGTAAGTGTGTAACAGATCCCACCCTAATATCTCTCTCTCTCTCTCTCTCTCTCTCTGGTTTTGGCTTGGTTGCAAAATAAACTTTTATTTGAAAGCTTTTTAGTTTCTGTCTTGAGTTATCTTGTTTTCAATAAATTTAGAAAATCAATTTAAATAAATTATTTAAATAAATTTTTAAATAAATTTTAAATTTTTCAGACAATTCTAGAGAAAAATAATGATTTGCGTTTTCTCTCAATGAGTTTTGAATTAGCTCTCCCTTTAATGAGTCCCACCCCTTCCTTCCCAAGTAGAATCCTTGGAAATTGATAGTAGAGTAGTTATCCTCTATCAACAAAGATGACTTATAATCATAGCCATTCCATGTTAATAATCTCAAATTAATGGTGCAACTTTAACCGTAATTGTGTTTATAGTTTCATTCCTATCAGATCAGTTCTCCAAGGAAGCCTGACGCCTCCAGTACGCTGACTCAAACAGAGAAAGCAAAAGGTTCAACACAACTTTCACCGTAAGTATTTTAGTTGCTCCAGACCTGTTTACATTTGAATGAAAATAATTGCAGTTCACTTGTCTCGACTGTGAACCTAACCCCTCAGTGAGACTTCCGTGTAGACGCCAATTAACGTAGTAAGGGACTTATAGTGGCGTTTTCAGAATTACATGACGCAAAGTATGTGCGTGTATTTTGTCATCAGGCGGAAGGACAGACACACGCCATCCAGTCCTTCGCGAGCGTACCATGTCAGAGTATGACGTTATGTTGAAGTGGCATCTGTCAATCATTCCCACTTCATACTGACATACCGCTGGTAACTTATGACACAGCGTGGAACAGTCACATGGCTCAACAGTAAAACCAACGACCACACTGAAGGAGATTCCCGTACTTAGAATACGTCGTAGAGCTGTTCCCAGGGGACTGGGCACGTTTTAAAAGTCTTTCATACCATCGAAGTCATCGAAGTCATCGAAGTCAGAAGGATTAGGCGCCTTCGTCAGAGAGTGAAGTTTATCACCTCGTTTTCTGACACAAGGAAACATCTCTTTTTCTAGTCAACTCTTCATTGAGGGCAAATTACAGTTTTTCATATTAAAGTGTATTATAAATAAACTCAATAGACTGGAAAAAATCGTTTCAATCATTTGTAACTACTCTTAATCATTTTTGAAGGAAAAATTCTCACACGAAAACGGAAAAAAATATCCAAAATTTCAAGCTTTCCTTCTTAGCTGTACCATGCGTTAGTCACTCTAACCATTTACACTCAAGCGAGTTATATCTTTAGACTTTTCCGGTCTTCATCCTTTCTGAAAGGGATTTTAAGTTTGTGCTATTTTTGTAAACGTTTTAGGTGTAATACATGCAACCTTCCAAATTTTTGCGTTATGTTGCAGCGTACCCGACGTATGCGAATATGCGGGGCCTACTTCGACGAATGAAACCGTGCAATTGCTGTTATATCTCCAAAGGAATATTAAACATTTAGTAGAGAAACTTTTACAGAAAATTTTCCGTAGCATGGCACGTAAACTTTCATTTAATTTCAATGGTGGTCGCCTGCTGTCTTATTTTCTCTGAGACACTCGAGGGTATAAAAAAGAAAGAAGATACAGGAATACCTGCCTTTCGTAAATGAATAACGCGCTCAAGTCGGTTCACAAGTTTATTTACAGAAAAACAAACGAATCTTAAAATAAACAAAATAACACGGTCATGTTGGAAGAAGTTCACACTTATTTACAAATACAGCAAGTTTCGATTGAACGAAAACCAATCAAATCGGCAGAACGGAAATATATAAAAGAGCCTTTAGGGTATTAAAGTAGTTACGTTTGAACAAGTTATGATTCGTTTTAGTTTTAAATCTCATTGGTTGAGAAAGAAGCGTCAAGGTTTTTAACCTGATAAACATCAATAACATCATTCCAGTTTACTTGTTACACTCGATTCAAACTCGCTCATTCCTCTCACTTTATTTTCACACTATAAATTTACTTCCACACTTAATTTCATATCTTGCTTAGGTCAATTCTCATTTTTAAACCTTTTAAGCTCACACCAAAGAAAATTGCAAAATGCCATCTTTCCGCGAACTGTCTACATAAAAATTTCATTTTTTTTTCTTACTAATTAATATAAGTTCCCCGTTCGCTATTCTTCTTCGCCAGTTGGGGAGGGGATTGTAACTGATATCTTCTCCATTTGGACGGGTGACCCCCCTGGTGATTCAGCCTCGTTTAGAGGAGGAGAATTCGATCTTTCGTTGAGAGCCTGGGGCGAGCTCAGTTTTCGTCTATGACCCACTGAGGGGGTGGCCGGGGCACTTAGTGGCCGCTCATTGAATTCGTTGATGTATTCTGGGGGAGGGGAGGGTTCCCTTGTGTTAGCCTGCCCTATTGCAGGAAGCTTAGGTTTCATGTAGCGCTTCAGGTTATTGTCACGTGGCACTATGAATTCCCTGCGCGGAAGCGTGACAGCGGCGTCACTATCTTCACGTATAACCACATACTGGTTGAGATGAGAACCCGTTGTCTTGAAGGAGCGCCTAAATGGATGCATGATGGTGTGTGAGCCTCCGCAGTACCGCTGGGAGGGAGGGAGCTCTATGAGATCCACAAGACCAGTCATGGCTACCACCTCATTCTTGAGCTTCTGCGCCTGGTAACCGAGGTCGGCGCCGATAACCGGAGGCTTCTTGGCGATATTCATCTTCTGGTGCTGTCGGATGTGCTCCAGTTCAAACGTCGTGTACGGTTTAGAAGACTTCTGTCCCGGTAGGCTTTGCATCTTTGGCATGTTCGGCCCAATCCCTCCCGGGTTGACTTCCAAAGGCCGATCACACGAAATGCAGTGAACTTTCTCCGGCTTGTTCCTGAAAACAAACATTTACAACAAAGATAAACTCTAATTTTTCCAACCGATAGGCGTAGAAATAATTATTAATAATTATAATAATAATTATTATCAGAGGTGTAAGGTGTGAGTAATCTAGCAGCCTTAACATTCACACTGTACCTCCTAAAGCCAGCTGGCTCGCCATCTTCAGGTTTTTCCTTAACAGTGGCGCGCACAACCTGCACTTGTCTGATGCGTGATTCCAGTTGGTCTCGAAGCGAATCCAGCTCTTGTCTATCGAGTTTAAGATGCATCTTGCTTTGTAACTCTTGTAAAGTTTCTCTTAATGCGTCTTCAATGCTCATTTGGCTTTCCATTTTCTCCAGGGCATCACTGAGCCCGCGGTCCAGCAAGTTAAAGCTCTCGTCAAATTGGTTCACGCTCACTTTCGACTCCAGGTCTCCTTTGTCCGCCTACGGCACATAATAGTTACATGAAATCAGTTGATTTTTATGTTTGAGAGAGAACTTTTAAAAATCAAGATTGAGACTAGAAATTTAGTCCCCCTGTTAAAGAAGCAGAGTAATTTCCTTTTCATTCAATTTCAACAAGTACTCGATTCAAGCGACAGCGAAGTCCTCTCAACCATAAGCGTGAGGAAGTTGATGCTCGGACTATAGGCGAACTTAAACCAGACAATAAACTAGAAATCGTAAAAGTGCCAATGACATTCCTCTCCAATTCGTTGAAAGTAATCTAGCATATGATTTGTTTTATTTATTTTTTTCTTCCCACTGGTTTTCCTTCGCTCGAGCTATGCCTTGAAACCAATCACATTCAAAACTAAAACCAAAAGTGGTTTAGTCAATCGCGTTTTCCCGTGCTTCATGGCCTTTGATGTTTTTAAGTTGATTCCCTATTAGTTCTCAGTGATCTTCTCTTTAGTTCTGATTGGCCGTCGAGAAGATTTTAGGTTTTCTGACAATCAATCGAAAAGTTCTCCAGTTGGTCTTTTTACTCACTCTCTAATCCCCAACTTCCCAAGAGGGTCATCGCGCTACATGCCAAGACTGATTTTACTAACCTTTATGCCGATTTCCTGACTGACATGTTGTTTATCAGCCTTCTTCTGGTCCAGTCTATCAACTGAATCATACAGTTCCTCTAAGCTCTTTTCGCGCCTGTTGTACTCGTTCACGAGCTCCGCGGTGGTCTGGACCAACTTTTCGTGTTTGGCTTGCAGTTCGAGGACCATGCTGTGCACGTGATGTACAGCGTTGAAGCCTTCAGCATCCTGTGAGAATGAAATAAATAAAATCCAGTTGGCAAAGCAAGTTTTACACGTGTGATTAAATTCGGTTGATCGAGCAAAGGTTGTCTATTTGCGTGGTTACTTCATCAAGTAAACCAAAAGGATGGGCTTAAGAGGGCAGGTGGTTCTGTTTGTTTTCCGCGACCTACTGACCGCGTACGAATATTAAGAGACTGGGAACAATTCAACTCCATTGCTAACCTGAGCTTTCCTCGACGCACGAAAGGCGGCCAAATCCTTGGCAATTAGATCGATAGCTCTCTTATTCTTCTCCATGTCTTTCTTGAACTCTTCCTGTGACTGCATGAAGCTTTTCTTCATGTTATTCATCTGCTCGATGCTGAGCCTTAAAGCATAAGCTTGAGCCTCAGGGTCATCCGTATTCTCCAATGCTGCTTCAATCTCCTCCATGATCATTTCTTCCATTGCTTCTCTTTCTTCCTCAGAGTCGAGTGACTCCTCATCAGAACTATCCTCGCCTTTCTTCTTGTCAGCCTTTTCTTTCTCGTCCTCCTTTCCTTTCTCCTTTTCCTTTTCTTTGCTTTTCTTTTCTTTCTTAGTTTCTTGGGCTGCCTCTCTTGCCTCTATTTCCTCTATGGTTACGCCTTCCTCACGAGCCTTCCGCCGCAGTTTCAAATCCTCTATGGTGGTGCGCCTTCGTAAAGGTGTCTTATCTCCCTGACTAGGGGGTCGTTCTCCGCCTTTCATTGGCAAGCTTATCTTGCGCTTTTCATCCTTTCTTGAAGGTAAACGACCAGGTTGTAGCTTAGGCATATCCTGTGACATTTGGCCAGGGGGCGGGATAACGGGAATCACGTTCGTGGGCTGAGCAGGATCTTCACCCACACCTGGGGCTGGCTGAGATCCCTCAGTAATGATCCCATCCTTAGGCACGTCCTGGGGACCCTTAGCTTTGGATCCTTTTCGTTTCTTCTCCTTCTTCGCAGCTTCACCTTCAGGAAGAAGTTCGACCTTGTTGAGCTGCTGTTGAACCTGATCAAGTTGGGCCTTCAGCATTCCTCCGACCTCATCACCAAAGTCCACCTGATTCACCATGGAGTCAATGATATTCCTCAAGCTCTTGATTCCCATTTCAGCTGCCTCGAGTCTCCGATTAATGTTAATTAACTCCGGCGTCTCAGAGAGTGAATCCATCGTCATTCTTCGCTCCTTCTTCTTGTCGTCCTTTTTTCCGTACACGGAGTCACCGCCATAAGAACTGGTTCTATCTTTGTCTCTTTTCTTCTTCTTGTCATCCTTCTCATCGCCTTCCTTATCGTGTTTTGAATGCTTCCTATCCTTCTCCCTGGAGCTATCTTTGTCCTTACTGTGTTTCGATTCCCTTCGCTTCTTTTTTTCCTGTCCTTCCTTTTCATTTCCGTCTTTTTCGCCGACCTCAGATTGTTTCCTCTTCGGTTTGGGTGGCTTCTGTACCATAACTGTTACAGTCTTCTCTTGTCCATCCTCGTCTATTATGGTCTGTGTCACCTCTTCCTCGCTCACGTGACCATCATCTGCAGATTCTTCACTTTCTATGACAACAATTTTTTTATTGAATAAGTATCAGGACGTAGCGAAAGGGGGGAAGGGGGGGGGAGGGGTGGTGTTCCCGGGAAAACGTGACGCCCTTACTTCCATTTGAGAAATTATAACTAATAATAATAGAAATATTGATGGTGATACTGATAATGATAATGACCTTAAAACAAATCATGAAATAAATGAGATACTATGCATCCCCTGAATGGTCAGACACCTATCGTTTATTGCATTGGTAAACCCATAGAAAATTTAAATGTCTTTAGTTTTTTCGCCTACGGCCCGTGCTTTACAAACTTTCCTCGTGTTCTCCCAACATCCTGCGTGGGTTGTTACGCCTGAAAACTGATAGAAAGTGCGGTCTATTGCCTAGCTAGTGGCTTCCAAAATTCAAAAAGAGCGCTGACTTACGAAGTAAACTGGAAAGCAATTTCTCGTAATGATATATCATGTACTGAGAAACTACGTACCCTTCTAGAAATTGATTTGAGTTAAATCCAGTCCGATTTGGAAGTGATTAAAATGATACTTTTCTAACTCTCATGATGGCTTGTCGAGGTTTAACAAAAAAATCATGTTGCCAACCGACGATATCTCCGCAAGGCTTTGACCAAGTTGAGACGGTGACATAGATAAACCTTCATCAAACGAGTTAAAATAGCATAACGACGCTGATTATGAAGTGAAATGCATCGTAGCCCTGTTAAATTCCTTTGTCGTGGACGGCGAAAACTTCGATGCAGACAGGAAAAGTACTTAGGACCCTGAAGTGTCGATTAACTGTTTGCATGATAATTTTTTGATTGAATTGCGCTTTCAGCGGGCTCTTTTCAAGCTGTGTAGACATTCCGTGAAGCAAACTTGATCACTGAACAGAAAATTGTCCACCATGATGTTCTTTCCAACGAAATTGTTCGCACGAAACACAAATTTTATGTATTTGCAGGGATTAATTTTGATAACTTTTTGTCAAAGACAAACAAACAATCAATGTACTTATCAACTAAGACCCCAAACCAAGTTAAAACTACACTGTGAATACACGATTTTGGAAAATTTGTCGCTTTTCGCGAAGATGTGAACAGTTTACGTAATCATATCATAACCAATAAAGAAAAGAACAATATAAGGTTCAAAATCAAATCAGGTAATATTTTGATCTGGATAAGTGAAATGTTGTAAAGAAGTTTTTTACGGTTATCAGACTTAAGACAGGCGTGTGGCTTTGACACCAACCTTCATCCTCTTCGCTATCCGAAGAACTTTCAACACTGCTGGAAGCTTCAGAGGAAGATCTTAGTGACATAGGTCCCCTGACTTCGGCCTGTTGCGCTTCTACTTCACCAATGCCAAAGTGTTCCACAATGGTGTGCAACAGATTCCGCAAATGAAAGAAATTCACAGGTCCGATTTGCGGACTAATAGCAAGGTCTAACAACTCTGTGATACCAACTGTCATTTTGTAAAACTCAAGCCCTTAAGAAACAAAATTCTTCATGTACATAGCCGAGGGTCCTTTACCGGCTACGAGACTTAATGTCCAAACAAATGACCTTGCTCAGTGCCAAGCAACATCTGCTCCCGAGAGAATAATTATTCAAATTAAATCTTGTACAATAATTCAAACAATAGGCAAGTCAAGTGAAAACGCAGCTTTTACAAAATGTCTGACGTCACTTTTCTTATGTAAAATTATGTAAGGCCACTTTTCACGCGTTGCCATAGAAACAGCACGTGGAAAGCACTTAATAAGTCAATTAAGGTTTTCATATTATTGATTGATATGACCGAGGACAAAAGAGTTTATATTACTTTTATGACACTGCAAATAATTGCTTTACTGAATGCAAACAACAACACATCACACATTTTGGAAAAATCAGGCTAAGTTCTTGGGTTTTTGAGACATCTAAAGCTTGTGTTGGATGCCAACTGTCCCTTTGTATATCACATTGGTTGTTGTTAATGAAAGCCCAAGTTAAAAAGGGATTAGCTAATTTATTTGCCGTTCGGAAGGCAAAACTATCTCTGCTTTGTGTAAATCCACTAAAGGAGCCCTTTTAAAAGCGGGGTTCGGGGTTAAATTTATCGCCTTTCACACTGTCAAAGCACCAGCCAGCGGAAGGAGGCATGTGGATTACTCGTGAATACTGAATTTACTTGACTTACCAAACAATGTACTCTTTGTCAACATAAGCTCGTATATAACAAAATATTTACGTAGAACATTTGCATTCCGAAGAACACAAAACTCTCGTGGAGGAATAATACGAATTGACGTGAACATTATTGTTGGTGCAGCTAACTTGAGCAACAAGCACTATTTGGCAGGTTTAACTTTGGGTGTACAAGGCAAAACTCGTCAAAGACAGGATTTTTTTATTGCGAACAAAAAGGAAGCACGCGGTGGGGTTGGGTGAGAGATACCTTTTGGAGCCTGTATGCGTGAAGGCACGTAATGGGAAGAATGAAGATGAGAGTCTGGTGCTTTCGTGCGTAATAAATATCCGTGAACGGATCACCTCTCTGCTGGTGTTGGACGCGAAAGGTTCTAGGGGGCTGGCAGGGTAAGTTAGTAATTGGTATCAACTCAGTTGATAATACTAAATTACCCTGTTATACTCTCCCACCAATGCAGCACCACAACTTCTTTAGAAACTTACCCCCTTTATTTAGGGAGCTGGGTCGAGCTGTGGCGAAGTGGATAACCCCAATGAAATTCTTTGGCTTGTTTCAGAGAGAAAAAGTGAGACATTTTACTTAAGATCAGATGAAAAAATTGAAACACTTTCCATTCCTGTTATTGAATGTTTTAGTTATGTATGGGGAAAGATTTCTCTCCTTTTCAGGTTAAAGAAAAGTTAAATATAGCTAAAAAACTAATGATGCCGACGATAAATTTTTCATGGGAGAATAAACAAAAATGCTGACGGTTGGAAGCTTGAGTGCAGCAGCCATGCGCTTATGTATGCAACCTCGCTGTCGTGTTCTTAGTGTAAGGCCATAAAAGGCTGTTGCCATAAAGTATCTTACTCCAAATTTCAGCTAACACCGCACACTCATTATGAGAAAACGATTAACTGCTATTTGATATACTCGCCCTCGTATAGTGGAGTATCCTTCTGATGAGAGACTGGGAACAACACACGTCTATACTCTTGTGTGGGTAACATCGGACCAGTTTATGTTGTGTATCACGGGCTCGAAAGAAAGTTGGAAATCGACAGGAAGCTTCGAAAATGCCAAGTAAAAAGAAGAAGTCCAACGCACGATTTCCTCCGGTAATTTGGTCTTACTATGTATATTTCTTGGTAACTGCAAGAACTAACATTCGTTTTTGTATCTCAAGGCGCGAATCAAGAAAATTATGCAAACAGACGAAGATGTTGGCAAGGTAGCGGCAGCCGTCCCAGTCATCATTTGTATCCTTCGATGGAAGACTATCTTGAACTTGTAATTGCTAACCCGGAAAGTTATTATAGCTTCATGGAAATGTAGCCTATATAATTTATCGAACGTGGAAAGCATAATTTATGCTTTTGACGAAGTTCGAAGACAAAATTCATCATCGATTGTAAAGTTTTTTTGTCAATGGCAGTGTATTCGAGTTTAGTTTAATATACTTTTATGAGATTTTAAGTGCCCTCTATGATTCACGAAATTTACTTCCATTTGTAAGTCTCAGAAGCTTGTACTGCAAAATCGGACACGATAGAATGTCTTTTCAGCCTTTTAAAAGTCTATTTTTGGTCCTTAAATGTGTGGATAAACAGCAAAAGCCTTGGAGATGTTCTTGCAATCGCTTGTGGAGAGGGCTAGCGATTACACTAAAGCAAGGAATGCTAAAACTATGACCACATCACATCTGTAAGTCAATGAATCATTTTCCTGTTAGTCAACGATAATCCTTTCAGTCAGTTTGCATAATTCTACCTTCCTGTTTGCCATTTGATTCGTTAGCGTTGTTTTGGTATTATGACATTTATAGGTCAAACAGTTTTACGTTCCTGAAGGCAATTATTGTTTATCTTTATACACTGTTGCAAAATGAACCAATCGTTGAAATTTTTATCGTGACAAATTTATCCAACATAATCTCAATCCTTATTACAGAGATGTATTTTCACTTTTTACTCCTTTCAGTCGTCATTATTGTCATTGTACATTAAACATTCATATCCTCTCCTTTGTTACGAGCTAAAGTAGTAATCCTTGTAACTTGAAGTTTTTTTTAACTATTATATGCTCTTGACAATTATATTTTGTGTGTAAGTTGAATGCATACATATATGTTCCATCCACCTTCACTTCAGGAGAATAACTCTTCTGTTTGTACCTATTCACTCCCAAAGAGACCAAATAGGATTTTTTATAATATTATTACATTTATTATTATTAATATTAAGACAGAGAGGTGAGAAGATGGAAAAATATCAACTAGGGATTGTTGTTTGATTTGAATGAAAATTCTCACAGCTGAAATTATGAAACATGCATGACATACAATTTGGAGAATTGATCTTTAGATCATAAAAGTGAAAAGGATATTGGTCATGTTTTTTTGCATTTTGATGGCTGAGGAGTCAAGATTATTTTTGAACTTTTTTATTCAACTTCATAGTCTATAAACTGGTAGCACTTAAATGCTTAATTTTAAGTCTTCCTCTGTGATTTGAATCCACAGAAAGAGATGTATAACATCTGAAAACCAGTTTGACTTTTTGAAAGACTTAGTGGCTAATGTACCAGATCTTCCTTCAAATGAAGAAGAAAAAGATGGTGAACCCAAACCCAAAAGGTAATGAAGGTCATGTCCTTCTGCAATCAGCTGTCTCATCTACAACTTGTATAGGTTTCATGTGGATGATGTTTTCTGACAGAATACTAATCAATTAAACCAAATGTTTTTGTTTGAAATGCAGTAACCTCTGAGACTAGATATAAAAAGACTTCTCCATGTTCACAATTTAAGGGAAGAATCATAAAAACTAGTTGTCATCATCTCAGACTGTTGAACATCTCTGAAGAGCTACATTTTCTGCTGATTGCAATGACTGACAGAGTAAAATAGTTTTGTTGAGTGATAAATAATGCTTCACCAATTTTCTGACACAGATTAAAGCTAATGGTGAAGAGAGTTGTTTCCTCAAAAGTAATAATTTTAATGGGCATCAATTTGTCAAAAATTGTGGTACAAGAAGTACATATATCAAGGCCAGTACAGGGCCATACATTTGTGAGATCCTGGGTGCTACTTGGTATAAAATAGGTCAATGACAACCAGTAGGAAAATTTCACAAATGATTCAAAATGTTTCTTATGTCATTTTCTCTAGAAAAAGAATGCCAAAAGCTGCTGCGAACAAAGAACAGAACAAAGAGAAGAAAAAATCAGAAAAAAAGATGCCACAAGCTACTGTGGTATCTGATGAGTCAGATGAAGAGCTCGAATCTGAGGTAAACAACTGTCAGCCTGAATCTGAGGTTAACCCTCTGACACCTTAGAGTGACTGGAATCTAATTTCTCCTTACCATATCACCCCTGAATCAAACACTAAGGTCAGGAGAATAAGGGAACTGATCACCAACTAAAGAAGCTCTTGATTGTTAGACAAATTCTCCCTGTCAGCACCTTAGGAAATGTGTAGAGAACATTATGGAGGATATGCATACTGATGTTAGGGTGTAAAGGGTTAATTACCATGAAAAGGGATATCATAGTGAACTTGATTTTGTAATTAATTGAGTTCATTTTTGTTATCAGTATTTTCAAATGGCCCTGAGAAGAAAAATGTAATTGCACTCACTTGCTCATGAAAAAAACAAATACTAAGTTTCTTTATTATCACATTATTTCAACCAGGAAGAAGATTCTTCTTCTGAAGGAACAAGTAACCACAATAATATCACACCAGCACCAGCTGTTCCATCATTAACCATAACAAGACCAAGTACAGAACAAAGTGAAGAGTAGGTGTCATTTAATTTATCAAATGATCATTCTGACCTGTGTTAGTTCATGCAGAGTTATGATAAAACAAATCCAGCTTTCTCTTAGTTTAGTTTTTAATTCACTGTAATTCCCCTCTTCATGTTGCACTCAACCATTTCACTCTCCCTGTCTGATTATTTAATTAACTGTCCGTTAGGTCATAAATTTCCTTTGAAATTAGTTCAGAGCTTATGATGTTTTACAAAGAAAAAACCCTGTTACTTAAGTAACAAACATTTGTCAATTCTCCTTTTTGCCTGATGATGCAGCTATATTATGAGGATGAATCACATATTCATTAGTAATAGGAGTTAAAACATTTTTTTGTTGTAATTATTAATACTAGAACTGTTTTTTTTTTTTTGCAAATATCTTTAAAACACACAGGGTTGGGTGTTAAATAACCCATGGTATTTCACCCTTTAACTCCCAGAAGTGATCATCATGAAACTTCTTCTTATAATATCCATACATTATTCAGCAAACAGGCTATGAGAATATTCAAACTAATCAAGTAGAAGCTACTATTTTGATCTAGCACCAAGTTCTCATAACTAATTTACTAGAAAATGTGTAGCAGCCAGAGGGGAGAATCAACAATCAGATCTTGGGAGTTAAGAGGTCAAAGACCAGTGAATTGAAAGGTCCACATCCAAAGCCTGGACAAGACATTGTGTTATATTCTTGAGATATGTTTTACACTCACAGTACATCTCTACTCCTGGGAGTACCAGCATTAGTCAGATTCTGTACACTGTCAGCAAAACCTGTCAAATTGCTGTAGGTGGTATATGGGAAAGTGTGGCATCTTATTTGGGTGTGGAGGGGCACACTTAGTGTCATCATGCTGTTAAAACTGGGTCAAGCAGCTACAGGAAAATCCTTCTGCCTCATAAGTTGGCTTAACCCAATGGTACAACAAATTGTTAGTATTCCAGTAAAGAACACAAATGCATTAACTAACTTGATTGTATTTTCTTTGCAGAAGTGAACCTTCGTCATTACCAGTGAATATTCCCAAGCTTAACCAAATGTCAGGTATAATGGGGAGCTCATTGGATGAAGATGATGATTATGACTCATGAAAACACCAGGAACACATTAAGTCAATTCAGTGTAAGGGAGATTCCTGTTGATGTGATGTTACAACAGCAAAGGAATTTTATCGCAGTGAACTTGTAAATCAGTCTGTGAAAAAAATCATTGCATCACTTTGACTTAGATTTTACAGGAATTTGTATTATCTTGTACATGTACTGTAAGCTTAGTGTACTGTATTGTTAAATTATTTTGAGTAGAATGCTTTTAAAAAATATTTTGTTGATAAACTTCTTCAGGAGGCTACTGTTTGGGAGGATAATGCCAAAGGTGAAAGAGCATCTGAAGAATGAATGATAGGCTGACTACTGAGAGGTTTTAAGGGCAAGCAATATGTCTATGGCATTTCCTTCCGATTTACTAGTAGGCCAGAAGGGGTTTATTATTACACAGGTTATTAAGCCACATTTCATCATTTGTGACATCATTCTTTGATGACAAAGTGATGTGGTTTGGCCACACTTAAGCATGAAGATAAAAAATTATCCTGGAATTCTAACTGTCTTTGTTAAAGGGTTTGTAGAAAACTTCAATGTCAGTGGTTGTGACTGAAAAGATTACTAAAGTAAATGGTTTTAACCTGTGGGTAACATGTGACTGGGCAGTCACATCATGTGGGTGAAGGTTATCCTGAGAAGGAATGTTGTCAGTTGTAATGTCTGACATTGCGGTGACCTGAAGGGAAGTCATCATCAATCATCTCTATTTGACTCTGATGATGACTTCCACTTCTTTACACTTTGCAGTGCTTCTATACCTGCTGGTTAAAGGGACTCTGTGAAGGTAGAGGTTTTGATCAGTCTCTTTCCCTTGATACACTTTGAAGCTTTTGTGAACAACACTGAAACTGTTAGGTCTTTTCCATGGCTCTCTGTCAAAGTAGCTGTGTGGCATCTGTCTATTAACAGTATGTGAGTGAGCTACTGTGGGTTGTCACCAGCATGCAGTTGAGATACTGATGGTTTGAGTTGGATAACTTCTGTTTGCATATGTCAATATTTGATGGAAGCATTCATTACGTAATTGGCAAGTGATAGTAGGGAGTGGCTCAGAAAACATAATTGCTAGCTTCTGAATTAAAATAACTTATCGCTCAGTTAAGTTAAAAAATTGAATTAGATTGTCTTGAGACCTTTTAACATGTTTATTATTATTGGTACTGAACAGACTTGTGCTGGCAATTCGATGCCATTTTAGATAACATATACATTGTATATGTGCCTTTGTGCTTTTATTTTTCTGAAATAAATTTGTATAAGATTGTTTTAAATTACTGTTCCATTTACATTAAATAAGTTCCACAAGAATGCAACAAAAACAATCCTCAAAAAAAGTTCAGGTCGTGTAAAAGCCAGAAGCAAGACCCAACCCCAATTGCCTTCAAAGGGAGATATTCCACAAAAGCATTGAACCTGACTGTGTTGAAGACCAAATCTGTTAATTTCTCCAGCTTTTGTCAAACTAAATATTTGGCTTGCTGACTGAATGTAGCCATTGCCATTACATTCCAACAGGGTGGTTACACTTGGACTAGGAACTACCGTATATCCATTCACACCTCCCAGTCCAAAAAGACACCCCGTTGAAGAGATGTTACTCCTAATCCCCCATCCCCTTTCCTTAAAAAGGTACCTACTGAGGAGCTCATTCCCAGCGTCCTTCTTAGGGCCCCTGTTCTCCACCCATAGAATGAGAGACCCCAGGAGCAAGGTTGGGTAGATTGGGGTAAACAGGGTAGAACATGGCTAACTTAGGGTAGATGTGGGTTAATGGGGTACAACATCGCTAACTCAGGGTAGATGGGGGTTAACTTGGTAGAACATGGCTAACTTAGGGTAGATGTGAGTTAATGGGGTATAATGTGGTTAACTCAGGGGAAATGTTGGTTATAATAATAATAATAATAATAATAATAATAATAATAATTATTATTATTATTATTATTATTATTATTATAACCAACATTTCCCCTGAGTTAACCACATTATACACACAACCGTAATTCAACTGATGGATTATGCTGGTAGAACATGGTTAACTTAGGGTAGATGTGGGCTAATGTGGTAGAACATGGCTAACTTAAGGTAGATGGGGGTTAACAGGATAGAACATGGCTAACTTAGGGTAGATGGGGGTTAACAAGATAGAACATGGCTAACCTAGGGTTGATGTGGGTTAATGCGGTAGAAAATTGTTAACTTAGGGTAGAAGGGGTAGAATAAGGTTAACTAGGACATATCGTAAGTCATACATGAGGCTTATAACATAAATATTTTCAGCCATTTTGTCATCTATATGGCGTTCAGCCATGAAGTATATACCCAAGGTTGGCACTAACTAGTAAGGTCAAAGAGGAGAAATCCTCTCCCCCGTTTTCCCATCAAGAATTGACAAAGCGCAAGACCAGGTTACTAGAAAGGTTTGCCCCAGACTTCATGAACGTTTAGTGCACAACTTTTGCAACCTTTCCGAGATTCTCAAACGGACGACAATTGTTCTGTCACGGTTCCCATTCTTTTACTTCCCGCTGGCCACTTACTTGCAGACCGGTGCGACCGCTGACAAGACCTGAAAGAACTCTCGCCTCAACATAATCACTGAATCGCCTGCGGGTCGCCGACGTTAAACCAGCTGGTTTTCACAGCATATTTCGATAGTAATTTTTTTACCCTCCAGTATGAACCAAAAACCTTCAAAATTTCAATATACAGGAGCTATAGTTTGTGGAATTCCTTCCTCGCTTCCTGACGCTGCGCAAAGACTTAGTGATCCTCCAGAACCCGTGAATTACAACAAAGCGGTGCAACAACACCTCGCGTATGTTCGTGCCTTGAAAGATCTTGGATTACAAGTTACAGAGCTGCCTACGGACGAGGAGTATCCTGATTGTGTCTTTGTCGAAGATGTGGCTGTTGTGTGTGACAAAGTTGCCCTACTTGCCCGTTTAGGTCACACAACTCGACGTGGTGAAGCAGCGAAAATGAAGACAACTCTCAAAAAACTTGGGTTGGAGATCGTAGAAATGCAAGAGCCGGCTGCTTTAGATGGCGGAGATGTACTGTTTACTGGCAAAGAATTTCTGGTAGGGCTGTCTACCAGAACAAATCAAGCAGGAATAAATCGTTTGGCTGAAACGTTCCCTAGCTACCCCGTTACAGCTGTTCCAGTAACCGAGCATCTTCACCTGAAATCCATGATGACTATGGCAGGCGATGATATCGTTGTGGTTGGAGAAAGTGAAGATGCCAAGAATGCTTGGTCCGAAGTGGAGAAAAAAGCGAGGTTTCGCTACGAAAAGCTAAGTGTACCTGAAGACACTGCGGCCAACTGTGTATTTGTCAACGGTACACTGTTACACTTGCCTGCACACGAAATTCCAAACAGTATTGAGGTGTTTAATCAAATTAAAGGACCAAAGATTGAACTGGAAAATTCTGAACTTCATAAAGTTGACGGCTGCCTTACTTGCTTGTCCATCTTAATATGAAAGAATCTTTGTAACTAGAAAAAACCAACTGTATCAAATTCACAATTAATCAAAACTACAACTAAATTCTCGAACATGATTGGTTATCACCAGTCGGATTTGAGCTCTTATAGGACAGTGTACACATCGTGCTTGTAATTGGTCTGTGTGAAAGGACCTAGAACCAAGAATGGATTGGATAAATTTTTGAGGTGACTGAAGCAAACACAAAAGGTCTTGTAAATGTTTGCAAAATTTTATTTTCCTTTATACATTATGTTTGAGAAGTGAGGGGTCCACAGTTTACATTAAAAAAAGGCCGAAGAGATATTCTCTCTGATGACCCTCATAACCATTGAACTCAATCTTGTTTTTAGAGTTTTGAAAATTCATAACATATTACATTGACTCAGTAAAATACAACACTCTTACAGGAGTCCAACAATCTATCTTACATTGGACATTGATGTTAAAAAAGTAATTGTTTTCTCATCTCCATCAAATCACAAGTGCAAGTATAGGATAGAAAAGGGTATATATTGAACTATCAATGTCGTATTGAAGTTTTACAAATGTTTCAAGCACAGCTACCACTAGGGACAGAGGTACTTTTGGCAAACCAACATGTTCTTGCACTGCACTGCACTATGAGAATGAACAGCTGTGAATTTCAATATTTTTTTCACCATACAAAGAGTTATATCCTTATGACCTGGGCCACAGAACTTTGCAAAATGTGAGATGTTGTCTTTTCAACATGATGTTGTGAAGGGTTCACACTAACTTTAGCATAAGTACCACCAACAAGACCCTTAGCAAGTCGACCTGGGTTCACACACAAACAGCCAAGAATATCCTGTAGTGATATACAAAGTGAAATGTTAGCAGCTACTCTACATAGTCAGGTACCTAAGTATTCGTGCTGGATCATGTGCACTAATAGTAACCACCCTCAACATGTGATTATTTAATAGTGGGGTGAAATTAAGATTGATCAATATGTAAGTCAGTGATCAGCCAACAATCTTAGGATAGTGGGCCAATGTTTGATTGATAGTTGAACCTCACTCAACCAATAGCATTACACCTTGGTTGACATCTCAACTGAGACATCAACAGACAACAGCCAAGAGTGGGTTGACTGTAGGTGAAACATCAGTTGGAAACTCCTATTTTTTATTCCTCCTTGGCTTATTTTGGTTTCTGTAAGGAGAACTGACTAGGAAGATTGCCACCCTTTATGGATGGGAGGCTAATCCCTTGCTAGTGCCCCCCCCCCTCCCCCAACCTACATCCACTCTCTCCTGGGGGTGATGGGGGGAACCAGAGGAGTGAAGTGTTTTACTAAAGAACAAAGAACACACCAAGAGAACCAGCCTGGATTTCAAGTTCAGTTGGCAAACTGTTTAGCCCCTGCCTCTCCCTTCTTGCCTATACTCCCCACTAATCTCATCCAAACAATTAGTAGCGGATAGAGGAATTCTCACAGGCTTATGTACTAAACATCTGATCATTAGGCAAAAATTTTACCTTTGCAAAGTATCGCAAATCTGATGGCAGGATCAAGATGTCAGGATTGTAAGGGAATATGGCTTGCTTTTCAAACTGCTCATAGTCCAGATTTACATCCTCTGCTGGTGGATGCAAGGGGTAGTAACTGCAAACAAAACATTTCAAGCAATTTTTGGATTAATCTAGAAAAAGGGAAGGACAATATTTTGACAATTTTCAGTGATGAGTTTGTGCTGAAAACAGTAGTCACTTCCAATTATTACAGACTTGCTCTTGTAATGTTTGCTCTTCACTTTCCATATTACTAAATTAATTTATGTCATAATATTTCATCAAACCTGTGCTGGTAAAGAATGTGTCTCACAAGACGACCAAGTCTGTCAGAGGAGCCTGGTGGACTGAAGCAAACAAAAAATTAGGAAACAAACCAGTGAAGGTACATGAAGGAATATTAAGATATTATGAAAAATTATATCAAAAGGTTGTTTGGTGATAAATAAAATAATGAAAATATTGGTATGAATATTCTAGACTATTTCATTACCAAACTGTCTCTTCACTACCCAGATGCAATAAAACATCCATGGATGAAAGACCAATGGTCACATTGTTGACCACAAGGGTACATGGATCTGGCACAAAATGAATTCGCTGTAAGAGATCAAAACAACAATGCAGGTGAAAAGTATGTGGAAGTGTAGGTTGTGTCTTTTCTATTTCTTGTGACACAAGTAGTTGCATACTACAACAACTACTTACAATAACTACTTAACCCTTTACTCCCTAATATCAGTATGTATATTCTCCATACACTTCTCTATAAACTTCCTAATGTGCTGACAAGGAGAATTTGTGTGACAATCAAGACCTTCTTTAGTTGTTGATCATTTCCTTTATTCCTTTATTATCCTTTAGGAGTGCTTCAGGGTTCATACTGCAAGTAGGGTTAAGTTACACAGCCAGATATAACTAATGGGCATACCTCTGTTGTACTGGATTCTGAGATGTCAATTTTAGTACTGAAGGGTGGTTGGGGATAAACAAAATGGTGATGAATGTCTCGATATGATGGTACAAAGATAACCACAGTGGAAAGCCTGAAAAGGAAAAAAGCATGTTGTTTAAGGAATTGTTTTTTAAAACTCATTTGAAACTTATCAGGAGAATTATTGACCCAGCAAGTACTCTCATCAGGCTGATCTGGTGACAGTTTTGTTGAAAATAACTTTATTGTAATAAGTTTCACAAGAATATCAAGAAAAGTAAATTAAAGTGTTAACAAGACAGGGTTTACAAAAAAATTTATTGATTGCTTACTTCTCAGTAGCTTTGATTATCTGCTGCACTTGGCGATCGAATATTTCTTCAAATGGTTCCTCTAAATCACCATTCTGCAAATTGCAGAAATCCCTTTCATTAGAAAGAGCTAAACAGTTGTTATACCACCCATATGGGGAATTTAGAAGCTAATCTTATCATGTATTTAGTACTAAACCAAATTTCAAATTCAAATGAGTTTACATTACCATTAATCACAACAACCTGCATTTATCCTAAAAGTTTAGAACACAATATAAACAAGAAGTGTTGCAGTTTACTTACAATAATCTGTTCATGTTTGCTATCAACAAATGATCCAAGCTAGGAAGAAAAGAAAGTAGAAAGAGCAATTACTTAAGAAAAGTAATTCATAAAACTGTGGTTCAAAGATCATTCTGAAAAGGGAACCAATTTGATGATCTGTTTTACCAAAATAAGAAGATCTGGCTTGTCATTTTGAACTGTTCTTATTAGATCAGCAAGGGGCTCATAAAGTAGACTGTCTGAAGTCGTAAAGGGGCCAGCAGCTACTAACATCAAAAAAAAAAAAAAAAAAAAAAAAACCAACAATCATTGTATGGTGGCCTATTTGTTGTAAGTAGATGTAGTCAGAAAAACACAGTGTAAGGCTCTCTATAACATGTTTTAACCCCTTAATTTCCCAAGATCTGATTGTTAATTCTCCTCTTTAGCTTTTACACATATCCCTGTCAATTAGTTACGAGAACTTGGTGTTAGATTGAAGAAAAAACTCTGCTTGATAAGTTAGAGTAGTCTCACTACCTTTTTTTTCTGGATAATGTATAGATGTTGCAGGAAGAGATTACATGTTGATCACTTCTGGAAGTTCAAGGGTTAAAGAAACTCTTGGGCAGCAGAGTAAATCCTATAACCTGCATCTACTTAACAAATAGATTCCAAGTTGCCATGCGTCTGTTCAGTAATAGATCACAGATGACGTCAAAATGTGGTAAGAACCAAAAAGGGGCACACGAGGCGTAGCCGAGTGTGTCACTGATGTTCTTACCACATTTTGACGTCCTCTGTGATCTATTCCTGAACAGATGCACGGCAACTTGGAATCTATTTGTTTTATATAATAAAGAATTTAAAAAAGTTTTAATGATGACATCATCTATAAGTCTGTCCTCCTATAGATCATAAGTGAGAACCAATCAGAATGCGTGCATAACTGAGCTTATTATATAAACTTACATAGATCAGTAGCTGAAAGCAAGAATTACCTGAGGACATGTCTTCTGAATCTGGCTCAACATTGTCTGATGATGAGCGGAAAGGAAGCTGAACTCCCTAAAAGCAAAGTCAAACAATAATACTGGTTTAAAACTGTTCAGTTCAAATTGAACTGATTTCTATAATTCCTACCCTTCAGATAAGAACCAAATTAAATTTTTCCATAGAGTTGAATCTTTAGGAAAAGAAGAACAAGTAACTTCCAATTGACCACAAATAAGCAAGGACATAGCAACCATAATTCCAGTCAAGCTACAGAAACTTTGATCTCAGCTGAGAGATGCCTCTAGACCCTTGAATCTATCACTCTCAGGGTTCACTTGTCTTCATCCCAGCAGCCTAATCATCGGCCATCATTATGATTATAAAACAATGTGAAACTTTTAAATGGATGAATTTCATTGACTTACTGTACAAATTTTATTGACAACTAATTTTTGCCCAGTGCTGTTTAATCCTTGAATGGCAATAACCTGAAAAGTAAATTAATAATAATAATACTGTTCAATTATTGTTTATTTCATAATGAAGGTGAACAGATAAGATGAAAGACACAGTTACCTGGCCAGGAAAAACTGTAAACTGCCGCAGTTCAGAAAGGTCCAACTTAATTCGTTGTCCTGATGAAATTTCCTGAGAACCCTCAAGTATTACAGACTGTGCATTCAATTTGCCATTGGAATCACAGCAAACACGACCAATGACAGAAACTTCTTCCTAAATTGAAAAAAAAAAGGGTTGATATATATTTGTTAAGAAACAATCCACTTTTATACATATATCTTGTATAAATTGTTTAAATTACCTTCAACAATACCATTACAAGAGAAAAAAAACAATCTTCCAACCACAATCCATGTATGGTGTGCTGTTTCCAGTTTTATCATGTATTAAAAGGTTGTAACTCTGTATCTCTAAAGAAGTACCTGAGTTGGAATACTAAGACTTGAGAATTCCTCAATGCCTAAACTTTCCTGTAATTTTTCTGCCATGTCATCTATGAGGTCACTTAGTACTAAAAGGAAAATACAGGTTAATTTTACTACTGATGCAAAAGAGAGAAAAACAAAAGAATAGAAGAAACTAAAAACAAATTTGTAATTAAATTATTTTAACATTTTCCAAAGCTTACTCAAGATCTATCTTACCAGTCTTAATGAAATATTAGAAGTCAGCATAAAAAGACATACCAGCTGCCTTATCAGCCTGTTTATGAAACATGTATTTGAAGTCATCAAAAGCCTCTTTCTGATCTGCACACTGCACTGTAAGATGTGATGCTGGTAAATGCTGCTGAAAGATTCGTTGTGGATTATCTCCACTGGGATTAAAGGAGCACACAACTTCTCCTGAGTTGCTACGGGAACCATACTTAACACTGGGTGTAGCACTATAAAACAATATAAAACATTTGTTTTTTTCACAAATGAGGACGACGTAAATAAGCAAAAGAAATTGATCCATCACAGCTTGTTTATCTCAAGTTATTTCATGAGAAATTATTCTGTATGCTCTATCAGTTAAAAAATATTGAAGCTATAAAAGATACTTTTAAAAAATCAGTCATATTAAAAATAAATATATTTAAATTCCAAATATCAAGTTCAAATTATGTAATTTTATTACAATTATGCAAAAAATGATTAACATAATTTTGATCAGAATAGTTTCCTGAACAGGCTGCTAAAGCAAATTCAAGTTTTTACTAATGTGTCAGTACAGGTAAGTATACTTCTGTGCAAGGTCAAAGTGTCAGTTGATGCCCCTCTGCTAAATGGCAATCAAGTTACAAATAGGTTGGTGGACACATGTTAATTAGTCACTTAGTCCTCTCCATGTATCTTTGCAAATAAGGCCTTGGCCAGAGAATACCATTGATTTCCGTCAGTTGCCAGTTGGTCAAGGTGTCTCTATGTTCCCCAAGAACACATGACAATGAGGTTAACCCAAATGAGTGATATATCTTTTATTCCTACCTCCTACACACAATTACCTGGCAGGAGAAAAACTAGCTGGCGATAAAGGAGTTGTCCCAGGACTCCAACCAACAGATGCATGTCTTTTTTTGATTGCTGCTTCAGGAGTTGTATGAGGTCTTTTCATTGATCCCTGAAATCAGACAATTTAAACCAAAAGTGTTTGTTGTGGTTGAACAGAAGTAGATTGATTATAATTGGGTGACTGAGAACTATCAGAGAAATGTCACTCAATGCTGGAGGTAACCTAGACAGACAGATCCTTTAATACTTAATTTTTTTTCCAAAATGACACCAAAATGATCAAAACTGAGCTGAAACCAACTCAATAAGAGCAGCCATGCAAGTTAGTCTAATTCATAGAGATAAACAGAACAGAGCCCAATACCTTGTTTCCAGGGGTTTGGTAGCATTCATACAAATCTTCACCCTCCGCATTTATACTGTGTATACCTGTCAAGGTCTGATGCAATGTTTTTTTGTATGAATAAAGGAATATTGTCAAAACCTGGGCTTTAAAACCACTTGATATACAAGACTGACAGTAAGATATATTAAAGGTCACATGGCAACCAGGTGGACAACCAGACATGGTTTGATGCTAATCTGGTTTACAGATTTAATGAATGTAACCAAAGAAGTTACAATTTATAGACCCAACGTTTTGACACTCCTGTCTAGTACCTTCATTGAGGGTGATCTAAATGCTGCAACAAGAGGTTCTTTTATATCATCACTAATTAGCTGCCTTTTTTCTGATGAGGTGTAAATAAGCATCAGGAAGTAAGCCACCATCATCACAATTTAAAGGAGCATGGGTGGAGTTAATATGCCAAGCTTCCAAACAAAGGTGCTGGTGGTAACACCGATTAGTGGTGATAATTTTAGACTTATCCCACCCAATTGTATGGTTAGTTAGGCATGTGTGCTCCGATAAAGCTGAATTTTCTTTTTTGAAAAAGGACACCACTTTTCAATTTGTTGTCACAGTCATTGCAAGGAATAGAATAAAAGGCATCGGTTCGTTGTTCTTTCATGACAGGATCCTTAGGTTTGGCAAAAATATGCCCCAGTCTGAAAAGGTTTTTGAATAACTTTAAAGTTGTGGCTATTCAAAATTCTCTTGATGGGTTCCGTAACACCCTGAATGTAAGGAATAACAGCAAAACCAGTAGCTGGTTCTCTTTCATCAGGAGTGCTGCTAGTTGGAACTGGTTCTCAGCAGTTATGGAGAAAAGTTTTTGTATAGCAATTTGCCTGTAAGACATTAGAAACATATTTCCTCTCCTCAGCCTTCAAATTGACTGAAGATGGTAGACAGTCAGCCCTCCTGAATAAAGTTTTGACTACAGACTTTCTTATGGCAAAATAGGGTGGTGAAAACTGACAGACCAAAAGTATCTAAGGTGATTTGAACACTAGAGAATTATCAGGTTGCAATAAAAGCAATCTCAATAATGATCAAAATATTGTGGCAAATTAAAAGATACAGGTCATCTATGTTATCCTTGTTATACAGTGCAGGCTTGGTCTCTTCCACTTTGATGTTCAACTGCCTCTGTGGTTTCTTGGCTTTATACTGCATTTGAAAATACAGACACAAGAAAACATTAGGAATTATTTCAGTGAAAAAACAGAAAACTAGCAAATACTGTTTAATAAAAGGGATTCTTAGAAACTGAACCTTACATGCTCAAGAATTAAAGACTTTGCAGGCCCAAAACTCTTCATGTATACAGTAGCTGTGTCAATAACTGACCTTGAATTTGATTGATTCCAAGGAAACTGTGCTTGGAATTCCTTACCCCATTTCTCCAATCAATATATACGTCTAACACATCTGAGACTGGTCACCAGCTTAGAGAATGTCAATTAACCCTTTATGCCCTAACATCAGTATCCACATTCTCAATACTTTTCTCTATAGTCATTTCTTTAGGTTCTGACAAGGAGAATTCCTAAAACAATCAAAGCTTTTACGCTTGGCAATCATTTTATTTATTTTTATGATCTCCCTGAATGATTCAGCAGTGTTACTGTGAGGAGAAATTAGATTTTGGTCACTAATAAAGTTTGAAGGGTTAATTCCAAACTGTGCAAACAGTTGAAACTGAATACAGAGTGCTAACAACTAACATTTATCTTTACTAAATAATCATATTATTTTTCCTGCAATTTGAAGCAAATTTATGCTGTTAAAATTCTTCAGATTACAATATTTTGCAATCTTGGAAAAAATTTTGCCTACGAACGACGAAAAAATATTGTACCTATAACCTAGCTACAACTAATGTTTTCCCAACAATCAAAGTTACAAACTAAATGAGTCTTTACCTTTCTTTCAAAATTTTCCAAAGTTGAAAGATCAGGTTCATGAGTAGATGAAATAGATGTCACATAGGCGATCCATTCCTCAACTAACTCAGAGGCACTCAAATGGTACAAGACGCAAAGTTCCTTCACTAATGTGCGCAAAAAAAACAATATATCAGAAGATTTCATTTCTGATTAACTATTGGTAAGAGTTCCACCTCATGGATGGAAAAGGGTATCATTATTTTATACTAACTACCTACATTTATCTAGTACAGAGAGATCATCTATGGAGACAGAAAACTCCTCAAATTCTCGCTCGATTTCCACATCAGTCACCATGTTGGATTTCTTCCTTGCTGGTGTTTGGCGCCAATCTTTACGTATACTTCATTACGAGGCTGACCGTGAGCGATCGACTTAGAGCTGGGAATGAACGCTTTGGTCGTTATTCGATAAGAAATCGAACCAACCTTAGAGCTTCGAGTTACGAGTGAAACATTATCATTCAAGTAGCAACTTTGTTGGTTCGCGATGGCGTCTGATGAACCAGAAATTTATGGCTACTACTACGACAATGAGGAAGATAGAGGGTTGCTTGATCCTGCCTGGGAAAGACAACAAAAAAAGGTACGTTAATAGCTATAAGCTGCAGTACCGTGACAAAGCAACAGCGAGTGCATGATTTACTTGTTTCCATCCTTACGGAAACTATTCTAATTTTTAACATCTTATATATCCTAGATCCATTTATTTCTTTTATTTTGTACGCAGACGTTTACAGCCTGGTGCAATTCTCATCTTCGAAAAATTAACGTCCAAATTGACGAAATTGACCAAGACTTTAGCGATGGCTTGAAACTGATGGCTTTGCTAGAAGTAATATCAGGCGAAAGACTTCCTAAACCCGAGAAAGGACGGCTGCGATTTCATAAAATTTCCAATGTCAATAAAGCCCTAGACTTTGTGGCCAGCAAAGGAGTGAAACTAGTGTCGATTGGAGCTGAAGGTATGTTAGAGGTTGGCAGTGTTATGGGGGGTGTTGTTCTCTAAGGAAACAAGCATGGACTCGTTCACCTATGTACTATGTTTTTTTCAGAAATTGTGGATGGTAACTTAAAGATGATTTTAGGAATGATCTGGACGATAATTCTTCGGTTTGCGATCCAAGATATAGCAGTAGAAGGTAAAGCTTGGCAAATATCCACTGTTGATAACTTCCTAGTTTGCAAGAGTTTTTAACATAATTGTCGTCTTTCCGTCTCATTTGTCGATAGAATTGTCTGCAAAGGATGGCCTGCTGCTTTGGTGTCAGCGTAAAACTGCTCCATATAAAAATGTCAACGTGCAAAACTTTCACACAAGGTAGATTATTCGTATTGATTCGTAGCGATAGCTGCAATTGTATGCATGTGGTATTCGTGTTTATCTATATGTGTGTGTGCATATGTTATCTGATTCTTGCGGTGAGCGATTGTTCCGACAATAACTTAACTAACGCGAACACTGTGGATTTTCTTGTAGTTTTAAAGATGGCTTGGCTTTTTGTGCTCTTATTCATCGTCATCGGCCGGACCTTATCGATTATAACTCCCTCAGCAAGGTAAGATGTTGTCACTAACCGGACACTCCGTTAGGTGCTTTGTACTTAGCAGAAAGTCGATGCTACGCGAAAACCGCAGGGTGTGTCGTATATTGGATCAATTGAATGTCATTTGAATGTCATGCGTGATCCAGTGCACTTTCGTGATCTCAGCTTTGTTCAAGAGAACTAACAAACGATTTTGATTTTTATCGAGTGCCAATACGAGTGAAATTTTTTTAAACCTCAGTCAGGTTTAGTTGATGTTGCTACTTTATGCATGCATGCGTAACTACCTCTGTTTCCTGCCTAACACATATTGCCATTAAAGGAAAAGATCGTCACTATTGTCAAATGATATGTACCAGTTTTCCATATTTATATGGTTCAATAGCTCAGAGTTATTTTTAAAACCTGAAAGTCTAATTGCCATTTAAAAAAACATAATTGAACTTCACAGGTGGCTACGTAACTAGTTTATAAATATGTCTTACCACATTCTGGAAATTTTAGTGGAGTATCTTTTGAATTTGGTTTGATCATTCATGCACCAAAGAGCAATATTTTATGCAATGATATTCTAATTAGATCGAATTGTTTCATGCCTGTGTATGATTGAAACTTTGAAAATTAACAATTCTCTGGAGGCTTATGATGCTCAACAAAAAAAAATTAAATACCTCAAGCTTTGAATGATATATTGTTAGTACCTCTTGTAATTAGGAAAGCTGCCCTGGTGCCTTGAAATATTTGTTGTAATAAATTTATACCAAACTCAAAGACTATTTTAAAATTTTCTCCCTTTTGGCAAATATGCTGATCAAAACTTTATTCTTGTAGCACCTGTCTATCGTTTTATTTAAATTCATTGTGTGCTATATCTTTCTTATTTGCATGAAATTTTAACAAACCAGTCAATAATGATGTGTCAGTTTTCTAGATATTTTTTCCCATCTTGACCAGAAGCAATTTTATCTAAAGAATGGGTTCTCAAAATACACAATTTTCACTTTCCCACATCTAAACTGAAATTATAAAGAGATGCTTTTACAGATCTGCTCTAGTCACTGAATTGAAAGTTTTATCATTCTGTTTCATTTTGGTGGATAAAGTTCGAGAAAGTTTGCTTTATAAAAGCTGTTTGGATGAAAGAAGGGTTAATCTTGAAAATTCAGCTTTCCTTTATTTGAGAAAGTGGTCAATCTTTATCCAATTCACTCTCACAGTAACTCTTTTTCTTGTTTTCTGATGCTAAAAAGAACACTCTTTAGAAAGAAGTGATTTGATTCACTGTAGGTACAGTTAGGAGCTTACCTGCTTGTCTGGTCCTGTTGTAATACATGACTCTTTCTACATTTTTATGATCAGGAGAGGCCTTTGGAAAACTTGAATTATGCCTTTGATGTTGCTGAGAAACATCTGGACATTCCCAGAATGCTTGACGCTGAAGGTAGGTTAGGCTATGACACTGCCAAGGATGATATGTTCTTGTCAGGATCCTTGGTGATACCAAAGAGCAAATAATGAAAAACCATTTATTTTTCAACTGTTCTTTCTTGTTGATAGACATGGTGAACACTGTAAAGCCTGATGAAAGAGCTGTGATGACTTATGTCTCATCCTATTACCATGCCTTTACCAGCTCTCAAAAGGTATCTGTGTGACTGAGGGTGTTAATCATTACTCAGCAGTAGCAGACCAGACAGGTTCATTCATGAAGAGGAGTTAATAATTGATGAGAAATTTCTCTCCAGATTAGTCAGTTCCGATTTTGTATCATTCCACTGTGGTAAAGGAATTTTTTTATTAAACTTACCAGTATAGTAAGTTTAACAATATGCTGACTGATATTCTGTTGCCTGAACAATGCAAAACCTCTGGTGAAACAAATGAATAAACTTCAAAACTGGTTTTTTGTGTCTTTACAGTTTCGTACTTCACAGCTATATAACATGATCATTTTGACCACATGCTAAATGAGACACTTTTTGGCTGCCAAATGGTACTTTCAACATGCAAAGAAATGGTCAAGGAGAACTTGCTTGGCGTTAAGGCCAATTATTTCAAATTTTAAATGCAGCTACCAACCAAAAAACCCCCCAAAAATTTTGTCATAGGTACTTAGATCCCCTCACCCCTAAAAGGAACAAGTATCTAATTTCTCTTTACATAAACATTACTGAATGTAGCATTAAGGTTTTGAGAGTAAAAGGAATTATTATCTACTGAAGAAGCTAAAGTACCATGGGAAATGTATAAAGAACAGGACGGAGAATATGCACTCTGTTGTTGAGGATTAACAACAATTCATTTTGATGGTATTTATAATTGTCACTCAATGCCATGTATTTTTTCCTTGTGATACACAGGCTGACACAGCAGCCAAGCGTATTGGTAAGGTTCTCAATATAAACAGAGATAACGAGAAGATGATGGAGGACTATGAAAAAGTTGCAAGTGATGTATGTATCCCAGATTTGTTTACTTGCCAACATGTGTTTTGGTTTAACTTGTATTTCACAGTCAGAATATATAAATCTTGAAAATGAGGTAAGGTGCCTCTTGAAGGGAGTGGTTTTTCTTGTAAAATCATGCATTGTGGTCTGTGATTTCTTTAATTAAAGGAGTGTTTTGCAGCCAAGTGTACTTCAACTGTGAATGTTCCTTGTCTTATTTCTCATTTTTAGCTTCTTGACTGGATCAATAAAACCCTACCATGGCTGAAGGACAGATCAAGTGATGGGACACTGGGTGATATGCAGGTATTTAGGAGAGGTTCCAATTTTTTTCCCTCTATTAACCTAATATTTTGAAAATAATGACACGTTGGAACAGGAATAATTTGATCCTATGGAAATTTCTCTGTGGTTAAATTTTAACAGTTTTAGTAATCAGATTTGAATTCTATTCCCAGAAAAAGCTTGATGCTCTCCGTGTGTACCGAAGAAGTGAAAAGCCTCCCAGAGTAGAAGAAAAAGGCATGCTGGAGACAAATTTCAACACATTGCAGACCAAACTTCGCCTTGGAAATCGACCTGCATACCTCCCAACAGAAGGGAAAATGATCAGTGTAAGTCATAATGACCAGCTCACTCACTGGTGAATCAAACATCAAGGTTATGAGATTAAAGGAAATGATCACCAACTAAAGGTGATTTTTAAACAGATTCTCCTTGTCAGTACCAGAGAAATGTACAGAGAAGGGTATTGAGAATAGACATACTGATGTTAAGAGGTATAGGGTTAAAAATAGATACAACTCAAAGACTAACTTATGTGCAACTTTATCAGGTGATGCGCATTCTAACTTTATGAGCCAAGAAAATATCACCACTCTCTAGGAATCATTGGAGTAGCCTCTGACCATTACTTCAAAATATTTACATGTTTACCCAAATTTTAGTGAGCTAATAACAGTCAAGAACAAGCCAATAATAATAAGACATCTACTAATTATTACCTAACTATAGTACACACAGGGATTTTGCAGGAAACAAAATGATCATTAAATTCCTGATATGTACCTACAGGACATCAATCGTGCATGGGGAGACTTAGAAGGTGCAGAGAAAGATTTTGAAGATTGGTTGTTGAAGGAAATGAGAAGGTAAAAGTTTTGTGCTCAGACTTTTTTAACACCTAGCTCATAAAAACTAAAGAAATGGTTTGGTAGCAAGTGAAAGCTCTGAAGGGAGAAAATAACTCCTGATGTATGGGTTATTGGCTGCTTTAACCCTGATTTAATGCAATGTAATGGTAATATTTTCAGCCACTTCCTTTTATATGCAAGGTAGAAATTTCAAATTACCGTATTACCCGTATATAATACGTGCCCATGTATAATACGCACCCCAATTTTTCACTAAATTTTTCATAAAAAAAAAGGTTTTCACAGCAAAAAACACATTAATTCTTCCTACAACTGATGTTTCATAGTGGTAAGTTTTGTTGCCATTTCCAATTTCTGATCTCTTATGATTACAGTAATACGGTATGATGGTGATGTTTATCTCGTCAGCTGTTTCTTAAATACTCTACTAAATTTATTCATGGATCAAAATTGAAAAATGTTTCATCAGTAGATTATTTAACTCAAGCTCATAAAGAGCAATTACTACTAGGCTTTTGTTACTTTCTTTGTTGTGTTTTTAACATATGCAAATTCGGACGTGCTTGAAAAACAAGAAACTGTGTATAATACGCACCAAGATTTGATGGTTATTTTTATAGAAAAAAGTGCGTATTAGACATGGGTAAATACAGTATATGGAAATGATAACAATTTGATAAATTTTGTTCTGAAAAGGATGGAACGACTTGACCACTTGGCACAAAAGTTCAAACACAAATGCAATATTCATGAAGCTTGGACCAGTGGAAAAACTGACATGTTGAAGAAAGATGATTTTGAAAATGCTTCACTAGCTGACATTTTGGTAAGTAAATTTTAATTTGTTTCAAACAGTACTTAAGGTCAGTTGGTGGAATGTCATCATCACTCTCATTATCTCCATTGCTGTCATTATTATTATCATTCTCATTACTGTTATCACTGTTGGTGTTGTCATCATTGTTTTCATTGTCATCTTTGGTATTATTATTAACCACAACCTTTTCTATTATTAACTTCTTCATCATACTCTATCATTATCATTGTCTGTATCATTATTGAATGATATCACTGTTATTGTTATTTTCACTATTGTCATAATTGCTGTCATTACAAAAATATTCTTATCCTTTCAATATATTTTTCATCATCATTGTCATTATTATTGCTATTGTGATCATTTTCACGATCAACATCTTCATCATTAGCATCAAGAACATTATCAACATCATCATTAACTTTCTTTCTTTGAAGAAGGCAGAGAATTGTAAAAATTAAGTGTGCTTACCTTTATGCATCAATATTTTTCAGGCTTTGAAGAAAAAGCATGAGGCATTTGAGAGTGATCTAGCAGCCCATCAAGACCGGGTGGAGCAAATAGTTGCAATTGCTCAGGAGCTTAAGTAAGTTTTAAGTTTTTAATGTTATGCTGGACAAATATATTTTTATGGATCAACGTCTTGTGAAAAAACAAATGAAGTTGACTTTGGGATAATCTTTGACCCCTAGACTTGTGTCGTGGTAAAATTATCTCAATGTAGGCTTCGAAATAGGATGCTTTGGATCATATTCAAATTTTTATCTCCCATAAAAAAAATGAATTGATATGCTTTAAAACACCATACCTGGACTTAGCTTATTTGCTAGTTTATTAGCTACAAAAGACAAGTACTTGGTGTAACTGTGATAAAAAATTAGTGTTTGATTGTTTTCAGTGCACTTGGATACAGTGGAGTAGCCTCTGTTAATGAAAGGTGCCAGGTATGTTCTAGTATTATAAAACAGTTTTCAACACTTGCTTTGGGGTTTCTTTGTGTCATTTATATGAAATTACTAAATAGCCACTCTCAAAATACAGTGACAAAGGTTGCAATGAAGTAAGCTACTAATCACATTAGAGGTTATTTCTCAAAGTTTAAACATATTCCCATTGCCTATAAGAGCTATTTCTACTTCTCTACAACTAAACATTTTGATGCAAAAAGCTCCTTTGCCTTGCTGTACCCTTCAGAAAGAAGTATGTTTAAAAACAGAAACAAAAATATAAACTATGTTAATGTTGTTCAATGTAGTTGCATTTCTGATCCCAGTATATTGCAGAATGCTTGTCAGATATGAACTCAGGTCTCAGTAATAGCCAGGCTCACCATGGAGTTCCCAGTAACTATTTGGCAGGGCATACAACCTTGAAATTGAGAGGTCTATGTTTTGAATACTCCTGCACCTCATATTTGAAAATTCCTCCATTCCCACTGTTTTGGTCACTGATTAAAAGTAAGAGTGTGTGCAAACATTTTACATATGCCTTGATTTAAGAATTGGATCTTTATTTCACTTCTAATTGTAGCAAATCTGTGACGAGTGGAAAGACCTTGGACAGTTAACAGAAGATCGACGGAAAAAACTTGAGGTATGTTAAAAGGCTGTTAGTGTTGATCAACTTTCCAACAAACTCACTTTAGGTTAATAAAATGATTTAAAAGGGAATCTACCTTGACAAAAATTATTTAGTGGTAACAATGTGATCATTGATCAAATAACAGTTTGCCCCCAACATAAATTTATTTTTCCATTAATAAAATAATTAAAATTCTTTATACAGGTTATTTTAGGGTTTGAACCAACTTTTTTAACTTTGTTCTCCAGGACCGTGAAAGAGTACTGGTACAACTGGACAATTTGCAGTTAGAGTTTGCTAAAAAAGCTGCGGTAAGAGACATTACTTTATTACTAGCTTAACTATTTGTTAGATATTAGCTGCTTTTATCATGAAATAAAAATTGTATATTGTAAATTAGCCCCTGTGCACTTTTTTTTTCAAATTTATGCTACAATGGAGTTAGCTGAAGCGAAAAGATGTGCTTATTTAATTTTCCAAAACTGTAGCCAGACATGATGGTTATTTGCTAATGCTGTTTACCAGCTGCATGCAAACAGCAACATAAATTGTGAATTAACTCCTTTAAATTCTGAAAATGACCAGCATTTAATTTCTCTTTACAGTGATACTGTTGAATCATTCATTACTATCATGAGAATAAAGGAAATGATCACCAACATAGGAATCTTTGATTTTTACACAAATTCTCCTTGTCAGTACCAAATTAAATGTATTGAGAAGAGTATTGAGAATGTGGATACTGAACATTATGTTAGGGTGTATAGGTTGATATATGGTGCTGATCCTACAGTTTTCTTAGTGGCGCAGTTGATACTGGCAGTTTTATTTCCTAACCTTACAAGTTTGTTTACTAATCTTAGCCAGAAGTTCTGTTGTTTTCTGTAGGTCTGATTTTCTCTCACAAATGCATCTCTTTTTTTTGGTTGTTTTTAAAGCCATTCAACAACTGGCTTGAAAGTGCACGGGAAGATTTAATGGACATGTTCAGTGTGCATACTGTGGAGGAGGTTGTGGTAAGAAATATCTTAATTCTAGCTTAAAGGTTGGAGACCAGGTGCTGTTTAAAAACCGGTGGCCAATCAGAAGTTTCTCCTTTCAATATCAATACGTTTCCAAGTAGAAAAGTGATGGGAGGAAAGGTGGAAATCTTAACTAGGAGATGTTGTGGGATTAAACTCAAAATTCTCTGAGCTGACATTATAAGAAATGTAAGACAGACAGTTATCAAGATCTTAGGATAAACAGACAACTGCATTTTGGTTTCTGATAGGAATTGCAAGATGCCCACAAGTACTTCAAGGACAACATGCCAGCTGCGTCAGATGAGTATAACTCCATTATCAAGTTAGGTGAAGACATTGAGAGACTGACTGATCAGGAAAACCCCTACACCAGCCTTACTAAACAGGTAACAATTCGGTTTTGGGTCAATAGTTTAATTTTGGAGTGTCAGAGACCAAGCACTGTTAGTAAAATAACAATATCACCTTGGTGTGTATTCAGAAGCTTTCACTTACTGTTGACCTTTTCATCATCTTTTTTATCCCAGCAAATCAATCCGCACTTATATCTTGAGAGGGCCTGACCATATTTATTCAAATAAACGCCGCATTTTAGAGCAAAAATATTCGTTAAAGCCGCCCTCGAATAAACGTCGTATCATCATGCGGCGTTTATTCGAATGATAGACTCAAAAAGCACACGGCGATCATTGCTTCGATTGCAGTTGGAAATTTTTAGTGAACCAGACACAGATCCTTTTGATTGTACCAGTTCTGATATCCAAGAAAGCATATCCGCCACAAGATCTTTATTCACCTCATGAATTGCAGTAGTACTAACATGCAAATTGTGAAATTAAGAGCATTTTAAAAAATGACTTTTGAGACAAGCACTAAAACATGTTTCTGCTCTTTACAATCAAAATGGTCAGTTACCATACTATTGTTTGGACTTCGAACAAATGCTGCCCTCGAATAAACGTCGCCCTCGAATCACAAAAAGGCGTTTAATCGAATAATTACGGTATTGCCTTAAGTAAGCCTCTGAACAAGTTTAGGAATGCTATAAAAATCAATTGTCTTTGTTTTTCTCTTTGAAAGGAAATCATGCTTGCATGGAGTGAGGTCAAAACTCTGGTACCAAAGAGAGACGAGCTGCTTGAAAATGAGAAGGAAAGACAAGAACGTATCTTTCACTAAATTTCAGAAATGACTTTTCCATTTTTTTTCTTTAAATGGACGATATTTTTCCGAACTTCTTGTCTTTGAAACTGTTTTACTCAAAGTGCTAAATTTTTAAAGTGAAAATTTCGCGGTAAGGAAAGTGTTACGGGGGGAGCTCGAGCAGAAGCCGTTTCTTCTAATCGCATATAACAATTTACTTCGGAAAGATATATTCCTTAACAGACAAAAGGAAACGAGAGACTTCGGTTGGAGTTTGCACAAAAGGCTAATCAAATCGGACCATGGATCAAACGGAACGAGGAGGAGTTACGGTCGATTACTTTGACATCCAATGGACCTTTGGAGGTATGTTGTTGCATCGCCATGGCAGTAGTAGGCTTTGTATTCTGAAGCGATGATAATAATGAAGTTCATAACATTTGGCAAAATGACAATGGAGCAAAGTCATCCAGTGGGAGCTTATAGGGCTCTAATGGTCGTTGGTCATTGTCAAAAACGCACCCTCACGTAGTATCTTAAAGTTCTCGCGTAGTTTTTTTAGCGGCTGTTCCTCCGCAGTCCTAAGAGTGGGGGCGGTATTCTAACAGGGGGCTGGCAGAACACAGTGGGAGCCAAAGGATACCCCCCTGGCATCCACTTTCCATTCCAGTAATGTGGGTAGTAATGAATACAAAGGCTCATGTTATTGTTATCATAACCAATAACAGGAACAACTGCAAGCTATACAAGCACTCGAAAGAGATGTTACCAGCCACAAGCCTCAAATGGATGAGTTAGAATTGGTTAATCAGGTAAGAAATTAGGTCCTCATTATTAACGTTGCAGAACGCTCGTCTCTCCTCCCTCGAGAAGATTTGAGACGAGTCGAGGAGAGGTTTGCTGGGGTCTGTCACTAATATTATCAGTCCTAGACTGCTTGTAGAATTCTTTTCGGCTCACGTTGCTCGAGTCCACTTGTTTGGAACCATTTTCTGTGACTTGCAAACCACTCTTCAACTTAAAGCAGAAAAATATTTGCTCGATTTAAAAAAAAAGGCAAAAGATACATTAATTTGCCGGAAAGGAACATGTGATTGAGGAAGTGAATGCCTCTTTGTATTACTTTAGATAAAGGAGGGGTTAACACTCTTACTTACAAAAACGGCGTTCTCTTTTCAAAAGGGTAAGATTTCGCCTTTCCGTCTTAAGCCTTGAAAACTATTAAATTTTTGAAAACGTTCTTATATTTACAGGATGTCCAAGAAGCTTTGATCTTTGAGAACCCCCATACAGAGTACACTATGGAAGTAAGCATGATCAATGAATTTCTTGCTAGCAGAAATTCTTGCTAGCAGAAATTATTACTAGAAAGCCAACAGGGTCTCTGTTGCTATAACCAAGCTATGTCTACCTGTAATGTCAAGTGATGGACTAGCGCATTTCAAGTTACTGCCATAAACCATGATTGGTTAAAGCTTGAATGAATAAATAACTATGAATTTCTGTCTTTTTGTGCAGGCCCTTCGGGTTAACTGGGAGCAGCTGCTAACCGCCATCGCTAGAAACATCAATGAAGTTGAAAATCAGGTTGGAATTCAGCTAAACGTTCATTGGATGAATAGTTGAAAATATTGTGAAGCTGATATCATGGATAAATCGATTGACAATGTCTTTTGCAGTTCGTTTCGTGATTGACTTTTGATAGCTTTGTTTGACTTAGTTCTGGCTAGGGTAACAATTGAGGACAGCAAAGGGAAAATCTGCTTCCTTTTCTCTGCCATTTCTATTAAAAAGAGTGTGTTTCCCGAACTTTGTTTAGGCAAAGTGTTTTTGTATTCGCAGATTCTAACAAGGGATTCCAAAGGTCTCTCAGAAGAACAGATGAAAGAATTCAGAAATTCATTCAACTTTTTCGATAAGGTTTGCCATACTTTGATACTGGAGAGATAGGATCATAGCTTATTGCACTATCCCTTTGGTATGCGTTTGTAGTTAGTCTAGTGTGTGCGCGCTATGTAAACCAGCACCGTGATGTGACATCACGTTTCATGGATATTTACATGCACATTAGTCCAAGAAATTTTTGCACAACTGAAATAGTAAAGAAATAGTAGGCGAATGTAATGAAAGTTGTCGGTGGTATATTATGAAATCAAAGGTTACATTTTAAATATTATTTCGTCGTATTTTTATCGCGTTAACTTTTGTTTTGTTTTCTGTTTGTTTGTTTGTTTTTTTTAGGATGAAAATTCGCGACTTGAGCCTCATGAATTTAGACAGTGCTTGGTCAGTTTAGGACACTCGCTTCCTGAAGGAGATAAGGTTTGTGAACGTGCTTGACACACACACACGCTTTTCACTTACAGCACAGCTCTGATTTTAACGCTCAAAAGACCACTTGAATGGTGGGTATTACCTCGCGGACTTTATCTGATCCGAGATGCGAACAGCTTTTCAAGGCGAGGTAAAATCTTAGCTTTTAGGGCGCAGCTTAGCAAAACCAATGCAAAACGAAGCGCACAGAGCGTATCAGAGCAATGTGAACGCAAGTGAGAGCCACAGAGTTACAAGGACCAGTTAACACTAGAATTAATGCGATACATTTTGCTCATGGTTGTGAATAGAAAAAACATGGACTGCGTATTATTTGAATAGTTGATATTCTATTATATCTTATATATTATGTTTATATTATTAATTTATTAAATCCCACAGGGTGACGTAGAGTTCAATCGACTCATGACAATTGTAGATCCAAACAACACAGGTTTCGTGACTTTCCAAGCATTCCTTGACTTCATGACGCGTGAAGTAGCTGATACGGATACCGCTGAACAAGTCATGGAGTCATTCAGAATCCTTGCTGGGGACAAGGTGACCCTCTATCTCTCATGATATTGTTTTACATTTACGTCCCTTGTCCCATTTTGTGTTTGGTTTATGTCGTCGGTGGTTGAACAGCTTCTTGTTCGTATTTTACTTTATTTGTCGCGGAAAAATTTTAACCCTTCAATCCCTAAATGTGACTAGAGTCTAATTTCACCCCACAATATCACCTCTGACTCAAATATTAAGGTGACGAGAACATAGGAAATGATAACCCACTAAAAAAGCTCTTGATTGATAAACAAATGCATACTGATGATAGGGTCTAAAGGCTAATGACTAAAAGTGAACAATTAGTTCCTGTTTCCGATCGCGTTCGTGAAAATGTTAATACATATATTTTTTTGTTCTGTTACAGCCGTTTATCACTACAGAAGAACTGAGACGCGAATTGCCACCGGATCAAGCTGAGTATTGTATTGCTCGAATGGCTCCTTATGAGGGACCTGACGCTGTGCCAGGTGCTTTGGATTACATGTCCTTCTCCACAGCACTCTATGGCGAAAGTGATTTGTAAACACTTTTATGGTATTGTAATGTGAGGGTGGTGTTACTGGGGCCAGTCTGGGGTGACTGTAGCCTTTCAGTTTGTTTGTAGTTTCCAGACAGTATGCTTGTGTCTTCTATACTCTGTGTAGAGAAAAGAGATTGGAAAGGATAAGAATGACATTGAGGGCAAACGTCAAAACTAAATTTTCTTGCTGTCTCCTTGCAGCCGATTTTATTCAGAAGTAACAATACTTCCATAAACTATGAATTAGAGATTTTTTAAACTACATGCTTGATTTAAGAAGTAATCGAATTCTGTGTAAAACGAGAGTTAAGTTTTGCCGTTTGCCGTAACCGTAAACTTAACAATTAAATACACTAAAGGCAGTTCGTAATACTTTGTATGGAACCTTCGCTCATATTTTGGACAGAGAACTTTGACGAATTTTGAACGTTGAAGAACACCTCAAATGTAGATCGAATATATATTTTGGTGAACTAGAGCATGTTAAAGTAAGGTACAATTGGCTGCTTCGGTCTGCTGCTTGTTTTTCCTTTCAGTTTTGGATTTTTCGGACTTCAGACTGAATTGCGTTGAATGAAAAGCTTTTTCTGGCGGTGAATATCGGTAGCAGGGGTCGAAGTCCCGTTTTATGGTAGTCTACATTCTACAATCAGATATTTTTGTCGAGTGGTTTATCACCCATTAGCTTATTACTAGAAACTAAAGAATTCATTTTAATTTCTGGCCCAATTCATAAGGAAATGCCACGTAAGATAAATGTAGAATAGGTATCAATTGTTCTTCTCTTCTATCGAGTAGCGTGTGTAGGCAGCTGTCAGTATTTTGATTACCTAACTGTATTAAACTGCAGTGATGAATATAAATTTATATAAACTTACTATGTGTCTGTTGATTTTTGACTGCCGATACGTCAATTCGTTTCCAAGGTCTTGTCTTTACCCTGAAACACCACCTACCCTAACCCCCACCCCCTCGAATAAAACGATGGTTAAGACTAAAGACTTCTCAACGCTTGTCTCTTTTTTAACCTCCCTATGATTGTAAAGCAATGGTCCTATCCAGGAGCCCCCTAAGGGTCCCTTAGCGAAGACATGCCATTGGTCTCATCAAGGAGCCCCCAAGGGTCCTATAGCGGAGACTTACCAATGGTCCCAACCAGCATCCCCCCTAAGGGTCTCATAGCTGAAACGAAAATAAATATCAACCTGCAAAAGGGTAAGCAGATCCCAAGTGTCATTAAAAAAATCTGTAAAACGTCTTAAGATTTACATTTTTAAATCCCTAGAAGAACGGTGAGCGCACACTCCATAAATGGTTAAACCAACGCCTATCATATTATTTATTTTAAGTATCAAAGTTAAGCCTCAAAGTTAAAGTATGTACTTCGTCACGAAAACCTTAACCCTGAAATATCAATCCCGGAGAGAACAAAAATGATTTCCCCTTACAGTGTCGATACGTTTTAAGCCAGAAGAAGAGGAGAAGTAAAAATATAAAAGTATTGGGATAAAGTTTGATTTAGCACCAAACTCTCATGACCAAAATTGTAAGAAATGTATGGCAGGCAGTATGGATTTTTTACCTTGAATGTTGGGTTTCATTTTGGCGTTTTAGAGAATTGCCTTTTGTAGGATGAAATTTGGAATGATTGGCGTATGTGGAAAACACCAAAGAGGTGACGATAAATTAACGGAGGACTGGGTACGGCTAAAGATGGCGAGGATTAACTTTGGAGATAAAGGCTTAAGTTCTTAAAATGGAAAACAACAGAGACTTAGTTCTTTAAATCAGAAATTTTCCCTTAATATCTCAAGTGAGCACAATTTCTCACATCTAAGCTGAAATGTATCTTGCAGTCTTTTGAAACACAGATCTCTATATCTAGTACGTATTTATACTTTACTTTCAATTTCCTTTTGCCAGTATTTTTGGTAATCCGTTCTTATATCCACTGATATCAACTTCTTCAACTGACACGAGGAATTTTTTTTTTTTTTTTTCATGGAGTGCAGTGAGGAGGAACTGAATCATCGATTCAAAACGGTCACTCAAATGAAACTCAAGATTTAAGACAAATACCTGAAGATTATATTTTTAGAGACCCTCCCAATTATAATAGGCTTTTCCTCTAGATTCTGGTTCGATAACAACAAATCCAAGTTCTCATTTGTTTTCGTCGCCTATGTGGCTGGCGTACCAAAGAGCGTGATGAGTGGTTGGGTGCGGGGGGGGAAGTTGTATTGAATCGTGAAGGGCATTTCAGCGCGCATTGCTTTCGGCTATTTTACTTCCTGAGAGGCAGGTCACGCGTATCAGTAAATATTTGCCAAATACATCTTCAAGTTCCGTCCATTTCGCCTCCGTCGACTCACCCACGTTCTGGGTCACCTCCGAACAATGTTTGTTAGTCTTTCCTTCAACTTGCGGTTTGAAAAGCACTTACGCAAAGAGGTTGTAAAGGAATAACATCCCTGCATCTTCGCGCTTAGAATTTCAAGGCGTTGCATCCGGTGATATGATCAGCATTTATATCCTGCTCCCTATCATGGGAGTTGGAATTGTCAGAATGTTGGTGTGGTCAAAAATTCGACAAAACGCTAATATAAACGTGAAACATCGGTGGAGGTGATCGGATGTTTGCTACCACAACGAAGATTTCCGAATAATCCCGAAAATATATTCAAGGGGTATTTGAAGTCACGTGTTGTAATCATGCCGATCAAGAGTCAATCGCGGTGGCGTTAGGTCACGAATGAGAGCGGTGTGGATTAATTTAGCAATTTGCTTTCCTTCTGTCTTCGAATGATATATTGTCATACTTGAGTCGTCGCTGCAGAATGGCATAAAAGACTCGGTAAGGACCGGAAGTCATCATCATCTGTTATTTTGGTTTGTGAGCACTGAACGGTATTCTTTATCGACTGATAAATTCCTGTCACAACTGATCTTTCGTTCGATTTACGACAAAGTTCATTGTGACCACTTGGACAAACTGACAGCTGAATCCTCCGCCTTACATGCTAAAATATTTCACATTAAGCCATGAGCAACCTTGGCAAGAAGTCGAAATGGAATTTGTCGGTTTTCATAACAAATTTAAGCACCGAAAAGTCGGTTGAAGTGAATGGAGAAACTCATGTTGGCAAATTAATGCTGGACCTCGTTGAAGGGCTAGGTAAGTGTCATAACGGCGCGCCTCTGATTCCACAGCATAACCTTTTGATCGGGTGTGGTGATTATGTCGTGTGTAAGATGTATTTCTGTTGAGCAATAGCGAAATAAAATTGTCTCGTGACTTGCAATTGTTTTTTGAGATGTTGTTGACGGTAACATTTGAGGCAATAGTTCTTGTTATGTATTGGAATTTGAAAGCAAATGAGCATCCAAAGCTATTTGGTTTGAGGTAGACATGTGTAAATATTACGATCATGTTACGGCCATTTGAACGTGCGAAAAAGGAGAACTATTTACGTTAACTATGTGCTCTTTGTTTCATATCGTCTGTCTACATTTTTACAGATATAGCAGCCGACTGGTCCGATCATGGGTTATGGTGGCCTCAAAAACGACAGTGGCTGCTTAAACCTCGATTGACACTAGATACCATTGGTGTTCAAGGAGATGCGGTTCTACAGTTTACTCCAACGCATAAAAAAGTTCGAGTACAGTTACCAGACCTGCAATACGTTGAAGTCTCATTGGATTTTTCCAAGCCCATTTTTCACGCCGTGCAAGAACTTTGTGCCGAACTTGGAATCAGGCATCCCGAAGAACTCTCTCTGTTGAAACCATACGAAGGGTTGAGAAAAGAAGGCCGGAGAAGCTTTCGTGGTAAATTAAAGAAGAGACATTCGCAGTCTTCGCTTAGTTCGGACGACAATTTATCTACTAATAGCGACGACAAAACGAGAGGAAGCAAAGATAGTTTAACAGTTCCAAATTATAATTCGCTTCCCAGGCACGGTTACTCCTCACCGAATGGCACCCTAAACGCGTCATCACCGGTTGGTTATTCAAGTTTTACGTCTGATGGGTCTTGTGGAACGATCGAATCAACATCATTATCGAGCAGCCCAGTCTCTCCATCAATTGAAGCTATTTCAGCATTATTTAAACCCAAAACGCTACAAGAAAAAGCTGTTGTCAACAAAGGGTATGCTTGTTTGTTTGCTATGAGAGAAAAATTCTAGGGCCCGACTAATGTTGTAAAAAGTACATCAATCTACTTTATTTAAATGTAAAATGATCTCCAACAGTCCATAAAAACCTCGATTAAATATCACTTTGTGATCTCGACTTTTGGGGTTTTGAGAAGCCTTTCTTTCATTTTCTCTCATTCTTCTTCCCTTCAGCAAACAATAGGGCCATTGAAAAGTAATCCACTGCACTCAGACCTCACATATTTCCTAAGCCTTGATTATACAGTGATGGTTTAATTTGATGTGTTCACATCTTGTGTGAATGAAAAGGGTTTTAAGCTATGAATATAAATGGCTTGATCCTGTTTTGTTGCACTGGTGTCTAAGGCTTTCTCCTTAATCCCTCATAAGACATTGATTCCTAAGGATTTTTATCTGGTGGTGTCCATACTTAGTCGTTTCAGATCTAAATTCACTGGATTCATACCCAGTTTGAGTCAGTTGGTACCCAAACTGTTGGTAGATTTGTACCCATCCCAATATATATTCATTTTGAAATACTCACACTCAAGCACATGAACAGATGTCCATCATTTTGTGGAACAAGTTAGTAGAGTCAAACACAAGCTAGTAAGATAAGAGCAAAGTTCTCTTTGTATGCTTGTGACCATCTTTAAAAGAAAAACTAATGAAAGCTGTTATAAATGTGTTTTTTTTCTCCTTTGGTTATCAATTGTAATAAATCCATTTACTCTTCTTTTTTTTTTTCATTTATTGTACTCTTCAAACACATTTAATATGGAAAACATACTGTATTAGTTTGGGTACAAAACCACCGTGGGTAACGACTGGAAACCCATTTGGTATAGCAGATTGCAAAACTACAGCAACCTGCACTGCTCTTTTGAAAAAGAATATAGTGAACTATGTTCATGCTTCAAGCTTTAAGGAAAGACACAGCTAGCAATGGGATTTGCAAGAAAAATCACAATTCTTTGCAATGTGTTTAGAAAACAAAACTGTTAGCCACAAGATTTCCTCTGAATAAATTGCACAAAACCATTGAAATTAATTGTAAAGAAGTTAGCACCTGTTTTAGTACAGGAATGCACAAAGGTACATTTTTAAGTCTTTTAATGAGCTTGTACTGTGAAATAGACATTTTTAAGAAGATTGGAATTGTGATGGAAATTTTTTTTCCTGTTGCAAGGCTTAGAATTTCATTCATTCACAGTTTGGTTCATTTTTGACTGTTAGTTAACTGAAACATTTTCTTATTATCTGTCTGTGATTGCATTATTCACTGGATTAACATCCTCATATTTCATTTTGGGAATGGTAGATAAAAATTTGTGTTAAAAACTGGTTACAATTAAGAACTGCCCATGTTAAACGCAAATTTTAAAGAACTCTTTGAGCCTGTTGTTAATTTGATATTTACTGTTTTTACACTTATTTTTGTCAGATGGATGGACTCTTCAAGATCTTTAATGGCACAGGTATGTTCGTATTGTCTAATCCTGGGTTTGCCAATCAAGTGTTAATTTTTTAATTTCCTAATTGTTGTGGTGTATATACCACTCTAGCTAGTTAAGTTGTAAAACTTGTTTGGTCACTAATAATTATTTCAACATTATTTTTGCAGGAAGTTGCAGAATTTTCCACGCTCCTGTTGAGATATAAGTACTATGCATTCTTTGACCTAAACCCAAAGGTAGGTAAAACAGGTTTTTATAAATTCTTTATCTCAAAATAGATCAGTGGAAAAAATAGAGAAAAGCATCAGGGAAATCAAATGATTTTCTAAGAGTTGCCAGATAATGCAGAGCAACCTGACTGTTTGTTTGTTTGTTTTCATGAAAAACCTGAGAATGGGGATGAGATATTTTTAAGTATTTCCACATGTGGGTTTGATTGATTTGCAATTGCTAACTAATGATAATTCTTGTTAATAACATTATAGGTTGATGAAGTGAGAATCAATCAGCTGTATGAACAAGCTAAGTGGTCAATCTTGACAGAGGAAGTAGAGTGTACTGAGGAAGAGATGTTGACATTTGCCGCCATACAGGTAAGGGTATTTTAAAATGGTCATTTAAAATATTGAACTTATCATATGTCTTTCATCCTTTTTCATTGAAACACACCCATCACCTGTGTCAAGGTTGAGATTTTATCATGTGGTTCTAATTTCTCAAAAGGACTGGGAGAAGAGAGCCGTGTTCAAGACCTGGTCAGGTCTTTGTGTTGTGGTCTTGTGTTAGACACTTCATTCTCACAGTGCCTCTCCCCACCCAGGAGGGTACCAGAGAGCTATCAGTAAATCCTTAGGAACAGCAGCTTGCTAACTTGCGATGAATTAGCATTACATCAAGGCAGAGTAGCATTACTATCAGTTGCTTCATACTATGGAATTTAACTGGAATAAGTTGTGACAATTTGGGCCACTCGGCCTGCGTTCAGAAGTTTACCCCTCAACTTTTGGTTGATTATCATTCAGTCAACGTAGCTCTGGCCCCGTGATGATGACGAAGCTTGATTAAACTGGCTAACTTTTCTTTTTCTTTGCTTGCTTATTAGTTTCAAGTGAAGTTAACGTCAACTTCACCACAGAACCAAGCAACGAGTGATGATGACAATGAAGACATTGATGCAGCGCTCAATGATTTACAGGTTCTTATTAACAACAGTTGTGTTCATTTATAAAGGGGGTAAATTTCTTAAGAAACTGTGGTGCTGCGTTGGTGGGGGAGTACTTCAAGATAATTAAGTTTTATCAACTGAGTTGATAATGACAATTGACCACTGTCAGGAGTTGTTAAGCTGATTTTTTGAGCATTAACCATTTGTCAGAGGGATTGATTTATTCTGACGAAGGGCTAGCACTCAAAATGTCAGGTTAGAAACTCCCTATGGGGGCTAATTTACAGTATCAACCCAGTAATAAAACCATATTACCTTTAGTAATAAAGGGGGTAAGTCTCTAAAGAAACTGTGGTGCTGCATCAATGGAAGAGTATAACAAGGCAATTTGGTATCATCTATTGAGTTGATAACATAAATTGGCCACAGTGAAGAGTTTCAAAGCTGATGTTTCTTGTGTTAGCCCTTCATCAGGGGGAAAATGTTTAGAAATAGTTCTTTTATCATACATCTGCAAAGGAGAGTAAGTGAAGGCTTCACATTGCCCCAGTGTCAACAATGTTATGGTAATTTTAAAACTTAAAGCCCAAAAAAGGAATGCAAACTTTTAACCAACATCTTCTTACCTTAGAACACTTCAGACTGCAATCATAATTTTATGCATAGAGTTGTTTCCTTTTCTGGCTCCTCTGCAACCACTGTAGAAGCTATTTTAAATGAATCATCTCATGAAATTATTTTGATGTTGGTGAGATGGTTGTGAAATGTATTGAAATAAACAAATAGATCAATTGATTTTCCAAAATTCAGTGAGAAGTATGGAATATTGATTAGGTAGTGATATATTACATGGTGATGATTTGCTCTTTACATGGCAAGGTATCTCGGAAGCAGAACTAATCATGAGTACATTTTTTCCCAAGGCAACTCTTGAAGGCTCATCACTCACCACTCCAGGGCAACAGAAGGTACGTACACTCTGGGACTTTTGTAGCTTTTATAGTCTCAGATTAGTTGTTCTATCATTAACCTTAAATAAATAAGAGGAAACATTTTTCACTGTGACTTTATTCATCCAGGGGCCATTTTTTTCAAATTCTCGAGCAAAGCTTTTGAAATATTTTTACTGCAAGCTGTCAATGGGAAAGATGAAGGAAACTTTCTAATCGTCAATTTCCATTTCAGGAGATTAACTAGATAAGAAGAAAATATTGGTAATGATAATAAGCTTGTGACAGGAAGGGGAAAAATCTACTTTGTGGATACTTTTTGTTGTTTTAAACTTCTAAGAATGGCTTGGTACTCACTTCTAAATAATGTGATATTTATTTAGTTGTTTTGTATCTTAGCAGAGTCTGACATCAGTTCCAGAAATAAAAGATTATCTTCATTTGGTGAAGTAAGTGTTTCTGACTCTGTCTTGTTTCTTCTAAAAATTAAAATTAAGTTCAGTAATGATGCAATTATCTGAACCCTTTAAACCCAAAGAGTAACTGGCATCTAATTTTTCCTTACAGTTGGTAATACTGTTGAATCATTCATAACGTCATGAGAATAAAGCACATAATTGCCAACTTTAGAAGCTTTGAATTCTCCTGGTCAGTTTAGGGTGTGAAGGGTTAAGAATGATCTAAGGTGGTGTTTTTTGTTCTCCTTTCCTAGGCATAAAACATTTGGTTCGAAGAAAAAGAAGTACTGGTTTGTCTTCAAAGGTACAGTACCCCCAAATAAGCATTTTTTCTTTTTTTTCTTTTTTTTTTTTTTTCAAAACATTCCTTGAACATCCTGTTCAGCCTGTAAATAATGAATTTTTTCCTTTGCAGACACCATCTTGTCACTGTTTAAATCTCAAGAGGAAGCTTTTGGTCAAGCAGTTCAAAAGTTTAATCTGAGAGGTAACCAACATGGAAGAATTTACCATTATGGAGAATGTAATGTAGCAACTGTACTAAAAAAATATAAAAGGACAGGAATACACTTTAGTATCAGTATGCATATTCTACACATCCCCTGTGAAATAAAAGAAGAGAATTTGTCAAACAATCAAGATCTTCAGTTGGTGATCATTTCCTTTATTCTCCTGACCTCATGTTTAATTTGGAGGGGATACTTTAAGGAGAAATTAGATGTCAGTCACTTTCCTGGGTTATAAGGTTAAACATAGGTTTTGCAGGCTGCATGAGCATTACACACACAACACACTTAACTACAAATATTTCTGCCATCCTTCTTCTACCCATTTCTTTTATCTGAGGAAACTTTTTACTTTCTCTGGAGAATTTTCTTTCAAGTCCAGCACTATGTGATTACTGAGCTGATTATTGTTGTTGCCCTGTAGGTTGTGAGATCACCCCAGATGTTAATGTCAGCAAAGAGAAATTTAACTTCAAAGTTAAGCTCCAAGAATCAGAGGATGTTGAAATCTGCTGCTCTTGTGTAAGTAAAAAGTTTATCTCTTTTGAGGAATATCTCCTTAACTCCCTTCAAAGTTACCTTTTTTCTAATGGTTGAATACCTTTATTTGTTTTTTTATCTTAGGAATCTCAGTATTCTAAATGGATGGCAGCCTGTCGCCTGGCATCCAAGGGAAAGACTATGGCCGATTCTGGATATGATGCGGAGGTCTCTGGTATCCAGGCCTTCCTCAGCATGCAGCATGATAAGGGGGATGCCACGCCCCTTAGTCCTGGACAAGTGAGTTGATGCTCTATCTTCAGTATGTTTTGACACGCGTTAACAAAACTAACGGAGCGGACTGGTAAACTGTGCGTGGAAAATGGACTCAAAAATTAAAAAATTAAAAAAAACAAAAACAAAAAAAACAGAAAACAAAAGAATCAAAAAAACTTAGAAGAGAAGAAAATTTACTGCAAAAAGCTGAAATTTTTCTCACTGGCTTCAGTTTTCACACAAGACTTGTTGCTGTGTATGCTGCCTGGATCAGCACGCTATGGGATTGATTTGGCTATGCCAGACAAAGTTCTTTGATTATGTTAGGGAACTCACGCCAATCTGTCAGCCAATCAAAATCTAAAACCAGTGGCCTCATATGGCCACTTGATCACACGCGTGCTACAGTGCTAGAGGCAGTTTGCGTGTTTTTATTTTGAGTCCTCATCAGCTCCTTGTGGTATTTTCTTTGCTCTGATTGGCCACTGTCGTTGGTGCTGGTTTCATGACCCTTCCATTAAAAAGTGCTTTCTAAATTAACATTTGACATGTGATGTTTCATCTTTTCAGATTCCCATTCAGCCGGAAGATTTCGTTGGTCCAAGAATGTTGAAAAAATACAAAGCTAAGCAGGTACTGTTAACTTCTGTCAGCTTCTCCAAGTGAAAGCAAAGCTGAGGAACCACGCTTTGTTTCTTTTGCGCTTTTTCTTTCTTAGTGATTCTCTTTAATCCTTTGTTCCCGCTACACTTCCTCCTCTCCTCTCCTCTTGCAGTAATGTTTTCGTTCTACTGTCGACATGAGAAACTCAAACACAGACGTTTTAACCGCGGATTGTACAGCTACTTCTTGTGCCTTGTATAGCATTAATTTTTTTTTCAACTTTCTCTTTCAGATTGCTGCTCGTATCCTTGAAGCGCATTCTTCTTTGAACAAAAGCTCGTTGGTTGAATCTAAAATGCTCTATGTAAGACAATGGCAGGCGTTGCCAGAATTTGGTCTCTCTCATTTTGTCGTTCGATTCCGCGGCTCAAAGAAAGAGGTAATTGTTTTTAATAAAAGTAAGCAACTTTACAGCTGAAAAGCATTTCAGTAATTTTTCGTTTTGACAAAGGTAATATGCATTTGTCACGAAAGACGGAAGAACAGTTTACTTCCTTGTTAAGAATATAACCTCGTTGTAAGCGAAGAAAAGCTCCACTCAGGTGACATTTTACCAATACTCTTCTATGAGGACCTGTAGTCTTGACTTTTGTTAGAACCTTGAACAGTTCTTATTTCACTAGTTGGGATATTTCTTTGTTTTCTTTTGATTTTCGTTTTGTATGCTTTGTTCTAAATTTGTGTTTTGTTTATTTTTTATGTCATTTTGTAAAGAAAATCCTTACAAAGGCAGTTGTGGGACCTTTCATTACAATTCAGTTTGATTTAATTTTTTTTCTTTTCAGGAAATCCTTGGAATCGCATTTAACAGAATAATGCGAATCGACCCGACAAGTCGTGAAGCATTAAAGACCTGGAGATACAGCGTGATGAAAGCTTGGAACGTAAACTGGGAGACCAGGGAAATGGTTGTCCAATGTGAAGGGGAGACCATTACGTTCGCGTGCACGAGTGCAGACATCAAAGTCATTCACGAGTTTATTGGAGGGTACATCTTCATGTCAATGAGAAAAGATGTCAATCAGCCATCTAACGAAGAGCTGTTCTTCAAACTGACCGGGGGTTGGGTGTAGTCTGCCTCCTGTTCGAGTCATTTCTTTTTTATTGACAGTTGAAGAAGCGATCATGTTTCTCTGGCTTCTCTTGTCACCTGTTTTTGATTGAATTTATGTGTCGCCAAGCAAAACCATCTATCTCTCTTCTTGTGGCAGTGCTTATAGTGCGGGAAAATGCGGGTGACCAAGTTGTGATTGGTTTTAGTTTTGCATCTGATTGGTTTAGAGTGGCGCGAGTTTTCTGGACCAATCACAGAGCGAAGTGATGCAAAACTAATGGCATCTCGGATTACTTTCCATACTCAATTGAAAATTGTTATTCTCCATCAGTCTGAGGTAAACTAGCTTCGTGTTGTGTCATCTATGTCTGATAGTTCCGGGAGGAACTGATATTATTCTACCCGTGAACGGGTGGAGACACAAACAAGAACAGAGCATGACATCTGTCTATCAGACTTCTCAGAACGGAGCAGGTAATTTAGTGTTAACAACTGAGTTGAAAACGTAAATTAGCCGCCGTAAAGAGTAAGAGAGCTGGCGTTTCGAGCGTTAGCCCTTCACTCTGACGAAGGGCTAACGCTCGAAACGCCAACTTTTTTACCCTTTACGGGGGCTAATTTACGTTTTCAACTCAGTTGTTAACACTAAATTACCTGCTATACTCTTCCACCGACGCAGCACCACAGTTTCTTTAGAAACTTACCCCCTTTTCTCAGAACGGACTCTGATTGAACTGTAGTTGGAGATGCCACGCGTCCTTGAAGGTCACCAGAATTTTACGACACTGTTAAATGTCAAGGTTAACTGCAACTATATTCCGTTAATACATAGCGTTTCTCTCAGTTTAGTTTATAAATGTTTTATTCGGTCTACAATGGGTGAAATCTCGAAGGTTGATATTAAGCAAACTGTTGTTTGTTGGAGAGCCTGTTTGATGAAATTTCAGAGGGTACATGCTGTAAATGCGATAAACTCTTCTCGTCTTCCATGTATGAGTTATCCTAAAGTATCCATACGGTAGCGTATATTAATGTCAGGGAAATTTATCGCCTTGTTATGGAGAAGTCACGTGTAACGCTAAACCACCATATATTTTTTACTTTGTTTGTTTGTTTTATTTTGAGTTAAGATTTATTTTTGACTTTTGCCTCATGTATTTTTTTACTCTGTTTTTTTGAGTTAAGATTTATTTTCGACTTTTGTCTCACATATTTTTTTACTCTATGTTTTTTTGAGTTAAGATTTGTTTTCGACTTTTGCCTTCGTGGAAGAGATGATCAATACACAGTCAAATGAAGGGATCTGTTGAACACAACGGTCCTAAATTTGTAACCAATTTGTTACTGTTAATAAGTATTTTCCTCGTAATTTGCCACTGTCATGTCAAGACAGAAAGAAGAGACTAAACACTCACTCACAACAGGAAATCTTAGCACTTAGTTCAAACAATTATATCAATATCGTTTGGCTGCCTCGTACGAAATCAGTTAATGTAATCACTGATGTGACATCAATAAGTGAGCGACATGATACCATGTACAAATTAATTATGACTTAAATAAAGGAATAGAAAGAAATAACACGAACAAAGCGGGTATTTGATCATCATTGCGAGAAAGTTTGGTATTGAGGACCTAGTTCAGGTACTTGTCTCCAAGCAGCTGTTATTTTCACACAAATCCACAAGGTCTATCAAATTGATCGACAGTCAGCACTGCAAACGGCTGAGAAGGAAAATACTGATCGCATTCCATTAACTCTCACATTTAACCCTCACAACCACGCGGTTAAATCTATCATTCTTAAAATCTGTAAACTACTTCAAAACGATTCAGAGACTGGTGCTATCTTTTCGCAACCTCCACTAATTTCATTCAAACGCGACAAAAACATGGGCAACTTTTTGATCAGAAGTTCATTTCAAACCAATGACTAACCAGGAACTCTTAAATGCGCTCACTCACGATGCAAAACTTGTTCTTTCATTCATAACGTAGAGAAAATATCGGGGCCCAAGAGATCTATTAAGATTACTGATTACTTTACGTGCACTTCCGCCAATGTCATTTACTGCATAACCTGCACTTATTGCAAAAAGTTATGCATTGGTGAAACAGGAAAACGATTTGATGACCGATTCCGAGAACACCTTCGCGATATAGGGGGAAATGACATGGACGCATCCAAAACAGTCCCGAGACACAAAACTCCCTAATCATTCTAAGTAGCATATGGCAGTTTGCGGCCTTTCCCTACTTCGAGGCAGTTCGGAAAGCCACAAAACTCTAAAACGAAATTTATCTTTCAAATCGGCACTCATCATTCCCAATGACTTTGCATTCAACTAATTTGTTCTTGTTTCTCGTCACCATATTCTGCACATAGACCCACACACAACCTACGATTCCTCCAATCGCTCTGATGAAGGGCTAACACTCGAAACGTCAGCTTTTAAACGTTCTACGGTGGTCCATTTACGTTATCAACCCAGTTGACAGTACTAAATTACCCTATTCTTTTCACACACCAGCTCACGATGGAGAGAGTTTCATTTCTTTTTTTTCTCTTTTCCAAAGCGAAACATTCAGCTGATTGCACGGATTCTAGCTGAAGCTGAATAACTCATAGCTTGCCCTGATATCGTTCCTTAAAACAAACAGAGCTGTGAGACGTGAAGCAGTAAGATTTTATTGAACACGTACTGGGTTATGGATCTGTGACTGAACGGTTTTCAAGGAGAAAAAAGGAACCTTATTGGACAAGTTTCCACCGCGCAGTCCGAAGTCGGAGGAGATCCTCTGAAAACAAACGGAAGCGTCCCAAAACAGAATTCCGTTCAAAATTGTCTATGCCTAACACATCTGCCAGGGCCGTGCCGTCGATGTAGACACGATTTTCCCAAAGCGGCCTAATTTATGTTTTGGAGACTGGTGCTTAAAGTTTGTTCATACGTTTACTAGACAAGAACACTATTTGGCATTGCTTTTACTGTCCTTTTGATGAAAAAGAAACTGTCGTTTACGATGTGAAAAAAAAAAACCTCAACACCCCATGGGATGGGCTATACTAAGATTTTGTTACGTTAAGCAGTATTCAAGATCGTAAATCTCGGCATTCTATAGTGCAGAGTGTTTTCTTCGTTTTGCCATGGGAAGAAACAACGTAGTTTAAGGTCTCGGATCACAAAAATTCTCAGCTTTGAAAGTGAGCAATTGATGAAGGCGGCTGGTAACAAGCTTCATGGAGTATTGTGTCCCTTGATTTCCGATGAGGACAAAGTGTGAGAGGGCTTTTTCAGATTAGTACTAACTCTCACGTTCCAGTAGATACTTTAATTTGTTTGAGGTAAAGGCTTCTCTTTTTCTTCTTGCATGAATTTAATTGCTAATAACTTGTGAAGATCGATTCACGAGGTTTAAATATACCTAATTGCTACAGTCATTTGGCCTCAAACACATATCTTCTTGAAAACCGGGAATGCATTTGTAACTCAGAAATCACAACCTTTTTGGCCGTAAACCAGCCGTTTTCACCCATCATCTCCAGTCTCACGTTTTCGCTTAATATTCCCCCGATTATGGTGACGTCCCTCTGGTAAAGGAACAACTTGTTTCCTTGCTGCAGTATTCTTCTTCTTGTCAAAAACCTTGGTCGTTTTTCTGCGGTATCTTGGGCTCTTTTTCATCCTATGGGCCAGTATCATGGCAAGATCTCGCAGTGTTTTGGACCCAATAAGCCATGGGTCTGCCTCCATTTGTTACGAGCTTTGCAATCGTTAGAAGTTTCAAAATTCTGGAGATGGCATCGCACAATCCTTTAAATTTAGTTTTTCCCTGAGAGAATACCTCTGCACCCCCTCTAGATTCTTGGCTTCAGCACACATGATCATATCGTCATGACACCACAAAACCTCCATTATTATTTCCAAGTTAGAATCTTGACTGATTCCACATTCAAAAGTACTTCATTTACTATTGAATTTCTTTCAGTACTTTCAGTGTCTCTGCACATGTCTTGAGCAGTTCACAGAGTTGCTGACACTCTCCTGTAGTATGACACCTGGACAGTGCTTCACTGGCCCAAACTATCTTAGCATTCACAGCCTGGGTAGCTATGGCAACAGCATTTTTGTTGACAGAAGAGTCCACAGGATTAGATGGAACCCTGCTAGTCTCATGAGAATCTTGCTGTGTTGGCTGGGACACAGGCAGCCCACCTTCACAAAAAAATACAAATTACCTGCTTTAAATTGCATTATAACCACAATATATTTTAGCAGTTGATTTCCGCAGGATGGGTTGTGAATTTGAACTACAGAGTTGTTTCAAAAGATGCAGAGAATATTAGAAATACAGCTGGATGTAAGTCAAGTTTTTTCATCTTGTTTCACAGAAAAACACAACGGGCCATTATGCTGTCATCTTTACCGAAACAAAGTTGATGAAAATAGCACCTCTCCTGAGGGCAAAAGATTTCCCTAAAGAAATTTCCTCTTGGGGGAAAAATGCAGGCCCCATGATAGGCCCACCTCATGACTGACTGTAACAGCACATATTTGCTCCATCTTCCCATCTAAAAGAGCTTGTGATGTTCTAAGCAGGGGTTTCAGTTACAAGATATTCATTGGGTTGCTTTAACACTTTACCTTGATCACTGGGATCTGTAGGCTGTGCATCAACTTCTTGACAAGCTACACAATAATCTGATTGGTCACGGTACTTTAGAAGAACATTCTATGAACAGAAACACATTAGTAGTAGTTTGTAAAGTTCCAAATCAAAGGGAAATCTTCAAGGTTCAATTACAGCCATTTGCTCTGCCATGTTCTCTGCTGAAGTTTGTTACGTCACGAACAAGCGGCCTGGTTGCACATTTTAAGCCAATTTTCAAAAGGTTATCTGACAATGCATGCTTACGGTCATTGCAGTAAACTTTTCCATACCATTTAATAATGATGGTAAGAATCACAATTTTTAGAGTGTATGTTTCTAGTTGAATGGTTCACATGTGATTTATTGTAATTTTTGTAATTTAATGTAAATTTTGTTAATGTGACTTAAGTAAAACAAAACTAAGTTAGATGGACAAATTATGACATTTGACATGGATTTTACAGACCTACCCCACAAACATCACAAGTGGATCCCAACATTCGATATCCTTTTAACAAATATTGTCCCATCAGTGCACTAATTTTATCACTTCTCTCCCGAGTTCTGTTGATCCTTTCTTGAGTGTGTTTATCCATGGTCGGAAGGGACATAATCTCCTTCTCACCCAAGGTCCTCGTGTACAAAACACTTCATGTAAAGCGCAGACATTAATGAACACAAGAATAAATGAGAGAGATCTGGGTTTTCAACATAATACTTTCAGCCAATGAATGCCTAGAGCCGGTCTCCTTCTATGTTTTGGCGCGAGACTCATTCAAAATGGCGGACGAGATCTGACAGTGCGAAGTTCTTAGCAAAGAAGACGACATACATTTACCATTATGGCTAGTCCTTGGTCTAAGGGAAGTCCTTTTACTCCGCGCCACTCCCTAAATTATTCATTTCTTGGGGACTCGGCTACAACCCCGAGGTGAGTTGTGTAGATTGTAGACTGCTAAATCTCACATGGATTTTTTTCGTAGCTGTTTTCGGTTGTGAGCTCTTTGCATGGGCAAATCTTCACTCGATACTTCGATTAAAATTCTGCGTTTGAAATAACAAGGTATCACCTGGTCAGAAACACAACAAATTTTTAGTACCTTGTACCCTAGCTGTGCAGCGACATTGAGGAAAACGTTTCAACACTTCATTAGTATAATAATATAATAATAAATCTTCCAGTAAATGCGGAAGAAATTGTACAGCTACATGTAGTAATGCTTAAAATGAGTTCATTGCTTTCGTCGAAATGCTATTTGTGATATATTATAAGCGGAAGTAAATTGAATTCCCGTTTAAGTGTATATTAAGTAGTTAACTTACCATATAATTTTGTATTACCTGTTCCAGAAGTCAACAAAAAGTTCCATTGACTTCCCAATTATTGGAGGAAACTGATCAGCGCAGGGTAGAAACATTTGGTCCTCCTTTGCCAGTTCAGATCAGTGAGAAACTCACAAACCAAGAAAGTAAGTTTACAATCATGTTATAGGCCTATGATCAAACACATGATTTATTATAAAGAGAACCATATAACCCCATACTATTCTAAAACAAAGCAGTAGTTTCAAGGAAATCTATCATTTTTGCCATTGTTTTCTTCATCCAAGAACTGTATGCTGAGTGAAGTATGGGACTGTGCAGAAATCTTGTGGACTGATCTACTGATAGACAGACACCAATTTCACCTTAAGGACTGAAAGACAAAAGGGATGTAACCCCTTTGAACTGACTGTCAATAATTTTAAGTGATTGTTATAGTCAGTTAGGCCATACTTCAGACTCTTTTTTCAAACACTTATATGTATTGAAAACCCTTTATAATCCTAATTTCAGTTTCCACATTCTCTCTACTCCTCTTTCCATGTTTCCTTTGTTACTAACTAAGAGAGTGTATTTAACAATCAAAGCCTTTAGGTTGATGATCACTTCTTATGATTGTAATGACTGAATGATCATGATCAGTAGTATTGTCAGAGAAATTTGGTGCTGGTCATTGTTGGGGTTTAAAGGGTTAAATTTAAGGTACCATATTCTTGGAATTGATGGAGGGGGACTATTTGAAGATAAACATAACTGAGTGGAAAATGCTAATTGCATTACTTATAATTCAGCTGGGTGTTCTTTGCAGGTAACCAGCACACAACTGTCAGGATTGATCAGTCAGGCTGGGCATGGCTTGTCTCTGGCAGAAAGTTATTTATTTGGCGTTTTATTCCAGCAGCTGGAACAAAGGTTTGGAAAAATTATAGTTAAATAATTCTTTACCCTTTATAAGATACATAGCCTAGTGGTCCAATACTGTACTGATGGTTAGGCATGTTTGAAGCAGTATTTTTATGTACCTTGCTCACTTAAATGCTTTAATGTGGAGCAGAATCTTTCAAAATCCAAAGTATTCATGTGGCAGAGTTAAATATTTTTAACTGGTTCTATTACTGAAAAACAACTTTGCTGGTGACATATATCACATGAGAAAGTCTGGAGCATTTCTCATGAAATATGTGGTTGAAATGAATTTTTATTCTGCTAATAATGCCTGCCATTGACAATTTTATCTGAGATATTATGTTGGATATCTTGATTGATAGGGAGTATTTTTCAAGGAATTGACATTGCCAGCCTCAGAGTTATATCATGTGGCAGACCTTATATGTGTTATAAGTCCCGCTGGAGATAGTAAATTGTCATCAGTATCAGTGATGGCAGTTTCCCCTGAAGGACTCGTGCGATACTGGCCTAGTCTTACTCATGACAGTAACACAGTGGATGTTGACACAGATTTGATTGGATCAAAGTGTCACTCACTCACAGCTTTTCAGGTAATGGTTAACGCCAAGTCTTTGATGGCTATTCTGTGAACAGGATTCTATTTTTAAGTATGTTTATTGTATTTTGGTTCATTTATTTACTGCTCAGCTTTCTTAAAGTTATACAGTTCTAGAAATGCAAATTCCCTTTGTTTTACCCTTCTAGCCCTATGGATGTATCCTACTGACCACCACAAATGAGTTATTACTGCTGACTGGTTTACAGGTAAGACAAATGTAGTCATCTTTATTTTTAATGTACTGAGGGAGGGGGTAGCCTTTGGTTGGTAAAGAATTATGAATAGCCTCTTCTGGACAGCTGATCAGTTTATCTGAACAGCATTACCCAGACAGGTGATTATCAGATAAAGTACATTTTCTTCCATGTAGATTCTGTTGTGTCTAAAAACATCTCTAAATTGTGGGATGGCTATTTTGAAAATAAGTGTTTCTGTATCACCAGCATTTTTTACAGGGTGATTGTGACAAGTTATGATCCTTGACCAATAAAAGTGCAAGCTTCTTTGTTTCACTTGAGAAAATGATGATATCTGCCATGAAGATATTAATAAATCTGTAGGTGTTTAGTCATATCATAAACAAGTTATTGGAGAATTATATACCATAGTGATGATATTTTTAAGTACAGTTACTAGAGAGAAGAGAATTTTAAAATTCACATGCTATTCATCACTGGTTTGTAATTCATACACTAACCAGTAATAATTAACTTCAAGGCAATTTCATAATTTTCCTGTAGAAGACTGTCAAGTGTCAGAACCTGAATGCCTCCAGTGGAGTTTTCACAGACTTGGGCCGTCGTATGACTTCTTTTATATTTGGTTCTCAGCCTGCTAGTCAAAGAATGACAGTAAGTTTTGGAGAAAACTAGTGAGTAACTATGTAATATCATTATTTGAACTTCTTATAAAGCTGTTACAAGTGAAATATTCTGAAAATTCAACAGGTAAAAGGATTACTCCAGCAGTTTAAGAATTTAATTTACCTGCCGTGCTTAAAATAACAGAGAACATTGAATTTTATCAGTTTGTTGAATGAGCCTACATCTGATTTTCATTTTCATGTTTTGCTTTATTTAATAAAGTAATAATGCTCTGAGAAAGATTCATGACCAGTTTAAAGTTATTTTGTTCTTTTAAATCCCACAGAATTGGCAGAAAGTCCTTGCCAGTAGCAACCATACAACTGATAACTCCAGGTAGTTCATAGAAAATGACATATTTTAAAAATTTACAGGCTGTAGGGGAATTTGATGAATAAATATGTTTCACTGGTTCTTTCCCAGTATACTGTTAACTATGATTTCATCGATAATAATATTAATGTTTTTTTCCAGGGAGCTTTATGTACTTAGTGAAAACCAGTTGTTTACATGGAATATTGTTCGAGTGAGACAGGGCAGTTTTAGTGAAAAGGTAACAAGAAAAGAATCATGTGTATTCATCTGATTGGTATATTGCTTTAAAATTACTTTTTAAACACTTTTTCACACCAGAGATTTTCATCATTTTAACTTGCCATGTTTCACAGATAAAAACAACTGTTACTCAAAATTTTTCTATTAATTTCTGGTTTACCACTGACAGTGTTGTTATCATCTAGTCACTACTATTTTCATGAGCTTCTGGAAATTAGTGAAAACAAGTACTACTAGGGCACCTAATGATGACTGTTCTTGTTGGTTCACAGCTTGTTGCTCAGGTGCAACTGGAAAACATGTTCAAAGCTGCTGTTATGAACACTCCAGAGGTAAGCTTACCAACACAGGTTGCACTAAATTTCATAGTAATTTGTGAAATGATAGAATTAACCCTTTAACTTCCAGAGGTGATTGATGTATAACTTCTCTCTCTAATATCCTTACATTATCAAGCAAGCAGGTAATGAGAATACTCAAACTCATCAGGTAGGAGTTATATTTCTTGATCAAACACCAAATTCTCATCACCAATTTCCAAGGAAATGTATAGCAGTTAAAGGGGAGAAATATCAATAAGATCTTGGGAGTTAAAGGGATGAGGCCATAGTCACTTTTCCATTTGTGTACAGAATTTTATGGTGGACTTACAAAATGTAGATGGGGTAGGTAACAGGCATTCCGACAAGTTCATCAAAGCTGCCTCTCATGAGGTTGAGTAATCTAATGAGACTTCAAATCTTGAACAATCATGACATTGTTTAAAATTAATGCATTTGTCTTTTAGGGTTATGGGAAATCAGCTGATGATATCTTGGTCTGGTGTCTAGATGTAGCCCAAACAAGGTATGTTACTGCTTGTCACATGATGTTTTGAGTGATGGAAATTGTCCTTCAGACTTTTTCGTTTGCCCTCACTTATCTTTTGTAGCAGTTATTTTCTCTTCTCATTTCAGCTCTGGGATCCTTGTTTTAGCAGCTGTTGCTGTTAGGAAACCACAAAGCTCACAGCTGTTTTATTTTCTTGGTAAGAAAAAGTATTGTACATGATTAGATGTTGGTCTTTTAGTGTATTATGTATGATCAACAGCAGCTAATCACAAGCTTGTTTAAAATAATTTTCCATTAATGATTTTTTTTATCAAAAGGTGGTGTGAAAACTACTCCAGCCCCTGTTTCGCTGAGTAGCCTTACTGCTCTGCCATACAGCGTGAGATACATTGTAAGTTATTTCACTTATCATGCTGCTGTTCTCATTCTGTCTGATTATTTTGCTTCTTGTTACTTCCTGCTCTTGATAACTCCTTAAATTTACTGCAGTATGGCTGAATATCACACAAGACATCATGTATACAAGATTATCTTTTAAGTGTTTTCCTTATTATCAAGAGAAATGTTACCACTTGATGGCCAGAATTGCTGCAGACTTTGGGATATAGATGGTTATTCTGTCCAATCATTTCTTAGCCTTCACACATTAACACCAGTATGCATATTCTCCATACTGTTCTCTATACATTTCTTAATCTACTGGCCAGGAGAATTTGTTGAACAATCAAGAGGTTATTCAGTTGATGACCATTTCATTTATTCTCATGACCTTAATGTTTGATTCATGGGTGATACTGAAAGGAGAAATTAGATGCTGGTCACTCTCAGGGATAGAAGGGTGAAAGGATCAGTGTACCAAATAGTCATTGTAATAAATTGGTTTTGCATCGCTTGCAGTTATGGCTATAATGACATCTTAAGTAGCTTGGATGAAATTTGGTCAGTATTGACAAGTCTTTAAAGTATAGATTTAGTGAAATGGCAGAGAGTCACTGAATTGATATCAAATGACATGTTTTATGTTCAAATTCTACTTCAGGAGGCTCATGAGGACAAGCTACTGGATTTCAAATTGCTGCTTTCACAACAAAACTCATCTGCTTTTGTGTATAATTCAAACTCAATAATTTGTGTTTCAGGTATTGTACAGTCACAGTCATTGCAACTATAGGTACTGAATTTTTAGAAAAGTGCTTCTATTGCAAGTTTGCATAGCATTTATGACAATACAAAACATCTGTATTGAATGTTATGTTTGCATTTTTTTTCCTTCTCCTCTTACTAACAGTCTCATTTCTAATCAACAATCCTTTTGAAAAACTGTTACCAGAGCAGGCTGTCTTTTTATGATTGTGTTTTTATTTCTCTGCAGTCTCAGAAGCAAATGAGGTATTAAACAAAGTTGATCTCCAGTCTCCAGCTGACAGTATCTTGGGTGCAGGTAAAAAAGGCTTCCTGTCTCCTCTAAGGCAACTGAAAGATTAACTTGTGGGGTATTACAGTGATTTGTGGCCTCAGCACATAGTAATTTGTTAATCATAGAATTAATTTCTCAGTCTTTTCCAGTGCCAAAAGAAATTGATGTTAATTGATTAGCAATAACAAAGTTTTATCCATGGATTTAGGTCAGAACATCAGAATATGCTATTAATAAAAATGTAGACCATATTTAATGTTGATCTGCTATGTTATGAGATTCCAGTGAATATCAACTTTTAACAGCACTGTTCCCTTTGTGATGCTCCTTGGCTTTGTTATCTTTGCAGGTTTATATCAAGGAAAACCATTATTTTTTTCTTCAAAGTATGGTGTCATTACTGTAGCTATAATGGAGGCTATATTAAGGTGGGTTTGATAATTATAAACCTAACATTCCACCACTCTTCATGGTAATTTATTTCTATTTTACTAGGTTTAATTTAAGAAAAAAAATTCAAGGAGTTATATATCATTGGGTGTTGACATATTTATCATAAGTGGACATATTTTACTCTTATGGGAACCTAAAAAGAGAAAACACTTGGGTTTTGATCTCTTTTGAATTAGAGTGTCTGTAGCTATCAACAGAAATGTCTGCCAACTAGCAAGTGTTATTAACCCTTTAACTCCCGTGATCTGATTATAAATTCTCCCTTCTGGCTGCTACGCATTTCCTTGCAAATTAATTGCAAGAATTTGGAGTAAGATCTAGATAACAACTTCAGAAGTTTGAGTATTCTCATCACCTGCTTGCTGGATAATGTATTGAATATCGTAGGAAGAAGTTACATGTTAATCACTTCCAGGAGTTAAAGGGTTAAAGAGTTTAAATGGAACATCATGCATGGTCTAATGAAGTGGGTGGCAAGAGGAAGGGCATGTGTACAAGATGATCCTCCAGAGGAGCTTATTGACTGTATTCACATGATGTTACAACCTCATGATCAGTCAATAACTGTTTAAATTGTTTGAAGGGAGATATTAACTTTAACAACAATAACAATTGGTACTGTGCACATTATTTTCAATTACATTATATTTTCAGTGAGCAGATGGATTCTTCAAATGTTCATTCATTAGAGGTTAGTGTTGTTATTTCAAACAAAAAAAAAAATTGTTAAATATTATTTATTTGTAAAATTGTATTTATAGAATTGGTTGTAACTTTTTCTGTTGGCTTCCTTGCAGGTTACCCAGAAAACTGGTAACCTTTCACTTTCTGATGCATCCTTTCGAGATGGTGACAATCACCTCCAAAGACTAAAATCAGCTTTCCTGCTGTTCTGTCAAGGACATATTGTAAGTGTCATCATTAATGGATGATTTTTCTGCCAAAAAACAGGACATAAGATATCAGCTATGAGAATACAACTCCTAAAAAATCATTTTGAATTTTAACAATTGTGTTAATTTTGATAACAGATTTCTTTATTTAGGATTACCTTACAACCAGAAATATTGTTGGTTCCTTTAGGGTTAGTTATTTCAGTTACTGAACAATATTTCTGTTTCAAAAATATTAGGCTGAGGCTCAGAGTATTTGTAGGATCTTGGATGGTGAAGAATTGGATAATGGTGTGGTAGCTCTTAGTGAGGAGATCATTGATGATTTCCCAGTCTCAGATCCTCGCTGGGCTGAATCTATTCCGGCAGGTTTGTGGCTCTGAAATTGTTGTACTGGGAACACTCCAATGACTCCCCTGTTTATCAAGCCTCCCTCTCTAACAGTCTTTCTAATAGCACTTTGGCCCCCCCCACCAATTGATGAGAACTTCAAGGATTCAGAATTCTAACCTATAACAAGATAAGTTTCATGGCTTGATACAATGTAGTTTTTATGGTCCAAAAAGTACTGTAAGTTGATCTGATGCAGGCCAGGCTTTCAGTAGCATTTGCCATAAGGAGTTGCCAACAGTGAAATAGGCAACTATGCCTGGAAAAGGGGCCCCTAAGGTGAATCCCAAACACAGGATGCTAAACAGACAGCAGTAAGCGTTCTGATGATATACATGAAAGAATTACTTGTGTTAGACTGGCTGAAAGAAAGTTCATTTTTCATGTAACACAAGTGCAAAATTGTAACATGAGTGCAAATTACAAATAGTGCATGTGCTCTGTCAACATTGTGTCTGTCTTGACTTTCTTTGATGCTTTTTTCATGTAAATTATTAATAAGTGGTAACATGATTTCGGGTGCAATGTAGTGTAAATAAGCACTCGTAATTTCTTCAGAGACTACAAAGTGCACTCGCAATTTTGTTGTCTTTGAAAAAGTTACTCATGTTTATTAACAACAAATTGCACTGGACATCATATTGTTACCTACACTTGTAGGCAGCTGTAGACTGTCAATAACTGGCTTTTATTGAAAACCCTACTGATGTAAAGTCCCATTTTTTCCTCACTAGGTGGACTATCTGCCTCAACTTCACTGATCATTCTTCATCAGTTGGAAGACAAGTTAAAAGCTCATGTCTTCATGGTTGACTTTCTGAAGGGTGTTGGCCTGTGGAAAAAGGTTTGATAATAATCACCATTGCAATTGTAAAATAAAAATTGTGTGGGAAAACTTATCCAAAGCTAAATTTTCTTCACAGCTTGGAGTCTTTGAGTCAAAGGAGGGACAATTACTGACATGTCATCTCATCTGTGAACATGGCGAGAAGCTCAAAGCTGCTATAGCCTTGTGCAAGGTTGATAAAAAGTAAGGGTGTCTTTGCAGAATTGAGTAATGTAAAACTAAGTAAAGGCTTAAATATTGGAGGATGCTATTTCAGCTGTTGTGCTTATTAATCAGACAATTTAATAGATTCCATATTGCTTATATGATTCAGTGTGTTGTAAAAACTGTCTTTTATAATCAGGTATCAAGGGGTAGTGGATGGGACTATTGGACTGGTGATGAAGAAACGGCGATTGAGATCACAAATTGAAGGTCTCACTGAACAAGATGTGTTCTTTAGAGAGGTGTGTTTTGCAGTAAAGTAATTTAACATACAATTCTGCAGTTTGCTAACTGCAACAACTTACTGTTTATCAAGTACTTTTTCTTTTAAAATTCATCTTTTCAAGGTATTTTTATAAAATTGTTGTCACAATCAGGTAATGATTGATTGCTGCTGTAGCTCTTGTAACACCACCCTTGGAATTAGTTAGTCCTCTCTGTGCGTCCATACACATAAGGCCTTGGCCAGAGAACGCTATTGATTTCTGTAGGTTGCTATTTAGTCAAGCTGCCTCCATGTCCAGCCCTCCATGTCCCTCATTTCCCTTTCCCTTAACTCTTTCATTCCCAGAGGTGATTAACATGTAACTTCTCCCTATCACATCTATACATTATCCAACAAACAGGTTATGAGAATACTCAAACTTATCAAGGATAATTTATTTCCATTATCTATCCCCAAATTCCTGTCACTAATTTCCAAGGAAATGCATAGAAGTTAGAGGGGAGAATTCACTATCAGATCTTGGGAGTGAAAGGGTTAAGTTTCCTTGGAGTAGCCTCTTTTTCTTTGGCTGTGAGGAGTCCATCAGAGGCAACTCTGGGCTGGGCTGGACTGGTGGTGGTATTCAGAGCAATTGGCCAAACCCTTGGAATGAAATTCTGGTTTTAAATCCATTTGCACAGGCAGTTTCCTGAATCCTGATTTCAAGCATCAACAGTTGAGCTTTAAGCTTTTATCTTGTGGAATGAGAACAATTGTGATTGTTTTTCAGCTCTTTCCTTTGTCTGATAGGTGTCGAGGATCTCTGATATCTTCACGTGTCTCCTGGAATATGAAGAACAGCTAATTTTAAAGCAGAAGTCATCTTCTTCTCAGCCACAAACTATTGCAGCAGTAAATACAGTATTGAAGGTGAGGATCTCAGATTGTAAAAGATATTTAACCCTTAAACTCCTTACAATACTGATACAAAAGCAAGCTGACATTTGGTCAGAAAAAAGAGAAATATCAATTAGGGGATTATTAGTTGATCCAATTTCAAATTCTCTGAACTATAAGCATTATAATAGATCTAGGTAGTACAAGGGTTCAATTATGCATTTTAAAACCTTGTGCATGACTCAGTGATTAAGGACTTAGGATTTATTTTTGTTTTTTTGATAGTTCTTCCTCCCCATTGCTGTATGTTAAAGATCTGACCATTAACCTGTGTTTTTTCCATGTTTGTCGAGTGTTTTGGTTTCATATGCTATCCATAAAATGTTAATCTTCTTGTGAGTCCAAGAAGATAGTGCATGTCAAGATGAGGAACATGTTGCTCTGATGAAGGGCTAATGCTTGAAATGTTAGCTTTCAAACTCTTTACGGTGGCCAATTTACCTTATCAACTCGGTTGATAGAGTAAATTTAAGGTAATAAGGTAATTTCTAAATTACCCTGTTATACTCTCCCACTGACACAGCACCACAGTTTCTTTAGAAACTTACCCCCTTTATTCATGTCAAGATGCTTCATACTTGAATGAATAAATTGAAATCTGTCCTATTTACAGGAAATGCTGTTTGAAGCATGGCAATACAGGCAGGATCAGTTTGAAACTTATCAACCAAGCAATCCATTAACAGACATGAACTTTGAACATGTGCCTTGGACTGGTAAGTTAACCCTTTAACTTCTTGAATTTATCAACATGTCACTTCTTCCTATAGTATTCATACATTATCCAGCAAACAGGTAATGAGAATATTCAAACTTATCTAACTTACAAGGTAATGTGTAGCAGTTAGAGAGGAGAATTAACAATCAGATCTTAGGAGGTAAGGGTAGTGACTTTTATAGGTATTAATTAATTGAGGTAATGAATTGATGTCTGAAAAAAGTCCAAGAAAAGATTTATTTAGTGAAATATGAGATTGAATGTAATTGTTTTAATTATTTGTTGTTTTTATATGTAATTTAAACTTTTTTAGCAACAGCTGGACCAGATGGAATACGAGCAGTGCTCTTAAAACAGGTGAGTCTACGATTTTAAAATGATTATTTTTTGTTTTGTGTCTTCTTTTCTTATTAATTTGTGTTATAAATTGTAATAAAAAAAATTTTGAAAAAAATTTCTCCTGTGCTACAGATCAAATTAACAGCTAAACAGGGAATGGGAGAGTTTGCTGATCAACAGGTTGGTACAAATTATGTGAACCTTGTTACAAACTTTTGCAGATGTGAATTTTTAATTTCTTATATATCTTAGCATTGTCTTGTACGTTAATTGTGCAAGTATTTTGTTAATGGCTGTCTTAATCCTGGGGAAGAAGAACAGTTCAGTTATTTTTGTAAGCATCAATCCAGTGGTTTACTGCACTAAAATTGAGTTTGTTGTGTTTTATTGTCAGACAAAATCACTTCTCGTTCAACATATGGTAGATTTAGCTGATATTTTGCTGGATGGCTATGTCAAACAGCTGCAGTATTTACGGTAAATCTTTTTGCAGCAAGTATGTTAAAAATGCCCCTATCATTTTTTGTTCTCCATAACAAATGATCATATCCTCATAATCTGTTTGTTTGTTTGTTTGTTTGTTTTTGTATTGTTGTGTTTGTTACAATGTAGGTATTTGTAATTGAATTTCAGAAACTGTCCAGGAGTGAAGAGTCGTTTTGATGAAGTCAATCAGGAGTTTGAACAAGACAGAAGGATTGTTATTTTACCCTTAGGTAATGTTTTGATGCTGCTCTCCTGGCTTTCTGCTCGTGATGATGATGATGATGATGATGATGATGATGATAATGATAATAACAATGATAATAGTAATGATGGTAATAATAATAGTAATAAATAAAAGTAATTATAATAACGATAATAACAACAACAACTATGATGATTTTTGTGATAAGGATACTAACAGTCTTGTTGCTGTGCTCAGTTCATCAAGGTCAGAGGTCACACGCAGCGTCCCTTGCAGAGAAGTATCATGACTTTGGGGTTTTAATTGAACTGTGTGAAACATCTGGTGAACAAGGGACTCTGCAAAAGTACATGACACAGTTTACTGATCAGGTGGGTATGTCAATCAAACCTCCCTCAGAGAACGTAAATGACAGCTTAAATTCCAAGTGCGTTTTTTGCTTCAAACGCTGGAGTGAAAGCTGAACATTTTCAAGGCTAAAGAATCCAAAGGCACTGACCTATATGAAGAAATTCAAGTCTTTATTGACTTACGGATTCTCATGTTTGTTTTTGCTTCCAGGGCTTTTCAGATTACGTATTTAAGTGGTATATGGATAAAGGTATGGTAATATTGTATTTTAATGTGGCAGAGGATGTGATTTCGTAGATTAACTTTCACTCATCTCAGACCGGAAAATGTTTTCCTGCAAAACACAAAAAAAAACATTCCAAAATAAAACGCCTACAAAAAAATTGATTTCAAACGGTGGTTCAAAGACTAACTTCTTTTTCCAGGAGAGCGTCAAAAGTTGATGACGATACATGTACCTGAACAACAGAACGACGATTTATCGCGATTCCTTTCGTCCCATCACCATTTGTCGTGGCTCCATGACATTCACTTGAAGTCCTTCTATCAGGTGAGTTCCACATCACAATGTTAAAAGAATCAAACGTAATAAAAAAGATTTTAAAGGAAACCTATAGAGTCTTGGACAGTTGTGTCTACGAACTTGAGATTTCACAGTAGACGCAAGCGAAACTGCGATTTTTTTTTGCCGGGCAAAATGCAGTAGCCTTCAATATTAAAAGGGCGTAGTTTTGTACCCAGTAGAATTTCGTCTGCTCTGCGCACCTGAAAGTGACGTAACCTATACAGGATATTTGGTTTGATCCTGACTAAAACGAGATTCTTGTTTGTCAGGCACATAGAACTTTGAAGGCTTTGGCGAGTGAGGAGGCGTGTCATTTGGGGAAGAAAAAGGTGTATATTGAGTTTTTTGAGTGACTTTATTCATTCACGTTTGTACAAGTTAACATACTTTTGGTAACCTCTAACATTAAGAAAATCTATCTTTTTCGCGTGACAACAAAAATTGCATACTTTGTTTTGTTTCTATTATTTGTTTTGTCCAATGAGCATTTTGTTATACACTTTAAATTCAACTTTGTACCTTGTATAAATCAGAACTGAAGGTGACAGAAGAACTGTCGAAACACGTTTTTTAAAATGTCGTATATTTTCTTAAATTTCTCTCTTCTTTTTACAAAATGCGTTGTTGATGCATGTGGTTTTGCTTTTGCAGACACTGTTGAGTCTTAGTAAACTGGCTCTTTTAGCATCAGATGAAAACAATGACGCAGAGCTGGAAGGCAAGTGTCAGCCCACGATTGTATACGAACTTCATTTCTCTCTAGCCTGTGGAGAGCCTGGGCTCCCTCTCCCCAACCCTCTCCTCGCCGTTTTTCTTGCCGCTTTCCTTTTCGCCCCTTCGACTATAGCCTGTTCACAGGCTTCACAGGCTTCCCAGATACGAGTTCAAAGGGCGTACTATGTATATGATTTTTAAAAATTACGCCATCGGGGTGCTGGATTGTATTTCTAGACAAATACTCAAGTTCTTGGTGTCCTCGTAAGATCTTTTTTTTTTTTTCTCTGGGGATTATCATGTCAAGGGAGAGCTTCTTTCCAGTTGAGTAATGTTCTTTGTTTGTTTGATTTTTTCGATTTTGTGTCTTTTTTTGTAGAAATAATCAACGAACATAAGATCATACTTCATCAAGAAACACTACCATCTGCAGTGCTACAGGCAAGATAGTTATTGCTAAGTCTCGTGTTTTACCCTATTTATGTGTCAGTGGTAGTTCTAAATAGTTGTGTCAGCGGTAGTTCTAAGTAGTCAGACAATTCCTTTCGTTTTCTAATAAAAATCTTGTTAACCTTTCGTCGGCTATTTTTTCTTTGTAATATTAATTGGTTGTTTTGATAACATGCAAGGTTTAGTCAGTAACATGGAAAACTGCCATCAAGCGTACAGATGTTCGAAATTCTGTGATTTTGCAGTTTTCTTGTTTTGATTGTCATGAATTCTATTATTATTCTTCTCGTAGCAAGCTGGTTTGGACGTAGATTCCATGGCTCCCTTGTCACCATCAGAACTGATCGAGGTAAAGAAACTATATTTATAATTTCACAAAAGTTTTGTTAGTTATTTATTTATGCTCGGAAATATTAAATTAACGATGTTTTACACAAGTGCGCAAAATTTTAAATAGTTATTCAGGACTCAGGCCTAACAAAATATTGATCAAGTTTGCTTTTTTTTTAGGTATGACTTTTAACTCTTTATCTTTATTTGCAGCTCCATGTTGGAGATAAAAATACCGGAGCTAATGAGTACGATTTCAAAAATGCTCTGGATATCCTGCATCTTGCCGTACAGGTAATCTATTTGAATACACTATTTTCGACACTCATCCAGACAATTGTTTCACTATTAGCTTTAGAACTGTCAGAAGTAAATGAATTATGGATCATCCTTTATCCTCAATTAGACAAAACTTTTGAAAAATGTTAAAAATTTCAACATAAATTTTTGTGTTATAATCTGTCAACAGACTGGTGCTTATGATCAAGAGCAAGCCACAACCATGAAACTTTACATTTGGCGCAAAGCTCTACTGAGAGACGAGTAAGGTGTTATTTTTCTTTGAAGTCAGCTGTCCTGCGATCAGAAACCACTAAAAAGACTTGTTATTTTTTTTATGTGATCAGCTGGCCTTCGCTTCCAACGAAAGATCCTCTTATGACTGTTAGGAATACTATTTTCTTCAGAACTGTCGAACTGGCCTACAATCAAGGTGATGTTGCGCATTTTCATGAAGAGTTTGGTTTCTTCATTCATTTGTTTATTGATTATTGAGAAGTGTGTTTAGTAATGTACATGCCAAGGAGGTGTGGTTACCTGGACTAGCTGGGCTCCGGTTCGAAAGGTCTGGGTTCGAGGTCTGGCCTGGTTATTGTGTTCTTGTTCATTGTTGTTGATGTGATTATTGTCTTTGCTGTCTAGGTGTTGAACTCCAAGAGTTTATTCCTTCCCTGGAATCTCTGATTGATGGAGAAGAATTGAAAAACACCGGTTTGTCTGAAAACGCGACATTTCATTTTCTCCTCAAATCTGGATACGAACGAATGGAAAGGGCTGCTGTTTTGTCATTATAAATGAACAACTGTTGTTACTTGTAGCAGACGGAAGAGCAGCCATTTAGCTTAACCCAAAGTACTTTAGTTTATTTCCTAATAGTGCCTTCCGACTATGTTGAAAAACTTAAGCGTAGTAATCCCGAGAGTGACTCAGGCGAATTTGTCCTCACGATATCATGCATTTTCAAGTCGAAAAGTGATAAGAAGAAAGATATCTGCCAAGTGACTTTTGGATCTTAGGAGAAAAAAGGTTTATAACTGAAAAATAAATGTAGATAGCTTTTGTAAAGCTTCAAAGAGTAGTTAACGGTGGTAATGCCTGTTTTCCTCTATCTAGTTTACCAGATCTGTTCTATATCCCTTCCCCCTCCCCACCAAAAATCATTTATGACAACTTTTACAAGTTAGCTCTACAGCTGTATATTAAAGCGCGTAATGTTACGTCTTAACAGTGTAGTGAAAGTGTTTTTGTGAAAATGTTCGCACCGTACAAACGCTCGCGCTTGTTGACAGCCGATCCGAACAGTGAATGATTTTTCTATTCTTAATCGATAGCCGAACTTCACGAACTTTGGCGCTATTGTCGGCTGAACCAAACAATAAACTGCGTACGGAACTTACTTAACCTTCCCGCTATTGTGACCCGAAGTAAACAATTACTTGAAACAATTACTTGTTCTCGCGACTCATTCAATTTTCGACTTTACATAGTTAGCCGCCTATGTCACACAAACCAAAATTAGTACTGTTTACGCAACTCATCCAACATTTAAACTTACCAAACGTTCCTGCTATTGTCACCCAAGCCAAACAATTACTTATTTGCGCGACTTAATCAACATTCGAGTTCTGCAAAACTTACCGCTTTCGTCACCCAAACCAAACAATGAACTGGCTACGCTACTAATTCAACATTCGCATTTTACTAACTTTCGTGAGCCAAATAGGAAACGACCTATGCGACATTTATTAACCTTAAAACTTGATAGCTTATTTTCCCGCCATTTTCGGCCGAACCAAACAGTGAACTGTACAACTCAACTAACATTTACGTCAAGAAATGACCCTCACAGTTGAGGTGTAATGATTCAAATGATTGCCGGAAAGGAGCCTGGCAAAAAATTCGTATTTCTACAGGATTCAAACCCATTTATCCCGGGGTGCTACTACCAACTGAGCTACGAAGCCAAATGTTGTCAGTGAGTTGTTCGTTTCCGTAGAGGAATCTGATCAATACCTTAGATAAATAAATCAACCAACATTCTTTCTTGACAAACAGTTCCGCTTTTGTCGGTCTCGCCATACAGTGAGGTCTTTGCGCGAGATGTTCAACCTTTGTCTTAACAAACTTTCCCGTTATTAAGCGCACCGCAAGTAATCGGTCGCCTTTTGATTTCCTCGACCACTAAAGAGCGGTGTGAATGTCCTTTCATTTCAAATATCTGTTATTACCGCTTTTGACATGTGACAATGTATACGATTTGTTTGTTTGTCGCACCGCTTTGTTGTTTTGTAACAATGACATCAGAGCATAAATAGGGCCAGCGGTTGCTGTGGATCTTTAGTCAGTGCTTGATGCTATTACTGTAACATGTCTAACATCTCTGTCAGCTCAGCTTTTATGGAGAGCCGTGTTTTCACTTCAGCAGTTTCTCTCGAGAAACCTGCGCGTTCAAGAAAATCACGAAAACCTTTAACCAGTCCTCCAATCCATGTGTCGTCTTTAGTGCCAGTATCCTCGCGGCCAATGACTGATTTCTCCATCAGCAAAATCCTGAGTCTGGAAAGCAACGAAACAGAACAGAAGACAACATCTACAGGTAGGTTCATTTTGTTTTCATAAGTTAATAAAACACGCGACAGAACAATTGAACAATCTTGGACAGCACCCCTAAGAAAAATTTCCACAAAGATTGATAAATATCAACGTAGTTTGAATTTAGCTGCATAGGTAGCACGGCAAAGCTCGTTCCAAAAATCTTGCGATAATCCTTTTTTCTCTTCAACATTTATTAATTTCTGAAGGATTTATGTTTTTGCAAGGTGGTTATGAAGTATTGAGGTGAGGAATGGTGCACTCACCTGTCGTTCATTTGGTGAGAAAAACGCTTTCAGCTTAGGATATTCAATAACGAAGCTCTTCATGATGAAGGGGGAGAGTCGTCCCTACAGAATCGAAATTCGAAAGATCTCTTGATCTTACTGAGTGACTGATAAAATGTCCTCACATTTACAGGGGTTATTTAAAAAATTGCGAGCTCATCAAATTGAACGTTTCCATTCTTTCAACAGCTTTGACTGTATACAACCGCAACTCCAGTCAATCGTTGAGACCTGAACGTAACTGTGGCAACAGTAGCCCACAATCATCTTCTTCCGATTATGCCAACTCCACCAGCGATTGTGACAGCGAACCCGATCGATTCCCGACGTATTCCGAAAAGAGGGCGAAAAAGAAACGGCAGCGTACGACTTTCTCGATGTTTGAAGTATGGGAACTGGAACGAGCTTACATGAAGCGGCCATATTTGATGCCGGAGGATGAAGAAGACCTGGAAAAGAGGCTTGGGATCACAGCCAGGAGTCTGAGGGTGAGTTACAAGAAGAAATTTTAATTTACACCGATTTATAGAGATGCGCACACTCAGATTGGTCCAGGATTGCGTCATATCTCGCTATGATCGCGCAAATAATTTCAATTACAACAGAGGCGCTAAATTTCAAAATGGCTGCCTTGCGTTTTATCGGTGTTAACGAAGAAGTGATGAACGTGAAAAAGAACACTGAATTCCGAAGAGCGCAAAAGCTGCTATTATGTTTGGAGTGACACTTTTTTAACAGAAGGATAAGAAGTTTTTGTTGATTTAATTGAATGAACCCATCAGATTCTAATGGAAGCTGGCTCTATACCTCGATACGAGTAATCAAAACAATTAAAACAGAATTTTTTAACATCGAAACGAATATTTACAACAGAATTCGAAAGCACCTTGGTAATTGTACTAAAACAATTATTCCTCGAAGGCTCAGTGAATATTGTTGAATATGTTGTGGATTATTCGAAAAATATTCACCTCGCCTTCAGCGAATAATTTGTTAAATTATTTTAAAGCCTGGTAATTAACCTTTCCTTTTTCCTTTTTCGTTTCAGTATTGGTTTCAAAACCGACGAGCCAAGTCACGAAGAGACGGGAAAATGATAGCGTCAGACTTTCAGAAAAACCCGTCAAACCAGTTTGAAAAGCCACCACAGACCTTGACCCAGTCCCCTTTAAATTGCTGGAGGCAGGCTGACCGTCTTTCTTATCCAGGGACGGGAAACTTCATAGGGAAACTGAATGCATACAGCCGACCAATCAGAACTGGCAATGGACAGCCGTCAGTCAGGACAGACCATTTATCTAAGCGTTCGTCGTTTTTCGTGCCCATGTTCCACCCAGACCAGTTCCGAAGAAGACAGGTCGCACTAATTAGACCAGCGGACAGCCGTGGTTCCAAAAGATACCAGCCGTATTGAGGTCTATTTATTGGTGTTAATATTTCCTTAAAGTTGAATTTTTAAAAAATTGCTGTTACGGTGTAGTATGAGACAAATCCCGTGCAAGATTTCGGTTGTATTTCCTACAATTAATCATTGAGGTGTAGAATATCATATAAGATTGTTAACTTGTAAATAAAAAAGTTGAATTTATAACAGTTGCCTTTAATTTTCTTGTCTTAATAATTGTCTTTAAAATGTAGATATTTTATAAACAAAAGTTTAAGAAAAAAATAAACTCTTAATCACAGTAAAAGACATTCATCCAATTAGAACAATCTCCTAACAATCTCCGTCCTGTCGCTTAGCAGTCCTGTCAGCGGTTAAACTCGTGAGACTTCCGTAGTCAACTCACTTCTGAGTGACGGGTCGAATAACTGTAGCAACTGTAGAGAAGATCAATGAGAGCATAGCCTGGGACTCGATTCCCCCTAACTCGCTATTCTAAGATTTAACATGTGCTTAACAGGGGAATCAATATGTAACGACAGCAATTTACAGCTGTAAGTTCAAATTATTTTACCATGCAGACAAACTGACGCACAGTTCTACATCAACTTTGTTCTGCTATTTTTTGGCAATGAATTGGGCGTCCTGTTTGAATCCTGAATTAACTCAAAGACAAGGTGCCGTTGACAAAGTATTTTATTTTTCCAAGTCAATTGAAATTCTGCCCGGAAAAATGCAAATTTGTTCCTTTTGCAACAGTATAATGCAAAGTCTTGGTGCATAATTGCGTTTATTGTATATACCTTATTCTGATCTGAGGGTAACTTAGTAGTAAGCGATTAAATTTGCGCGAGTTACTTAGTGATAAATTCAAAATGGTGATTATTGTTGAATCTAGCCATATTTTCAGTTTTAGTTTCAGTTATTAAAATGCATACAAACCAGTTTCACCTTGAACTGGACGCTTAGTTCATATTTATCTTCAAGATGGGCTTGTTAAGGCTGAAAACCTTCTTCTTGGGTCTGTTCATCCTTTCGGAAAACTTTACAAGCTGTGCGAGAGGAAAACTGTTGCAGAAATTGCTTGTTTTTAGTGTGGCTTTATTTTTTGTTCTCGCCCACATCTTTGTTAGACTCTGAATTAACATTATTAATATTCTAGTTTGGTATGAAGCGACCAAACTGTTTTATTATTGGTCGACTTCACTGAAGCAATTTGTTATTTATCGCGAAAGACAACAAGAGATTAACTCAAAGTACAGATGTCTGTTTGAGTTCTACTGACTGGAGCCAGCTTTGGAAGGAAACATGGAAAAAATATTTTAAACAAATATCATTCTTTGAAAATTGCCAGGTAAACGAGTTCTGTTTTATGTGCGCGCGATTTTTTCGCGTTGAAATATAAACTGAAGTAGACGGGCCGAATCATGGGTCGAAGACACCAAACTCTGCTTTCCTCGCATGATTTGACTAAAAATACGGAAAATTTGAACACCAGGTGAAAATAAATGAATCATGTCACCATGTGGAACGAGATTTAAAGGAACAAAATTTCTAGGCCAAAAAAAGTTTACTACCTATCTTAAGCACTGGAAAATTGAGTCGCACGACATAACTAATTAACAATTTATTTGAAATAAGCAATAGTGCGCTCGTTTTTCTTTTTTCCTCTTTTTTTTAAATTTAATTTTACTGTCTAGTATCAGGGATTAGATCGACCCGGCATGATTGAAATTTCAAACAAAGGTCTTGAATTGAGTTTCAGGCTTGTCTTCCCAAGGGAACCGAACCGCCCGTGTTTGTCTCAATCTTTTTCGCGTGTTCGATAAATTATCGAAAGAATGATTCACGATCAACTCATGCAACTAAAACTATGATGAGAAATGAAATAATTTGAGTTAAAATTTCAGCGATGTATGATAATCTGTTATGAAATTCTAACATCAGAGACAAACAGCTTGAAAAATTTCAAAGATCTTGATATTTTTCGTTTGCCAGAGTTATTAAACACAGTCTACTTATTATTCAAGAAAGTCCAGTCAATCAAAGCAGAAAAAGAATACGATTTATGTTTTATAAACACAAGGAAACCCAGTCAAACTGGGGTTGGTTCTATTAAAAGAATCATTTTTGTGAGTGATAATACCGATGGTTTTGTTGAGCGTGGGGCATAGTGCAGATTAGCTCGTGATTGGTTATACAGGAACAGTTGTTCTCCACATGGGCACTCGTTAACTCATTAGCAGTTGGATGAAATGAGTTTGGATTCATATTATCATCAAACATCGGTCGTGATCAGTTATACAAAAGGGTTTTTTCATGTGGTTTGCAAAGGTTGAGTTTTATTTACCTCAGTGACGCCTTCGATATTTCCATATTCATCACCAAATATTTTTATTAAAATAGAGAAACAAAGAGATGAATTACAAACTCAATTTTAAAACGAAAACAGTGACAAAAAGTGATTGAGCTGATAACGTGAGATATTTTTCTGACCTCGTAATTTGATTTACGTCCACTGTTAAACACCAGTACATATATCACCGCAAATGGTCTTTTTTGTTTTCTGTACACGCAAATGTTCGCCCGCGTTCAAAATGCTGATATTTTTAAAGTTTCCATCTTATTATAATTAATTTCTGATCCGTTCTGTGTGAACTTGGCTAATTTTCTTACTCAGTTAAGAAGAGGGGACTGAGATAAATTTCGGGGCAATTATTTCCTCCTACGAACTCCTCATCTTAAATTGTCGCCATTGGTGAGGGGTTAATTATGGTTTCGGTGGCAGTCCTCAGGATTCCGCGGAATCTGTGATCAATCGGTACAAGAATCAATTAAAGATTTTACAATTACCTAAACTGAGACAGTACGTGACTTAAACCTTACCTGGTGGTTGGCTTTCTTTTTTCCAAAATGTTAGAATCATCCCGAGTCTTAACCGACCGAACGAAGCTTTTCTTCTTTTTCTGTATTTCGATTCTTGTTATACAGGAGTTTTTACCGAACATCCTCATTAAATTTACGACTGTTCTACCATTCAAATAGCTCTGTTTCGGGCGATGTGCGAAAGCCTGAATTTCCCGCCCGTCACGACACACCTTTGCATGATAAATTAACAGGAACTAACGGACAAACTGACATGTTCAGCGAGCTAATCAGAGTTACATAATTCCGCACTCTAACTTTTCATTCTTTAGGTAAGGTCTTATTTAAGAATTTCATTGTTTCAACGATTCAGTCGCAAAACTAGTGGCCTTTTAAGACAGTAATGAAGAAAAACTGATACGGTGTAGGTTTTCGGAAAATCCTCGAAATATACACTTGATAACGTTAGGCATAATCACCTCGATACAACTGCTTGCTTTTAGCATGAAATGATAAGCGGGACTTTTGAGAATGAGCCACCGAGGTTTAGAAATTCTTCTACAAATATAGCGTGGTCTACGTGATATACGCCTTTAATCAATTTCCCTTTATTTGCGGGGAGAAGTATACTCATATATCCATTGCCTTCAATGTGTTTCTATTACTGTAACATGAAAATAAAAAAAATATATAATGTATCACAACTGAAATTTTCTCTGGGTACATAGGGACATGTGCTGTGAGTAGCTGCAGAAGAAACATCGATTGTGCAGATTACTATCAGCCAATTGGCAAAGCGCATACAGGATGGTCTTCCCTCCAGGTAAATAAATCAGTTATGGACTTCTGTCAATTTTCTCTGTAATGAAAGCAAAGGAACTGAAGGATTTGAAGAAGTTGTGACAGGAAGCCTGATTCTGTTCAAATCCTGTCGACCCATAGTGGATTGGGTTTTGGTTGTCCTATACTTTAATGTAGGTGGCATAACTGCAATGCGACATTTGAGGTGGTGTCTTGCACGAAAACTACATATGGTTCAAAAGGGAAATGAAATTGAAAACTTTGCGTCTATATCATGTGGCACTTGGGAAGTGAAGCAGTGATATATATCTATTTATATAATAAGCTCAGTTATGTACGCATTCTGATTGGTTCTCACTTATGATCTATAGGAGGACAGACGTATAGATGACGTCATCATTAAAACTTTTTTTAATTCTTTATTATATAAAACAAATAGATTCCAAGTTGCCGTGCGTCTGTTCAGTAATAGATCACAGAGGACGTCAAAATGTGGTATGAACATAGTGTGCCACTTTTTTGTTCTTACCACATTTTGACGTCATCTGTGATCTATTACTGAACAGACGCACAGCAACTTGGAATCTATTTGTTACTCCATAGCGTAAATGGATTGCTTGGGATTTAAATTTTATGGATTGGGGAGACTCGGTCAGATATCATAGCTGGCCTTGATTAGTTCTGGTGAGGTTTCCATTACGCTCTCCAACGAGGGAAAATGGGTCCATTTATCATATGACCGTAGAGCCCCACGCGTGCAATCGCATATTAAACCAAAGCGAAAGCTAACGTGCGCAGGGTCGGACGGGTTGATGTGAGCCGGTCCGATCAAAGCCGTCCGGCCTTGCACTTATACTGTTCTTTTGCATTTTCCGAGAACGTGACGCACGTCATGACCTCGAGCTAAGTATTTTCCCGTTCGGCCCTCCCACTCAGTTAATAAGTATATATGTTATCTCTTGGTTCTGACATTGGTGATCTCAGCAGTATTCAGGACGCCTGTCAAATATGAAACAGTTAATGCAAGTGATGGCCATCACAAAATGTTGTCACCGGCACCTTGAATGTCTCGTACCTAGTCCTCCGACGGCCAAACGTTGGAAGAGGGTCTGAATACGAGTTCAAGAAGGAAACGTCAGAACAGATTTAAGGTCTCGTATCCAGACTTTCTGCAACCAAGCGTTGGACGAGAGTCTGGATACGAGTTCAAGAAACATCGTACCAACATCGTACCTCATGATAAAGATGCAAAAATTAAGCTCTGTTGCGATTAAACGTTAAGGCCATCCTGATTTTCATCATCAATATTTTCTCTTGATGGATAAAAACGTCAACCACCTTTCATGTCTGAAGGCAGAAAGTGAATAACAATGATCGATTTTAAAGAGAATTACCACAAAATGGGAAAACTTAGCAGCTCTTTTCAAAGGAAGTGCATAGGGTGATTAAAGAAATAATTAATTTTCCTTGTTATCACCTGAAATGCAGCTACCTTGTGCAATTAGGAACTGCACAGACTAAGGACAATTTTTCAGACGGGAGCGCGAAAACCCCTTGGCTTATGTTCACCAAGCTTTTGGTTTTACTCTTCTCGTCAACAGCAAACTTGCTTTTTAAAAACTTGATGGAAACTTGTAATGCTTAACTGAGTGATGTCTAATGTTAACCGGATAAGCGGAAAGTAGATTTAGTGTGAGGACAAAATTGCCCAGGGCATTACTCTAAATGACCAAAATATGGAAATCATCCCGAATGGTTTTCACCTTTGATTATCGGTCAATGAAATTCCAGAAGTAAAATTATAAATAATTAGTATTGGTTAAGTTAAAACTAAATGTAAGGTGACTAAGTTACCATTCGACCAATGAAAATAACATTGTTAACTACGACGGGAAAATTTCTTTTTGGGTAGGCTTAAATTCAAGAGAGTAATTAACTGACTTTGAAACGAAGCTATTCTTGGCTGCAAGTCTGGAGCCTTCCTTCGTTCATTTTTGAAGGATTAGTACCAGATCAGATTTCAAAAAGCTCCCCATTTCGCATTGAATTAACATCCACCTGGCTTTGTTTTGATTCTCGCAATCGCACGCTTGGTCAAAATAAATTATTCATGAGATCGATCAAAAACCTAATGACAGCGATTCCCAATCGCCTTTTGCGGGGCGTAACATTTTAGTAGCATGTTGAAATTTTAGTCGAACGTTCTTGCCTTACGGTTCTTGAAGGCCACCATGGGATGTATGTACAGACGATGAAATTGTTAAACTCTTTACCTAAAGTTATCTTCACGTTCAATTCAAGATGTTTTGCTAATCGGTTTTATTGTATTCGTGTTTCTTTCAGTGCCAGTCCCGGCCATCGTATTTATGGCGGTTATCGGCGGCTGTTGTCTTCTTTTACTTGTATTGTATCAGTGCTTGAAGGCTGGAATGTTTTTTAAGACCGAACCACCGGATGATAGACCAGACGAGAAGGGATACGCCGAGCTTGGCGAAGCTTACGGCACTGAAACAGACGATGATTATGTTGGGCCATCCTCGAAAGCAACAAGCCGTCGAAGTAGCTTTAACACGAGCGGCAGTAAGTCGGATGGCGAGTTAGCTCTTGGCGATAGTGCTTCAGTTTATGGTTACGGTAAATATTCGGACGGTGAATATAGCCCAGCCATCGGTAGACACGCTGTATCGGCTTATGGTGAAGCAATCGATGTCGGTCAAGAGGAATTTCTTTCAACTGCGGGGAGATTGCAAGTGTCTGCAAGTTATGCCCCCACAGCGGAAAAGTTAGCGGTAACTGTTATTCGTGCCGAGGACGTCCCTACGAAACAGCGCGGTGGCGCGGGCAGTGTTCAAGTCCGCGTGGTATTGCTACCTTCAAAGAAGCAGCGATTTAAAACAAAAGCAAAACCAGCCGCAAATCCGAACTTCCACGAGACATTTACATTCAGTCGAGTTCCTCAGAGCGATTTACACGAAAGTGGCCTCAGGTTTAGGTTGTATGGTCACGAAAAAATCTCCAGGGATAAATTATTAGGCGAAATGACTATCAATCTTACTGAATTCGATTTAGAAGGCGATGGAGAAGCACTCTGGCGAACGCTCACACCAAGAAATGCCCTGAGCGTAAGTAGATAGATTTTAACAAATTTCATATGCTGTACTGTTTGTTCACTGCGACGCTTTGCACTTTTGTGTCGAGTGAACTTGCTGGGAAAATTTGTGGATGAAAATATTGAGCAGTCCTTTTTTTGTCACTGGCTAGTTACCCAAAGGAAAAACAAAATTGATATCCACCTGAAAGTTATGCAAAAAGTCAAGTGAAAAGCGTCGTAGATTTACTTCGTAATGCAATTTCTCTGAGAGATTGCTTCGGTTGTCATTTTTCGCTTTTGGGATTTTTCGAAGTGTACCGTTTTATGGAAGAGTAGCAGTAGTCTTCCCAAAAATCATAGTTTTTGCTTTATTTTGGTGTAAATTGTCGTCAGAATAATTTATTTGAACTTTTCTCAGCACTGTAACGTGGCTCGATCAGAATACTGAAGAAAGACGGAAACTATATATGCAAATCAGTCACCAGTCAATCAAATGTAACCAATGATCAGCTGGCATGTTTTTTAAATCCTTTGTTCGTTGTTGTTGACAAGGCAATTACATTAGCACATGTCACTTTCTGAGCCGGAACGTGGGCAAATACAAAAGCCTTCCAACACTGTTATTGTCCTATAAAAAAGTTCAGAACGTGCCACAAATTAAAACCTATTTAGAATTTAAATCCTTCTCAGCCGAGTGTTAACGAATTTCAGTGCAGAGGCTAATTAATGACAAATAAAGTTTTACATATTTAAGGCGACTTTGAAACAAGTTTTCAGGCAAACTGAAAAGTTCGCCGGGTCTATGGCGTCTTCCTTTCTCTGCCTTATGTTACTGTTAATCCAAGATTTGGCGAAAATGGTAATGCAAGGCTGTGCAGCAATACATCATTACCCAAACTGAAGGAGAAGCTTCGTTTTTGAAGCAGTTTTGTAAGAAAGCTCTCCAGCTGAGGATCTTTGCGTAGGTGTCCTATGTGATCTGCTTGTAGTGTTTTGTTTATGCCAAGAGCAACGTACTCTGTCTTTTAAAGGAGAAAAGTATTATTAGTTTGAATCGAGTTTACGACGAGCAAATTAATAGAAAGATAGAAAACTACTGAAATAGGGGAAATAATCTTTAAGACACGAGGATGATTAGGGATTGAGAAAATTAACAGAAACGCCCAATTAAAAAGTCTAGGTCAATATTCCAGCAAATCGTCATGTAGCTTTAAAAAGTACAAATATACTTGTATATGTAGGGAGCTAACATTGTTACTGTTTATACTGTTACAGAGCTCTGACTCCATGTACGATTTGTCAGAAAGTGGTAGTGTGATGAGTTTCGGATCTCATGGTTCAGTGTCTTCTCTGGCAATGACTCATAGTGGGGCCCCAGAATTGCTTGTCTCGCTCTGTTATCAATCTCTCACTGGCCGCCTAACTGTGGAAGTGCTAAAGGCCAGCAACCTCCGTAATGTATCAATGCAACGTGCACCAGGTACTGTGAACTTTATCATTCTTTTATATTAAAGAAATTTTCAGCGTCAAATATACTCCATGATTGCACTGGTTTTGATCCACTACGCCTTGCGACTCGCACAACCTAATTTTTAACTAATCGAATGCAAGGCTATAGTAAACGGAGATAAGGTAACTTACGTTTTCCCGCGCTTAATGCAGGTTGTTTTTTTGCCTCGAGTCCCCATTGACTCCTTGTCAGTAATATTTTTCTATGTTCCGATTAGCTGCTCTGATAACCGAACTTTGGAAATAACGACACTAAAAGAACTCTGGCAATCCACATTATCTCTGATAATTGAAATAGCTCCAACAAAAAAAACAAATAAACAAGCGAAACTGAACAAAACATACAAAAAAAAACAAAACAAAATCAGTCAAAAAAGCAGAAAAACCAGGTCAAGCTTTTCAATCAGCGATTGACTCGTCAGAAACGCAAAAGTTTTATCTTTCTTTTTAAGATAATAATAATAAACATCGAATAACTTCCACTCCGCTTAAAATCAGGACAAAGTGATCAAAACGCCACACATCATTTACTATCAAAGAAGCTTTGCTGAGAGCGGAATTTTGTAAAGGGTTACTCTCAAAGGTTGATCCGCAATGCATGCGTGGAAAGTAAGGAAATGGTTCACGCCTGGGTTCATTATTTAAAATGCAATTTGTTAAAATTCGTTTTGTAGATTGATTAACCATTGAATTTCTGATCCCCACCAGTTTACTCTGAGTGAGGAGGACAAAAGCTTCCGATTATTCAATGGATGGCCAATAAAAGGGTCGAATAAATCAAATCGAACACGCATCATCAATGTATAGCAGTCGATGAAGCAAAAGTACATCCGGTTATTTTTCCATCTTAGTGTTTCAAAAACTTTTCCCAAGAAATTTTGGATTTAGGGGACAGACCAAGGAGGCAAGTGTGGGGAGGAGAGAAGTGTGTACCACCTAGACCACTCTGTAGCTTCGTATACCCAGTTTTATGAGCTGCAAGCTGATGTGCGTATTGAGTATTGAAAACGATGCTTTCGATCCTTAAGAGAAGCGAGTATTTTCTCTTCCGGTATAACTGTTGTTCATAGAGCTTAAACACTAAGATAAAACAACAATACATCGGACACCAATCAAATAAATACGTTAAAAATGATGCAAATATATAGTTAAAGGAAAACTTCTCTGCCGGCATTACTCTAAATCTTGATTTAAACGTCACAAAATAAAGTTTAAATGTTCATAAGGGGAAAGAGTTCATAAACCTCTCACTTACTTTTAAATCTTCAAAACGTGTAAATCACCGTAAAAGTAATGCGCACCCTTTCTCATTCACTAACAGATTCATACGTGAAAGTCACTTTGTTCTCAGCATCTGGCAAGCAAGTTGCAAAAAGTAAAACTACCATTAGAAAGAGCATGGCTGACCCCGAGTATAACGAAAGTTTCATGTATGAGATTTCCGAGAGAGATCTACAGCTGGTGAATTTGAATATATCTGTGATTGTCATAACAAAGGCGAGGAAGAAAAAAGAGATAGGCTGGCTTACCTTGGGAAAAAATTCTAGCGGGCAAGAAGAAATCAGGCACTGGAATGACATGATACAGGAAAAAGAAAAAACACTAAGCCGATGGCATACTCTCGCAGACGCTTAATCTTATGCCCAAGTCCCACTTGTGTCATTGCTTGGTCGTGAGAGGTCTGGGTGAAAGACTAGCAGACGCATAGAAAATCCTTAAATCATCAAATGTTAATAAGTTATTCATTAAGGTGTATTGAATAGTTTTCATTCATTACTGTGGGATGATTAAAACAAGTCAGTAAATGAAGGGGTTTAATGCGCAGCAGATAGTTAAAAACACAGATAAGTGTCATAAATGATGTGACTTTGACTACCAGTTCATTAAAAAAAATAAAATTTCTAAATTTGCGGTTCTAAACAGATTGTTTTTCTTCTTGAAATTATCTGGTTTTCTTTCTGTGATAACCATAATCTGTCATTTAAATTGATGAATCGAGAGGGATAACCAATTCTATTCAATTAAGTGAAAAAAAATTAAAATTCGTTGCGTTGCTAAGGGTCGGTAGACAGTTCACCAAACATGCAAAAACAGACATGTTTCCTATGTTAGCTCTTGCGAAATATCGTGCGTAGGTTTTAATTAAGGCATCAACGCTCTCGATAAACAATTCATGCCTTCTAGGCAACTGTAACTTGACTACATGAAGATGCGACCAGCCATCTCAGACCAACAGTATGTTTGACGAATAAAATGCTTTAAATATCAACAAACCAAAAAAGTTACATTCGCATCCTTCTTAATCGAAATAAATTTCATTCAAATGAGTTCTATACTGTTAGTTTTACAAGTTTAAGCAAAGGAACAGATTTTCCTCTTCAGAAAATATATTTAAACTCACTTTACGCGCGTTCGCACGATCGAACAAGCAAGATGAGCGTCGGGCTAGTAATTGATAATCATATTAAAAGTTTACTTTCCTCGAATTGTTTTACAAATATTAAAATAAGAATGATAGGTTTTGAAGGCTGTTTCAAAAACTGTGAATTTGACGAGGTTTCTTTTCATAACTACTCTCCCCTGGGGCATTATTTGATTTTGGCACACGAATCAGATACAGATAAAATCTACATCACATTGCTTATTTTGAAATAATGTTGTTCGCGACAATTGTATAGTATACAACAGCTATTTTCGACGATTGTTGATCGTTTGCCAACATATCAGTGGGATCGAATCAATTTTCGTCCTTTCGGTCGACAAAACGTAACAACTCGTTACCGCGACATCACGCGTTCATCGAGATAAGAAACACGCGAAGTTTCGTTTGCACTTGCAGTTGGTCCAAGCACAACCGAGCGCAGTTCTAACTTCCCATGAACACACAGCCGATGCATGAAAAAAAAAAAAAAAAAATAAAAATAAAATTTCTATGCTGTAGTGTTTTGAGAGAAATTCCCCCTGCCAAGCTGTACACATAGGCACACAAACACGCCTTCAATGGCGAATACATGAATGAAGAGCAATATGTCGAGAACATAAACAAAAATTCACAAATGTCGTGAATTCTGGTCGGTCGTGATGTTTTAAAGGGTTTTTAAATTGCACGAGCCGCCGCCGTTTGCATCATGTCTGAGCATCTTAGTGGCTTTTTGATGCATTCCAAGTTAATTTATATCAGCCATCATCACTTTTTTGTTACAAACGGGATCTTGGACATTTTATTTGTCTACCTTTTTTGGCATGGCCTTGCTTTCGTTTTCTTTCCACCCATCTCATAAAAAATTGTTACCGGCGCTTGACGTCTTAAGCAAGTGTTTCTGTAGTCTATGTTTCCCATACAATGCGCTTTGACTAACTTTTGTGATTGATTTCAATTTCAGATACTTATGTTAAAGTGGCAATGTTCAACTCCATTGGACAGCAACTCTCCAAAAGTAAAACGTCAATACGTCGCAGCATGTGTGACCCGGAATACAACGAGAACTTTGTATTCCAGATAATAGAATTTGAACTGCCTAGTGTAAGCCTCATGTTCTCTGTGGTCAACATCAAGAAGATGAGGAGAAAGGAGATTATAGGATGGTTCTCAATGGGCAGGGATAACACTGGCGAAGATGAAGAAGCTCATTGGAAAGAAATGATTGAAGCTAAGGGTCAACCACGGAAGAGATGGCACATTCTAAGTGCTGTGGACTACTAAAAACTGCAACAAATACATTTGAATTCTAAAAGAATCAGATTTATTAAATAAGCAACTTTACAAATGTAGCATTATTAACTAGCTAGGTTTATTTATTTGTTAAATATTTATTTCCCAGTTTCAAGAGTATATTTTTACACAGGAGTGTTTTTTTTTTAAATTTTTTTTTTCATTTGCATTGCCTTGCTACATTGTACAAAGTTTCAATATTTTGTATTGGACTACTTGGAGTCCATTTGCAGTAAAAATTTTAGGTAAATAATTATAATTTATGTGATAGGACACTGACAAAGGAAGACAAACTAAATGGGGTATTTTGGATGTGGGATCAAAAGTAACACATAATCAGTTAATGATTAAACAAATGATTAAATATGTACCCAAAAAGATGTTCTTGGTCACTTAAGATTGTGTTAAGACTATCTAGTTGGAAATCAATAGGAATTACTGCTAAGCTCAAAAGTTATGAACATCTAAAATATGTCTGGAATGCTTTTGGTGTTTTGACCAATCACATGAGAGATCAGGACAAGATGAGAAACCACAAAACCACAAAATAATCAGCATTACTGCATACAGTTCAGATATCTCATGCTGATTGACTTACTCTAGTTTCACAATGAATTATGAACTAGAGTGTGTGTATTATGAATACTTGTCCCACCTTCCACAACGCCTTCTCTTGACATTGGGATTCCAAGATTATTCCCTCAAGAATGCTAGCCTCCTTAAACTTACTGCCTCTGAAAATTGTTCTTACTAGAGAGCTCTGTTAAACCTTGGGGAATCTGTACTTAGTTAAGTATAATGTCAATAAGCCAATAAAGATTTGAGCCCTCAGATATTTGTATTTGCTCATTTTGTCATTATTTGTTAATGAGTATTACAACACATGCCCAACAAATAAAGAAAATAGTGACTTCAAAATGTAAAAGCTGATAAACATGCAGAGTTGGATAGCTCCAAAAAGTCCTAACTTGAATAAAGTTTCTTTCCATATTGTGATATTGATTTACCTTGAGTGTGGGTGAACCTGAGCTTCCAAAACATTAAAAAATGGAGTAACCCTCCCCCCAACACATTGTCTTTTTTAGGAAATTATGAATCATTGGGGGATAGAAGGGAGGAGATTGCCATACAGAATTGCAAGAATGTTTGTCCTCTTTCCTTGAGTGATAGTACCAGTATTTTGTTCTTCTTGGGGGGTTTGTAGCATGAAACTCTATATCTGTTTAGTTATGAAGATAGTTTACAGAGTTTCAAGTGAAGAAATCAAAAGGAAAATGCCATCATTCCATAGTGAAAAAATCAATCAGAATGGATGGCATTTTCTTTTTTAAAATCTTCTTTGGGAATTGTACAATCAATTTTCAAAAGATGTAGAGGTAGCCCCAGTTACTTATTTGTAACATGGCAGCTACACTTCAGAGTCAATAAATAGATATTTAATATGCTCTGGACTGACATCCCATCCAGGGGTGGGTAATAATACTCCTTGTTGCTTCATGATAAGAAGAGCTCTAGTCGTACATGTAATACTTAACCTTACCTTAAAAAAATTACAATAAACATTCATGAGAAAATAAGGACACATGCTTTCAAGATAGGCCCAGCTAGAAATACACAACCATCTGGGGTGTTTCTTTAACTCATTGCCAAGTGTATATTTTTAGCCCTTTGACTCCCAGAGTGATTAACATGTAGCTTCTCCCTGAAATATCCATACATTATCCAACAAAAGGGTCATGAGAATACTCAAACTTCTCAGGTAGAAGTTGTCATCTTGATCTAACTACAAAGTCTTGTCACTAGTTTAGAAGGAAATGTGTGGGAGCTAAAAGGGAGACTTAACAATCAGATCTTGGAAGTTCAGGGGTTCATGGTTCAAATTTTCCCTTGCCATTTTTCATGATTCATTTTTTTTTTGTTTTGGTTTGTAGATGTGAGTTGACATCTTGAAGAGATTTCATTGTGTTTTGTACCAAAATTTCATCCCATTGGGAAAATATTCCATGAAACAGAATCCAACTATCCCACCTCCCTTTCCCCTCCCATCTTGCCCAGGCCTGGAAAAAAATTTGAGAGAAATTCTTTTCCTTTCAGTTGGCATTGTAGCTATTCAACACACGGATTCCATGTTGCTATTTGTCTGTATGTCTATTCTACTACATTTCAGATGAATCATGACCTCAAAATGTCACTGATGTCAATCAAAATGCGTGTATAATTCAGCTTATCATTTAACATTCATTCAGTCATTTCATCACCGAGTACCTATTGCTGACTTGTATTTTCAAGACTAGATATAGCTTCTCTTTCATTGCATAGATTACCTTGCGCTCCATTTGGTAGTCAGACACTTGTTGCTGGTACCAGTGATTTCTGTCAAGTCAAATTGCATGCTTAAAATCTTAAATACAGCAGAAAATGGACCCTGGAAGCAAATAAATTCCTGAAATGCCTCTCATTTCCTGTAGCTCACCAAGGCTAGTTTAATTTTTCTCGATTACTTTTTGTTCTATACTGAAGTTGTAACGCACTTTGAACGATAACAGTTTCCAGGAGCAGGGAACCAAAGTACCACAAAGGAGCATAGTCAAAAGTAATCAACCCCATTATATGGAAACGTGTATATTCAGTGTAATCCCAAGGACAAGCATTGAACTGCCGTAAAATCAAACCGGTAGAAAACTCCCAAGCATACGTCCATATAACGTAGATAACACCACGCACTACCATGTTAGTCCTGTCTTTCAGGGACAGATACATTCTCTCAACAACATAAGACGAAACTGCATAAATGGGAAAGCTCCAAACCGATGTACAACCATGAAGTTTCCAACCGTGCCGGTATTTAGCTGAGTCAATAAAGTACCATGTTGCAGTGAACATCACTTCGGCAAAAAAGCCACACAGGCCGTACAGAATCAGTCGGGAGGTTAGTGGCAGACAGCCTTGTTCACCTTGACCTTTCTTAGTCGCGTCCATCGTTAATCTTAACCTTTTAACTGTTTTTTCTCCCCCTTACAAATCTTTAAGTACCAAAACACGACGTGTCAGATCGTCTGTACCTGTCTAGCGCAGTTACCGGCACACTCATCCCCAGGATCTCTCGTTAATTCTAATTCAAGATGGACGACACATCGTGGGGGAAAGCGTCGATCATTTACAAATAGCAGTTGCCATCGTAGATCATGAAGAAGCCAAAGAGAGTGTACAAGCAGAAATTACTGTTAAGTGAAGGCACGAAACTGAAGTTAAAGAGTGAGTAGTTGTTACCCTCCAAAGAGATCTGATCAGTAAGCCTTGCTAGTGTGCTCACGGAAAATCTCCTCTGAAACGCTATCGAAATTGTAACTAAACGCTTCTTAAGTGTCGTGACTTTGAGAATAGAGTCAAAGAGCCGTGTGGTTGAGATCTACACGGTATGATAAATTGATGTAATCAAGCTCGTTCCTTATATTTTTTTGTCTTCAGTGTAGATGAAAATTAGGGAATTGGAATTAGCCAATCAAAGGGAGAGGGGATTAGCGAATCAAAACATTTGTTCACAAACCCATGGAGCAGTGTAGATCTTGACCAAAAAATGCATTTGTGCACGTGTATTACAGTAAAATACAGTCGTAATAACACAGTGTCTGAATTTAGTGCCTGATTTTGTTTTCAGACAAAGTTTGTTGCAGGGAAAATAGCTAATATGGTTCTTGCATGTATTTTTTAGGAATTTGTGAATCTGCTGATGAGGTTGAAGTACCAAAACTTTTGTTAAAGTGCTTGGAAGAAGATGATACCACAATACATTGTGCTTTGTTAAAAAAGGTTTTTATATTCTTCTTTTCTTTTTTAATGTTACCAAGTACTTTAAGTTACAAATAATATAAAAGTGTCATTTGATATATCTAAGTTTCCTTCACTTTGTCTTTTTTAAGGCTGGTACTGTTTTTCCAGATGAATGCAAAATCAAGCTGTCATCTGATGAGGCTCACACATGTCTTGCTGCTCTGGCTGAATTTTATGTAATATGTGACTCAAAAAATCCTTCAAGGAAAATTATTTCAAGGTATCTTGATTTGAAACTGTCAAGTCATGAAGTTATGTACATTTTTAATTTTTTTTTGGTATAAATGATAATAATGACAGATATATATATGTCACTTATGTTGCTTTGATATTTATTTAACACATAGAATACTGCAACTCGTCTTTTCTGTGGGGGTGGCTTACATTTATATAAAATTTAAATATACATGTTGTCAGTTGCATTTAATAATTTCCAAAATTTATGATATTACTCATCAAAAATTAATGCTATGATTTAAGGTGAAGTTGTTGCTTCCAGGATTTTATTACTTACATAACAGTACCATATGTTTTCAATGTTGCAGTGTTTTTGATGGTTTGCCACAAGGTTTTCCCTCTGAAGTTCTAAGCTCAGTGATTGTAGAGAAGATAAGTCGTGCAAGAGATGTCTTAATGCTGGTATGAGTCTAAGTTTTGAAGGTTGTAAACATTTGTTCAGCAATAAATGTGGTTATGAATAATTTACTATTTTGAATAAAGTTAGAAATTCTTAATTTGAGCTTTTAAGATCTCATTAGTAATTCTTCTTACTGTTTGTCATACCATTCTTAAGATACTAGTTCAGAGAATTTGTTTTTGGATCAACTAATCCACTAATTGATATTTTTCTATATTCTCATAACTTTTCTGCTTGATACTAATATTGTAAAGAGAGATTCTGTCTTGGTCACTCATGAGAATCAGAGGGTTATAGGGGAATTAATTTACTCTTGAGATACATCTTTGCAAATGTTGCATCCCACATTCTGGTTTTTAAGATTCTCTTGCTTCTAGTCTAGTATGAACAAAATATAGTTTCCCCCAGCTTAGTGCATGAACTCCCTGACTTGTAAGTCCTTAAAAACTCATGAAATTCTTCCATTTCCAGTGTTCTCCTTTTCAGGCAGTAACCGATAACATTTACCGCCTGTAGTGCCTCTTATTACTGTTTAAAATTGCTTGAAATTCTTGAAAATTTAACTTGTGAAAGGATTGTTTTACTAGTTTGAAAATTCATTTTACCTGTCATGCTTAAAATAAGGGAGAACACTGCATTTCGTGACCTTATATTTTCTAACTGGAATGTCCCCCAACTGATTATCTGTGATAATCTTAATCTTATCTTAATTTTAGCTAATAGTTGTGAATTCACTGGGTTTTTTTTTTTTTGTATTTAGTATTTACTGATTTTTGTGGTCAATTTATTCTTTAGGCTGAAGATATAAATATTCGACATTATGTAGATATGATAGCTGATATGTTGGATTCATTTACTCTTGGTTAGTGAGTTTCTGTCATGGTTTCTTTAAGAAATATAGTTGGAAGATAGAGTAAAAATAGCCTTCTACCCTGCTACTAGCTGGATTTTTCTTTGGTTGTCCCAAGTTCAGCTCCTTGAGTGGGCTTTATGGCATAGCCAGCTGTTTGTTTCCAATTTGTTTGTATTGGCGCTGAAAAAGCCCATTGGGGGTGGTCAATTGTTATTATTATCACAATGCAATTATACCCTATATATTAATTAGTCATTGATTCTTTAGAAAACATTTATCATTTAAATTAGAAGCAATTGTATAAGTTGGCATTCCTAGGAGTGATTGGGACAATAATAAACAACTGTCAATTTTGTCTTGTTTTGTTTTTACAGGAGCTGATGTACTTCTTACCAATGGCCATTTGGGTAAATATGAAATGTTAAACAGTGGTGCATGAAACCTTTGAATGTAAAAAAAGAAGCTAGCAATATGGTAGAAGACTATTATAATGATGCACTGGCAACAATGTTAGATGTTCAATCTCCTCGTTGTTGGTGTGTAAATTGCCAGAAGTAAAAAAATGATTTTTTTTTTAACTTCTCCTACCCCAGTAATGGATTGAAGCAAAGATAAAACATACATTGTACCTGCATGTGTAGAGAATAAACAGGAGCATAGTATTACAGTATAGATGTAAAATTAATGTACTTTCAAGATAAAGCCCTACAGGATATATTTTTGAATGGATCATTAAGTTAACAGTTTGTCATTGTTCTCTTATTTCAGTATTCAAATTTCTTGGCTTGTGTTTAAAAGAACAGTGGAAAGTTGCCAAGTGAGTGAGGTTACATTTATGGATGTGGGTGACTAAGACACCTTTCTTCACCCAAGAAAACTTTATGGTTTGGTCATATGAAAAATGTTGGCACAGCTGCCTCAATCAGTGTTATCCTCTCTTGGTTACCCACAACCTCAACCTGAAGAACACATGTTTGGTTGTTTTACAAGACAGAGTAATTTTCTTTATGTCTTTTGAGTGATGTGCATTGGGGAAAAGTAAGCTTTTTTCTAGCTCTCCCTTTGGAAAAGAAAGGAAAAGAAGAAAAAGACTGAGGTACTTAATTTCCCTTCCAAGCCCTCCATCTTCCCCATCAAGTATTGCATGAAAGAGTTATACAATAAAATTGACCATATTCCTTATATTATTTCTCTCTCCTTTGTAGAGCTGAGCGATCTCCGGCTTTGCAGACCTCTCTTATGATGGACTGTTTAGCAGTTATAAAGACAATAATTTCTTTTCTTCAGAAATCCAGTTCTGAGACAAATTTATGTAATTTGTTTGACCAGCTCGCCTTGTCATGTGTTAAAAAAGAAGAGGCTGGTCATAATAGTTATAAAGACCTTAATGCAAGTCTTGACGCAGGCCAGTTATGTGGTAGCAGCTACTCAGATGCTCCAATAACTGTGAAGCTGTGGACTGATTTGATGACAGAAATGCTGATAGACCTTTGTGGTGTTTTGTTTGATGGTATGACTTGTTTTATAGGATTTCTTTATACACAACATATTTTTTACTAGATCTGCATTATTTATAGATTGGTGCATGTACATGAAAGCTCCCCTATCTTAGTTCTGGAACAGTTGTAAAATGAAAAGTCAGAACTAGTTATGTGTGACCATGGGAGTCACATTTGTAGAAAATGATAGTGAATCTGATCCAGCCAATTTGTCTGCCAGTGAGTTATCCAAGGTGTCAGTTGATATGTATATGACACCAGCAACTTGCCACATGTGCACCACCAACATGCTGTTGATTTGCAGTATGAACCTAAAAGTGAAGTGATGTCTGATGGGCTGATTGATAATTAAGTGATATTTGCTCAACAGTCTAATGCCATATTGGAGGATATGTTGGTTAAATCAGTTTTTTTTTATCATATTTCTCACCTGTAGTAGGGTTTTATTGCCTGGTAGATGATTGTTCCAAGTGAAGCTTATAGATCACCAACCCCTCTTACAAACTAGTAAAATTTTTCAAAACATTCTTAAAGGCACAATTAAGTTGGTATAAAATTCATTATAAACAATGGTGTGTGTATTTGATAATTCATCTTTCCTTTCACAAATCAAATATATGATAGGTCAAGATTTTGTGGCTGATATGAAGATACCAGTAATGTCAGAAATGGTGTTCTAACTTACATTTCAGATCTATTTTTCCTTGACTGTCAATTAACAGCTGGAATGGCCATTCTTGCTGTTATCAAAGTGATGTGCCCAGCTCAAAGTGTTGTGTCAACAGTAAGTATCTTTTATTTGTCTTACATTGCATGACAGTGGCAGATGATAGTGATTATTGATGTTGAGCCAACATCCCAGCTTCCACCATTTTCCAACTCAGCATCATGGAAATTGGACTTTTAGTAAATCCCATACTTATTTGTCAGTTTTAATTATAGTATTTTGTCTTGTTATTCATTATTCCTTAAAGAGATAATAACTGACTTGTTTGATACTAATTTATTTGTTTGTTCATTGTGTGATTGACCCCATAAACAGATTGGAAAGTTGATTTTCCCCTCTCATGCCCCAAGTGGACACCTACCTTTTTCACCCTTGAGTGATCCCAAAATCGTTTCCATCTTTCAAAATTCTCCAGGTAAGTATTCTCTTGCTTTGAAACCTTAGTATAAAGTGTTTTGTCAACCTTGTATGAGATATCAATAATATAGTTTTTTACTAGCAAATAATGTTATATTAACAGTGAGTTGACATTGGATAAAGTTTTGTTTCATTCAAATTTAGGTATCAAATGAACAGTTTCCTTTCTGATGAATGCTATATTTTCATGCTTAGGAATAACCAGTTTCTCACACCTGTGTCTTTGCCGAGGAGTCTTGGCTATAATTCCCCTTCACATGCTGGTTGAGACCTCAGAGGTAAAAAAAGTGAAACTAAATTTGAACCCAGTATTACATATGACCTGCTAACAGTGATTTTAATCTTATATCATGCTGCATCTCAAGGTTTTGTGTCTGCCCAGCTGTTGCAGTGTGTTCTTTGTAAAAAATGACAACCTATACCCTATATAATTTTTCCTACAAATGTGTCTGTTAAGAAAACTTCTTTACAGCTGCATTTGCATGATCTGGTTTTGAAGCAGTAGGCCAAAAATACATAAATTGGCCCTTCTTGAACTCACAGGTCTTGTCTATGATGTCATAACAACTTGCCGGTAATCCCATCTTAACCTTTGCACAAAATTGATTGTGATAGCATATTCATTCCATGACCTTTATTGTTATTCCTCATCTCCATTCACTTGTAAAATGAGTGTTTATGGTAATTGAGGTGTATGATGTTTGATTAAGATTACTGATGAATCCTCTAAGTAATTCATGTAGTTGGAAACACATTCCATTTTGTTGAGCATGATATAAAATGACAATTAAGTGGAGATATCAACATCCTAAGGCTGCAACAGACTAACATCTGCCAAAGTTTTGAGAAGATCACTCACTGTCATAAGTAACTCACAGTACTTTCCAGGACCACTCTAACCTGAATGATCACATATGAGGTTATCCTCAATTAGAATACACAGCAATCACTTGCACACGGGTGTGAATAAATGAATTAAAGATAAAACTTCCTCAAACCTAGTTTGTGTCATGTAGCAGCTCTTATTGTGAAAAGAGACTGTACCCTCCTCACATTGTCTCTGTCCACCCAGGAGTATAATGGGTTGTGGCAAACTACAGAGTGAAAAAGGATAAATGCAGAGGGGGTGGGGTGGGTGAGGGACTTGCAAAAGAGCTGCATCTCTTCAAGAGAGAGTAGGGGGATGGTTGTTTTCTGATGTGGAAACTGGAATATGTTCTGTTAATATTAATGAATCACTTGTTAATAATTGTTTATATTAAGTAAATTTTTTATCAAATCAATCATACCATACCTACAGGTCATATTAGATGGTCAAAGTAAGCATGGAACTCTGATGTTTGACGCTTTGTTTCCAGACTTGTGTTCTCTTTGTGACAGGTAACATGATCTGTTTAATACTTCCTGCATGAAATAAGATAAAAGATTTGATTTAATGATTTAATAATTCATGCACTTGTCGTGCAATGTTCTCCTGTGATTGTGTGAACTCGCAAGACTCCAGATACAATGTAAGTTACCAGCCACATAATCGTAGAATTCAAAGGAATTAAATTGCAACATTAGGTCTTTTTTGTTTATCCCCTCTTCTATTATTATCACAATACAAGTCAACCAAGGGTTACATTAAACTTTTCCAACTTTTTGTGCACTTTGCACTGACAAGAATATTGTGACAGAAATGACAACCTCGTGAATACTGACAACTGAAGTTGTTGGGTATTTTGATCATGTCCTTACCCACCTTCTCTTGAATATTTTTCCAAACTGCTTCAGCCAACATGATCCAAAATCTTTAAAAAAAAAATGAAAAAACTGACTATTATGATATAATAATATTAATTTAAAAAAAGATCTTTGCCCAGAAAACTCAAATATTTAAGGAGCTGTTTGGGAGATTTGTTCTGTACCTTTAAGACTCTTTGTAATATAGCAGAGTTGGTATACTTGTTCATACATTGTCTTTTATACCACCATGCAGCCTTAAAGAATGCAATACATCCATTATAGCCTTTCGTACTCTGACTCTGTGGGCAAATCAGGCCAGGTGAGAAACCAAGACCTTCATTTTGAAACAACCATGACTCTTTCGTTTATTTATCAAATTACTGACTTGTGGAAGTGGAAGGATAAGTATTTGTGAAATTTAATGTTTAAAATTTATGAATCTGAGTTTTTCTATTCAGTATACTTAACATGTTGTTTATAAAAAATCCTATGTATAGCCTGGTTTTTTCGTGTCATACTGTACTCATAATTTGTTACCTCCTTTTTAGACAAATAGCCACTAGTAATCACTGTGAAGGTTCTTGGCTTAAAGAAAAGTTATATGGCACATCACCAATTCCAACCAAGCTTCTGAATTATGTCTGGACTCATTGGGACCATCCAGTTGAGGTGAATCAAGCTGTTTTGGGTCTATAATTGAGCTGTGGCTATAATAATTTTAAGGAAATGTCAGAATACTTGGTATTATTATATAAATGCCAATGAAATACTAAGTGAGCTTTTGTGTGAAAATAAGCTATCTTCACACATGGAAATATCTTTGTTGCCATGGTTACATATACAAAAGTATTAATGTGAAATAATTAAGTATTTCATTGGTGTTTATGTAATAAAAAGAAAATTAAATGGCCACTCAGAAATATGAATATTCTCTTCTTGTGTTGAAAAATATTTCATGAGTGAGCAAAGAGAAATTTTATATCTCCGCACAACCACATAATATCCTCTATTTAATACCACTATTCTTCTTCAGGGAGTGAGATACCAAACCAAAGCAGTATGTGAACATGTTGTCAACCTACACTTGATTGTTGGACAGTCTGGTATGATATTTCATAGTAAATTTTCAGGTTACTTTCACCCATTCATTCTGGAAACTTGTTGTTTACAAAGTAGTCGTCAGTTATTAAATAACATGAGAACATCCATAACAGCCCTGAAGATGTATATTCCACATTTTTTGATGCCAGCCAAACATGCCAAACTGAGGAGTTAGTGATGAAGGAAATATTCCTTTTCCATATTAAGAGGTCTAACATAGTTTTAACCAGATTTATTTCGAAGCCTTCAGCAGAAACCTCAGTAAACATTTTTGCCTCCTTTTGATAAGGAAGTTCCTGTATCATTTATATGTACACATCCTCTTTTGGGACTTGCCTCTTGCCGAGATTAAACTGAGTTATGATAACTGTAGTATTTTATTCACTTTGATTAAGATCCTTCAAAAGAAGACTTCCTACAGGACCTAGCAGCATCTCTTTTGAATGTCAGCTGGCATGTAAGAGGAAAATATGGCCCCCTGTGTTGTATTACATCTGTTGTGGGAGCCAAAAAAATGTTGCAGTGGTTTTCAAATATCCCTCAGGATATGTTTCCATTGATAAGTGACAGGAACCTCGCCCCTCATGTGAGTGGTATCGTAAATTATTCTACTAATGCTAGTGTTAATTACATTGGATATACCAATTGAAACCAATTTCGTCAATTGCTATTTATCCCTTGGGCATTGATTTTGAAGTTCTGTTGAACTTTACATAGGGAGTGAACAAAATTAGTGTCAAATTTCTCAGCCTGCATGTTAAGTTAAGCTCCTCGTATCATTGATAATTATATATGGTTGATGAAATTGTCACCCCTAGCTTTAAAGGGAACAGTATGACCTTATTTCCTTAATATGTATTTTGAATCTTGAATTTGATTTCAGGTAATGGATTTTATAGAGCAGATGACAAGTTCTCACAAGCAAGAAATCTTGGACAGTGGGGAAGATATCAAAGGATGGATGGAGGTCTTTTCTGTTTCATAAATTTTGATTATACTTGCTTTATCTAAGTCTCCCAACATGCTCTCTGAAATTTTATATTTTTTGTCTTAAGGTATGGATTGTTCCATTTCTCAATTTTATTTGCTGTGGTTGCAGACTTCTGAGGGAAAACTTGGCTCAGGTTTGTTAAAGTTTATAAATTTCAATGCTTTTACTTTATTTGAAATTTTTTCTTCTACACAGTTTGTCATTTCATAATTAATATTGTTTTCCTCTCTTTTTTTTGTTTGTTTGGAAAACAACCAGCTTCTGACGCTGCTTAATTATTTTGTAGTTTTGTCTCCCAAAGTTATTGAGGGGCTGCCCTGAAAGCCTACAGTTTCTTGTTGAGTATCTTCAAGAAAACAAAGGTAAGAATCTTTGTTATTAACTTTTGTGAAAAGCAGAAAATGTTTAACATTTAGGAGCAAAGCTGGACTCTCTCAGGGTACACACAAGCTGGCAGAATTGAGAAATACAGGGTTTGAATTTCCTCAGTGGGAGAACATCTTAAAAAATAGGTGAACTCTAAAAGTACAGTTAAACAAATACTGGTGTTAATCAAGTTAATTAAAAGTAATTAACATAAAATGATTACATTTTGAATTTTTTAGGAGTAAAAGAAAGTAACCTTGGGACCTTGGTTACCTGTTTAAAAATTGCTCGTTCATCAGGACTAATGGATTTTTATAAGACAGACCAAGAAAATGCTTCTTTTGGACATGGCTCATTGTGGTGTGGGGTGGTTCCAGAACAGCTTATGAGGAAGGCATTGTGTCATTTGGATGATCAGGTGTGTTGTGATCATGAAAGATGTAATTTAACTGACTTTGTACAGTTGATTTATGGTCACTCATACTGTCAAGGAAAATCATAAATTAAAGCTTTTTTGGGTAATAAAGAAATTGAATTGTCAGAGGATAGGAAGAAACTGAGGAAAATACTGTGAGGAGACAGGTCCACAGCTGGAGAGGAGTTAAAATTATTCTGAGAATTGGTATTTATTGAGTATGAACTTCTTTGTTGCAAAGTTTTTTGGGGTTTGGGATTTCATATGTGGTTTTCCTAATGAGAATATTGTAATTTATCTTGGTATAAAGTCCTTGAAGAAAGCTAATTTGCATCTAGTTTAACAGGGGTCTCTGTTTAAAAGTCTTTGGTTTTCAGCCTTAAACGTTTTCAGACCACAATTCAAAAGCAAATATGTTTTTGTCCTATTCTTAATTAACATTTCAGTTTATAAAGGCCATAGACTGAAAAGCAAAAGCTCAAACTTAGAAATAGATTTCTAACCAGTGTGAATTTCGACATTAGCTACTCTTCCATTTTTACCCTCAATTTGGTTTGAAATTTCATCACCTCTGAGCATCCATTTTATGACTCTACAAATTGATTTTTTAGATTCGTATTGATGCCCTTGGACTGCTGTGTGATTCTCCACGAGCAACAGAGTTGATTACAGAGCTGGATTTACAACTGCTTCAGCTCTTTATACCACACAACATGAACAACCAGGCACCTTCCTTCAGACAACAAGCTAGAACACATCTAAAAAGGGTTGGTTGTTTTGTATATTCTGAAAATCTATTATTTAATTTTCCATTTCTTGTACTTAATTGATCATAGAAATTAAGTTTTGAAGCTAGAATTGATGAGGCTCAATAACCAACTGCTTTTTGGGAAATGAGCCCAACTACTCGTTTAAAGTCTCTTTTCTTGGGGGAATTATGACCAGACTCGAGAGGGCAGCAGAAATCCAGCCGAGAAGTACTATGCAATAACTACGTAATGTAGAGCATCAGAGTGCAAAAATCCTAAGGTCTAGGATTTGACTCCTTATGTGGAACTCAGATTTTGTTTGTCTCAAATTCTCTGTAGTTTTGCTGAGTACTTGCCACATGTATGCCTACCTTTTCTTCTAGTTGCTAATGAGACTGAAAGAGTGCATCAGGATATCTAACAAAGCTGTTAAAAAGAAGAAAGATATCAGTGAGAAGAAGCAGTTTCATGAACAACAACTCACTTTCTATTGGGTAATACTTTTTTTATGTTGCTATGATTCAACATACACATAATGTATACATCACTATTTCAAAATAATTTTGTAATATCACTGTCTTGTTTCAGACATTTCTGCAGTGGTTTTGTGCCTATCAGTTTGATTCCTTGTTCCCAAGTGCATCATTTACCCGTCGCACAACAGCTTTGAGCAATTTGATGCTCATCAAGGACATATTTGGTTTTAAAGAAGATGATGGTACATTTAGACAGCTGCTTTCAATTAAAATGATAAGTTATTCCTTAACTGGCCATATGCAGGCCATGAAGTATTAAGCTTAAATGATACATGTAGAGGTTATCAACCTAATGATATAAATAAATGTTAAATCCATGTTTTATCCCTGGAAGTGATATGTATGTGAATTGACATTTTCTTTTGGATTTGCAGATTCTACAGGGAAGAGTTTTAATATGAGTGAAGTCATGTCCCCAGGTAATATACATATTCTTCTGGATTGCCTGAGTGATTCCTATCAAACCAACAAGACAATGGCATATGACTTACTTGTGGCATCTCCCTCCGAGCAGCTGCCATTTCAGGTATGTATACATTAGCAGTACTGGTGGAATATTTTATTCACTATCACTCTGATAAAGGGCTATGGCTCAAAACGTCAGCTTTCAAACTCTTTACAGTGGCCAATTTATGCTATCACCACAGTTGATAATACTAAACTACCTTGTTATACTTTCCCACTGATGCAGCACCACAGTTTCTTTAGAAACATACCCCCTTTATTCCAAAAATGGTTTGTGAGGAGGACATGATTAGGTCACCTCTAATAACAATAATAATAATAATAATAAAAAAACTTTATTTAAATGCAATAAATATTTAAAGCAAGAGGCTTGTGGGGTCATGTTGCAACAAAATTATTATAACATAAATAATATGAATAAATAATGATATACATAAATTTATCTAAATGTTGATGGCCAATGTTTTCTCTACATGCTGCTAGTCTTTTTTAATTGGTAAAGTTGATTGGTTCATGGTTATGCTTCACCTTGATGAAGCATCGTGCTTGGCTGTGATTGGTGCATTTCAAAGGTGTGTTCCTTTAGCAGTCTGTTGTTGTACTAATCTCCTGTTGATGGCCTCTTTATCGTGGCTTTCATGTATCTGGAATTTCTTTTCCATCTGCCCTGTTGATATTGTTGAGATAAAGTTTTATGTGAACAGCTTCTTCTACCCTGCATGGGTAACAACAACATATACCTCCTTCACCTTCCCCCTCCCCTCTTTCAAGTCTCTTGCATGTGTAACAAGAAAAGGGAACTTATATTATAAAAATAAATATTAACATATACTTCACAAAGCCTGACTCGGTACAATTCTAACTCGTTTCCTTCAGGAAGAGAAGTCTTTGCTTGCTTGGCAAAGTATGATTGACCGGTTGGTTTCCAGTCCTCGCGCAGTAGATGCTTCAAGTGCTGCAACATTGCTTACCCTTCTGGTGGAGAAGTGTGAATTACCGCTGACATTTGTTAAGTCTGAGACTGAACAAGAGTATGTAGAATCGGAATCCAATGCAACATGTCCACAAGCCCTGAGGGTGGTGAAGTATCTTACTAATTTGCTCGAGTCACATCGTTCAGCTGCTTCAAAGAACCTGTATTTGACTGGCGCCCAGGCTCCTATGCATGGTGTTCTTTATTGCCTCAGAGCAGTCCTGGGTTACGTCTCATTGAGGTAAGGTTGGGGTTACAAATGATGAATTTTTGTCTTGTTTAGTCTGAAAAATGACTTGGCGCAGCAGTTAAAGTTGGCTGTTTGAACGGACTAGTTATCACTAAATACCTAAAAAAATTGATACAAGAATAATTGTGTACAGTGCCATCAATTGATTTATGGACACTTACCTACCCACACTAAACATTGAATTCACTGTGACACCGAAGTATTTCAATTTGACGTTTTTTTCTTCATTTTAGCTCTGTTTCAGACGATAAACATTGGCAGAGTCTCATCTCACATTTAATAGAAAAGTGTATTTGTACAGCAGACATTGTTTCCCCCGTTGTTACGAGTTCATCGCCTGAAGGATTTATGATTTATGATAGTGAAGGTAAATATACAATTGTTGGTACTGTTGTTACGTTGTTACGAGTTCATCGCCTGAAGGATTTATGATTTATGATAGTGAAGGTAAATATACAATTGTTGGTACTGCTTGGCTTGCAAACCCCCGCAAAATAGTCATGAGCTTCTATTCCAGGCACCCCACAACGCTGACAAGATCAGTGGAGGGTTGCAAGAGGGAGAGTGGGGTATGGGAACGCTTGTAAACGCCCAGGACTGTCGAGGAATAAACTGTTCGGGACGGAAGTTGCAGCGTTTCGTGTGAGCCTTCGCTGGTAACAAAGACCGCTGAACGGAAGAGCCCGCCGTGCTGTAGCCCGTCAACTTTGTCAATTGTCATGTAACTGAATTAAAATGTTGCAGGATATTCAGTGAAAACTGGGGCAATGTATCCAATGACAAATGACAGAAACAGTTCAGGATTGATAGATGTGGGAATTTAGATAAAGGAACTGCACCATAAAAAATCGTCATTTTAGTTCTTTGGCAATCTCTTGTAATGTCTATTTAATTGTTTCAGACAACACAAACCAGATCCCTCAACAGTCAGTTTTGGAAGAAAGTCATGCAATGGCCCCTGCAGCCCAGATTCTTTTGGTCTGCTGCTGGAGGACCATGAAGGAGGTAGCGCTGTTGTTGGGAGAGCTGGTTGAAAATGCTCCTGTGTATCTTGAAAACAGCAAGCATGGCTTGATACCTACAAAACAGGTACTTCAACCAAATGAAAAATTCAGTAATCGTAGCTTGGTTTTCGTTTCGCTTCATCGGAACTAAAATCTGGAATCTAATCGAAGAAGAATTTGAATCTAATAGTCGACTACTTGTCTCAAGGATTTCTTAAAATAATCCATCTTTAATGGCAATCGATTGCACATAAATATTTTATAAAGTTAAGTGAATGAGTGCATGCACAGCCTTATGCCATTTTCTGTTTGTTTGTTGGCGAGTGCTTGTTTGTAAGTAGGTGTATTTCTTATTTTTTTCTGTATTTTAACCTGTTTTTTAACGTCTTACCCGGGCGCTTGACTCGACATGCATAAGCGTTAAACATCAGATCTCCAGTGGAGAATTTAGCCACATTGAATACCAATTCGTTATATACAACAGAAATATTTGTCACTCTATATGTTATTCGCTCTCACATGTCATTTGTACCAGAAATAACACCGTACAACCCTTAAATGTTTTCAGATATGTAACATCGGAGACTTTTTCACTAAAGTTCTCCTGACTTCAAAGCACAGGGGAGCTTTTGAGTTGGCCTACACTGGATTTGTGAAACTTTGTACAGTGTTGTGGAGGTATAATACTGCACATAGAAAAAGAAACATTAAATTTATGAACTAATCGAACTTGTTATGTAGGACCGATTTTCAATTGATTGTTGAAAGTAATCCGGGATTTGATTGATTTTGCTTTACTGTGCTCTGTGATTGGTTCAGAATACTCGCGCCACCATCTCAACCAATCAGATGCAAAACTAAAACCGAATGCGACTTGCCCACTCGCGTTTTCCCGGGCTTTGGACAGAATTCTTGTCTTTGCTGTGAGTTGTCATCAATTGGCTTCTTGTGACATTTTCCCTCGCTCTGATTGGTTGTTGTGATTACTTTGGTTCTGGTTTTACGATTCTCAATTGAAAAGCGCTGTAGGTAGGAGCAATTAACTCAAGATAATTCCTATTATGTCTTTACCGATAATAGATGCATATTAGAGACGAAAATATTCAAATAGGAAAGCTGCATCTTCTTTTTTTCCACGTAGGAGTACAGATACAGAGCTTTGCGAGTTACCAGCGCAGTGGCTCCAGACATTATTAGAGGATCTTACGAGTGATTCACCTTCAGAAGCTTTGTGTGGGACAAGGCGAAGTGCTGGTGTGCCTTTCTTTATTCAAGTAAGTTCAGTTATTACATTAATAGTCTCTCTAACATGTTCTAAAATAATTACGGAATCACCTTTTAGTGCACTCGTAAGTCTTGAAGCATGTTAACGTCGTCTTCAAAGCGATTTTACCATGGGAACAAAGTTGGTAGCCTGTGTGAGGCAAAATTGTTAACCTCAGGTTGACCAAGGTGCACATTATACTAAAGAAAGAAATGTTTAGGCTGACCTGACACGTGACGTGCCTTAACGTAAGCAGATCGTCAATAACTCGACCGGAGGAGTGGTCGTGAAACCTGGCTATTTTGAAACATCGTGTTCCAGAGCTTAAACACTGCCTCAAGGACAAATACTTCTTGTCGGTAGCTGTTAGCTGTACAGGCTGATCTAATTGTACCAGGGTTTGTTGCACAGCGTTTTACTGACTGATACTTTATACTGCAGGCTATTGTGACAACTGAACCGTCTGCTGCTGGAAACAAGTGCTTCAGACAAGTCACGGCTGGTAAGAGGCCTTATGTAAAAATTTTCACATATCCTTTTCCTCGTTTCTTGCTTTCCGTTTTCTGAGAGTGAAGCTTAAAGAAAACTTTGAGCTCCGAGCTCTTTGCCTAAGATTTTATTGTGAATTTAAAACAGATCTAGTCTTGCAGTTCTTAAGCACTTAAAATCCCTTTTTTCCTTAGAATTATTGCAGGTTGCTGCCAATCCCACTGACATTTCCAGGATTTCTGATTCAACCCTTCCACAGGTTTGCTTTGAAAAATTAGAATTCAGCTTTAGTTCTAGTTAGTTAACAGTAACTTCAGATGAATTGTTATCATGGCTCCGTTTCCTTCCCAGGTTCACGCTTGCAACATCCTCCGCGCCCTATATCGTGACACCAAACTTGGCGAGGCCGTGTTTCCTTTTGTGTCTGAAGGGGTAATTGTGGCCATTGATGGCTTCCTCTCTGAAAGTTGGGCAGTAAGTACTCACCTCTGTTGTCATCAGACTACATTTTTGATGCTATTGTTTGATAATATTTTGATATTTGCAGTACGTGATCCTCATGATTGATTTACATAGGTACGGAACTCGTCGACAATGCTGTTTAGTGCACTGGTGACCAGGATATTTGGAGTGAAGCGAGGAAAAGATGAACACTCAAGAAAAAACTGGTTAGAAATTGAAATCGTCTAGTTTTTTTGTCCAAGCTAACAGAAATGAGGCGCTCTTTTTGACTTACTTCCCTCTGTCGCTTGTTTGCTCTCTCGATTATGCCAAGGGTTGTAATAGCAACCAAGTAGCGTTCAAAAAGATTAACTTATAGGAATAAAAAAGCAACATAAATTGGAAAAGACCTCAAAATGCGGGAGAACGCTACTGTATGAATCTAGGAGCTCCAAATTTCTCAGAGGAGCCCGAACCTCCTTAGGAACAAGAGGTATCCTCTGTCTTCAAAAGTACTCGGCTATTTGTGGACAAGACTACCTTTAAAGCCTTTTAACTCTTTATGGTGGCTAATTTACGTTTTCAACTCAGTTGTTATACACTAAATTACCTGTTAAACCTGCTATACGCAGCACAACAGTTTCTTTAGAAACTTACCCCCTTTATTTACCTATTTGTACCATTTCTTAAAGAAAACTACTCTGTTAAAACAGGTTGGTTGTGTTCCCTCACACTTCTCAACTACAACATAACATTTTTACGTGCACAACTCTTGCAAATTTTTCGTTGAATGTTGTTTGTTTCAGTATGACAGGAAGAGAGTTCTTCTCCAGATTTCCAGAGCTCCATTCATTCTTCCTCCGTCATTTGCAAGTTGCTTGTCGAGGAATTGAAAGGTTTGATTTTCCTTAATAACTCGAACCTGATGTTACTCTGCTGTGTGAATCACCAGAGGTGTACAGTAAACCGAAAGCAACAGATACTTACTCCTTAAACCGTTTTTTTAGGAAGGAATAAATCACTAAAGCAAGGATATCGTTAACCATCTTATCTCATCTTCACAGGGACACCATCCACGCTAGCATCCATCCAGTACTTGTTATGTTGGCTCGTCTGTATCCATCACCTATGGATGGTGTTGACTCTACACTCAATATGGCGCTGTTTGTACCCTTTGTCATCAGGTGATTCCAAATAAATATTTTACATTTAGCAATTTGTTAAAACTCTCAGATGCATAACTGCAGATGAATATGTCTTCATTTCTCAATACCTCGATTAAGGTCACTTTACAGTATAACGTCCCAAATGCTGTCTTGTTTCTCAGCTCTTATTTGGGTCATTTGAGCCTTTCATCTAAATATTGTTATTTATTTTTTTGTTGATGTTATGATTTATTTCCTGTCATGGAGATACGTTTATCGTAAGAGTCCTATTTGTTTTTCAAATGCTACAAAATCTCTCAACATAGAGTGATTTCAGTTGAGAGTCGCAGGAAATCTAAGCTGAAGCTCAGCTTCATTACTTTTAGTTGTAGAAAAAGTTTGGTTATGAAGACCAGGATTATGTCAGCACGTGCTCTCGTTCCGCTAGTGTCCGGTGATCTCTTGATTCAAACTCTTCAAGAGCTTCTCGTGTCTCTTCCAGTGAGGTTAGTAGAATAGATAGCAGCAACCTTGTTCGTGATTTTATTTCAACAGCAAAGGCAAAAATGATCACCAAGTAACATTGGGTTGCGAATTTTCCTGAATCCATTTAATCAATTTACTGTGTCAAATATGATCATCCAATGAGTGCGGAAACCTCTTTTAGTATGCTATGTTTTTGTATTTTTAATTTTTTCCTTAGTTATCGCTGCTGCGACCTTATTTATTGTAAAAGCATGTCTCTTCCAGCTTTCTCCTCCCTTGTATCTTAAGTTCACTTATCTTAATGCCATTGCTTTATTTTTTTTAAATTCGTGTGGATGTAAGAATTCTCTCGAACAACAGTTTTTTTTCACATGACTCACTAGGTTCATTTTGTTTCACAGCTCATCTGGTGAAATAAGACAGAATCATGTTCATGGTACTTTACTCCATGTAAGTATCAAGAGAAAAACTTGCTTTTGACCCATTGAGACCAATATCTATTTCTTCCTTTAAATGTTTGGCATTCGATATATTTGACCGTGAACCAGGAAGACTGAGTCTAGTTCGTGAAGACGAAGCTTAGAGGTGATGAGCAATAAACTTGCCTGCCGTAAGCGTTGTTTTTCGAAAAAAACTTGTTGATACAGCACCTTTTTATTTTTTAATGGCTCTGAAACAAGTATATATTCGACCAGTGTTACTTATATCATGTTCTTTAATCATGACTAATATGCAGTTTTTTTGGCTTAATGCACAGATTTTTCATTTATTAAGTGGCCACGCCCTTGATGCAACATTGTCCGCCACAATTAAGACGAAGATTGTGACCAATGTTCTTCCTCAGCTGAAGCATCCGGCATGGCTTGGCACACGGTACGTGGCTGGCTTTTATTTGTATGATGTTCTTCATCGATTAGGTTTCTTATTTTTTTCACGAATAATCAGGTTTCGTGCTTCATTCCTTATCCTAATGTCAAGTGGCTCATAATTGTTGTTGCTTTTGTAGTACTAAGCGACAAGGAGCATGTATACTCCTCCCCGGATGGAATGCCAGTCCATCGCCGGGCCCCCCTTCCCCCCCCCCCTCCCCTCGCCAGAACATTTTTTCGGATTCCTCTAAACTTTACGAGCACTCATTTTTACTCGTAGGTTGAAAGTGGCACTGTGCATGGAAGTGTCTTACTCAAGAACTAAAAGAAACCTTACTTTGCGTATTCTTTACTGTTGATCAAATCTTGGACAATTATTAATGTTTTACAGACTCGGGCCTGAGAAATCCTTTAATTTACTAAAGAGAGTTAATAAGAGTTATTAAAGATTTCACGGAAACCTACTTGCAAGTAATTGCTTGCATACGTGGTTTTTTTTTATTGTGGAAGTACGTTTAGTTATGTCTCTTAATTTCTCTGTAAGACTCTCTCTTGTTTTGTCCTTTTTTGTCTTTCTTTCGTGCAGGTCCAACCCCTGTGCAGTGTCAAGGTCAGTTTTCTTGGACATTGTTCTTCATTTTGTAGTGGACTGGTCTTGGATCGATCTCCCAGGTATTTTTTCTATTACTTTTTCACTCAAAACCTCTTTTGAAATGATTAAAATGTTAAGGTGCGTCAGCATATTGGCCCATGATTAGTCAAGGTACCCATCTGTTTTCAGGCAGTGCAGTCAATGTATTAAAGTTAACCTTGATCAACTCGACAGTGTCACAACTCCTCGAGATATCTACACTGATCGACTTAATCTCGGCCATTCAAAACTTATCCACGAAAAGTAACAGATAAATGCATCTTGGAGCACACCACTTATGCGTTGTTAACACCTTACAAATATTTACGGGTGGCGTTCTCTACTGCTTTTATTTCAGACGTATCTAAGAATGGCTTGCTTAGCCTGAAGCAATGGTTTGAATGTGTAGCAATTGAGGAAACTGTGAAAAATCAAACGTCCTCAGCCGTCATTGGAGACGTTTTTGTAAAGAAGTCGGCAGCCGAGATATTTCTCAAAGCATGCGAGGAGTTACCATCTGCTCCTAACAGCAAATCTCGCATACCAGTAACATCACAGGCTCAGGGTGATAACCAGGGCTCTGCTGAAAACTTGGTAACCACGGCTAATTGTTTTGAGGTGATTCAACATCTCCTACAGTCTTCAGAATATGAAGTGCGACTGGTTGTACTTCAATTCATCGTCTCTCACTTGCCCTCTAAAGAGAACACTGACTTTGAGACTAAAGCTGAATTAGAAGAGAATACCCCTAATGAAAGAGAACATCGCTGGATATTTTTGGAACTTGAAGAAAATATAAAAAGCCAGTTGTTTACAATGGCTGTGAAGTCAGAACATCATGATGATTGTTTAGTACAGGTAACGACTCGGGAAATCTCAGAAGATCTTGAATTGTTGTATACGACACACAAGAATCCTTCGACATGGAAGAAAACCACAAAATAGTGTGATGTCCAGAATAAACAAATGTTTCTCGGGAGGTTTAGGAGGGTATCACAGCTAATTTAGTTGCTGGTGCTTCTGCTCAGCCCAGTCTACGGTTTTAGAACCTAAAGCTATCTGTAATGTAGGTAAAAATTCTGTTTCCCGAGCACAATATTCATTTATTAAAGCGGGCGGGGGCTACAATACAGTGATTAAACCGTAACTTTTTCATCTTCCAACAAAGCCTTTTGACTTTTCGCTGTTACAGTAACATGCTTGTGCTAGACAGGAAATGGACACTGGAAAATTTTGTTGTCCTTCCTATTGTTTGGTTTTTTCAAATTACTTGTTACGTTTTTTATTTACCGATGTTACTTTTTGATTAACAGGTCTTTCAAGCCTTGTACAAACTTCCAGACTCCTTGTCTTTCCCTTGGAAACTGTCTACAGGAGATCAGGTCTCTTGTTTTCAGGTGGGTGAATGTTAAGTGAAAACAATTTTATCTAGAGAAGATGATCAGTTCCCCATTTGAAAGATGAAATTATTCAAAGTCAGGTTCGGAATTGAAAATCTATCTTCATGGCTAAAACACAAATTCTCACATTGTGAGTTCGAATCTATATGAGATTTCTGCGGGTAGTGGCAATTTAACCTATTTCTTCGCATGGTTTTTTGAGGTGAGATAGTTATAGCCTTATGCAACACATTTTCATGGATCTATTGTAAAATAATCTTACGTTATACCAATAGGATGCTATTTGTTTTTCTTTAGTGCTGGAAATTCGTTGCAGACCTTGCTACCTCACCTAGTCAAAGGTAACTAAGACGTATTACTTTTGGAATTAACAAAACTGCATGATTTCTGTTGACCTCAGCCCGATAAACGTTTACATTTCAATGCAAATTTCAACCAATCAAGCTCTCCCCGGGTGGCAACGGAGACATTGGTTAATATATACTGGATTTAGTCTTCATGAGTTACATTTAAATATTTTGTAATCGTAACTCAATTTTTTTGAACTGTGAATCGTTTAAGATCCCAGCATAATGCAGAACGCTTGTTGCATAAGCACTTTGTTGTGGCCTCTCTCGCCATGGAGTTCTCGGTAGCCCAGTGGTCGAGCATCGGAGCGAAAATCCCTAGGTCTGGGGTTTATTTACTTGTGAAGGAACCAGATTTTTATTTGTCCCTCGTTCATTACCAAACCTATAACAGCTTTCTCTTTTGGAGAAATCGTGACGCGATGTAACTTTTTTCCCTCTTCTACTTTACTGCGTGATGTTTACAAGGAATTTCCTTATTTCCCTAGGGATGATCTCAAGTGCTCGCTGTTAACGTTTTTGTCCAGGATGGTTTCTGTAGTACATGGAATGACCAAAAGTGAGGTAATCACAGTCATATGTAAGGTGAATATCAGAGTTCTAAAGGGACCTCTGCTGTTGGCACGGGAAAGGACTGTCTCAGTTTTGGTGTCTGAGAACAAAGGATAGTTTTAAGTTACATGAGTTACCACTCTAAAAAGCACTGTGCTCTCTCGAGATCACTTTGTGGCGAGAATGAACCAGATTGGTCTTTGAATATGGCCTCCAATCTTCTACAAAACTTGCTGTTGATTCGAGTCAAAGTCTCATACTCATCGAATATCGTGTTCAAATAACGTCTTTATATACCATGAACAGTATTCATGGTGTAAGTATTACTTTTTGTTCGGAACAAAAAGTAATACTTATGCCATTAATACTGAACATCTCGTTCACAGGATGAACTCAGGGGTAGAGGTGATTAAAAAGTATTTTACTTTACCTTTTAGGACCCAACCATTGCTATGGAAGCATCAGAAGCCCTTTCACAATTCTCAAATATAACTCTGCATACGAGTTCACCTTCTGAAAGAATGGAGCTGCGGCTATGCACAGCACAGGTCCTGGGCGATACAACAGTTATCGGTGTGATGGTGGATTTAGGTACAACTTTGAGTGAGTAAGACAAATCACCTTCGTTATTTGGAGTTCCATGCCATCAGGACTGCATGTCTATTGCGGTGAATGCGATTTAGTTGTTTCGTTTGGGTGGGGTATAAAAACGACATGTGAAGGTAGAATATGCACTATCAAGACTTCAGTTGGCGACATAAAGACAAAGCTTTTTCCAACGTTTTTCCAGTCAAGATGTAAACTTTTATTCTTTGTGGAGGAGGGGGGATCAGGATTGATGTCGCATTGATCCTGTCAATAATATTTTTTTCCTCTTCCCTTCAAGGTGAAGTACGCTTTCGTCTGTGGACTGTTCTTATAACTCTGCTTCAGGACGATGAGCCTCTGGTCAGAGACAAAATGTCTTACGGGTTTTCTACTTTGTTACAAGTAATTGAGACCTCTACTGTGGGTAAGTGAAGAAATTGAACTTTTTGTTCAAGCGAACGTCGGATGACCAAATCATACTTAGCAATGGACATGTACCAAGTGGATTTTCTCGTCCGGTGTCTCTGCTTTTTCCTTTTTTGATTTTTTTGTTTGTTACAAGGAAGGGAAACACCCCGTAGAAAACACCCTTGTTGAAAGACAAGGAAACAACAACAAAGTTAGTTTATTTGTGATGTCAGGATCGGGAATCGGACCCAGGCCTTTACGGTTAGAGGCGAACATTCTCATCTATAAACCATCTGTGCCCCCCCTATCTTATTATTATTATTATTATTATTTTTTCTGAAAACCTTCTTATAAATTTTGTTCTGTGTGTTGCAGTTTGTACCTTACCCTTTAGAAGTTTTGCCGTAGTTGCTCCTCTCTCACTTGAGAATGCCATGTTTTGTGTGTGGTCCTTGTTCTTTGATGAAGAACCTGTGGCTTGTGTGTCGTGGATGTTGGACTGGATTTGTGGCGACCTGGTTTGTGACAGTGAAGACTCTGATCGGGCAATTCTCATTTCAGACATGGATCGTCTCTTTGAAAAAGGACCTCTCAACATTTATTCTGAGGATTGTGTTGTGACACGAGTGGCCTGGGAAACTGTAAAATATGGAATGGAACGGAAAAACGGATGTGCTCTATTGACTCTTCAGCAACATAAATCAACACTGACTATCTCCTTGAAAGAGCGGTTGGAAAATTGTCTCTTATTTCTTGAGAATCTCATGCTAAATAACTGGAACGTTCCTGCAAATTTTAATTACTTTTATCGAGGACTTGTTGGAATTGCTGTAATCGCCTTGTTAAAAGAAAAACTGGAAGAAGGAATTGCTTCTCCTCTGACGAACAGAATTGATGCAATAGTTCATGCAGTTAAAAAACCTTCTAATACTGGAGGAATTTTATCTCATCCAAAGACACAGAAGTGCCTTGAGGAATTAAATAAATTTCTTACTTCTTGAATTACTTAGGATACATGGTGTATTCGTGTGACACGACCTACAATCTGCTGCTTAAATGTAATAAAAACCACAGATGTTTTTAAGATATAATCTATTGTCGTTGCTGTACCTTAAACATATGACTGTTACCAAATCCTTTACAGCCGTTCCATGGGATGTCCTACTGCGCTCCCCCGTCCCCAAATAAAAACATACTCATCCTGAACATATATATAAAGATCAAAAGACGAAAGAGCTGTCATTTAGATTGTTAAGACTTCACAATCTTGAACACTGATGAAACTCAACAAAATCGATTGGAACTTTCCTTTGATTTTTGACGCTTCCGTCCGACCTCAGACACCTGCGTCCGATTTCGGCCGCTTCGTCTGATTTTGAACGCTTCCATCTGTCCTCGGACAGTTGCGTCCGATTTTCGGACGCTACCGTCTGATTTTGGTTACGTCCAAGTTTGGACGTCTCTGATCGACTTCGTACTCTTCGTTCTGATTTCGGAGAGTTGTGTCAGATTTCGAACGCTAACTATTTTCTGGGCCGACTTCTCCTTGGATGGAACTATTAAGGGACATTTCAGGTAGTCTTATACAAATTATAGGAGAAGAAGACCTCACAAGAGTTGCCTACAAGTGCTAAAAGTAATTATTTTGCTGGCAGAAGTAGATCATTAGGGTCCAATGGAAAATCAAAAAACGGGTTCAAAAGAGGGCTCCGTGGAAAACAAGTTTGACTACGACGTTGTGTTACTGGATATTGAAGGAACAACAACGCCAATTTCGTTTGTGAAGGTACTTGATACTACTGTAGGCCATTTCTCTATATATCAATAAGAAATTTAATTTGGTAAAGCATGCATCGTATCAAATCTATAACCCTCCTTAAAAACAGCAAGAATGGTAGCTCATGCAAAATCCCTAAAATTATACAAGCCTGCCGGTAAATTTGCAGGATATGAACAAGTATTCCGAAGGATCAAGCTCGCGTGACATGGACCAACAGGTGATTTAAAATTCAGCAACGCACGCTAGAAAGGAAAGTTTGGATTGGATTTGGAAACAAATGATTTATTTGAGACAGCATGCACCTATTTCTTTCAATATATTTAGCTTAATAATGACGATGAGTTCGCTTCTGTTTTGACCGACAGGATGTTCTTTTTCCATATGCAAGGGACAATGTACGTGCCTTTTTAGAGAAATCTTGGGGAACTGATCAGTGTCAAGAGGATGTGAAGGCTTTGAGAAATCAGGTATATTATATAGAATTTTATTGCATTGTGTGTAGCATATATCAGACAGGCTTGTTTGTAATGTGTATAGTTAATGAAGTCAAAGTACTTTTTAGACTATACATGTATCAATCCAAGATCTTATTAGTAATTCTTCTTATTGTCAGCTATACAACTTGTCTGACTGAAGTTCAAAGAATTTGGTTTTGAGTCAACTTATAATCCCCTTATTGACATTTTTCTTTATTCTTGTCATTTGTCTGCTCAATATTGATATTGTGAGGAGAAATTCTGTCTTGGTCACTCATGGGAGTTGAAGGGTTAAAGATTTAGTCACACTGACTGCAAGCTGGAACTATAAGTGCACAAAACAAACTGATTTTACATGAATATTTTACAATTCCAAGGCCGAGAAAGACAAAGATATGGAAGATGTTGTTTTAATTCCAGATGAAGAGGAGAATCTTTCTCAAGATAATTCATGGACAAGGTATGTACATTATTTAATTTGCCGATACTTCAAGTATAAGATTATAGCACAGTCAAACATCCAGTACTGGCCAGCTCTCTGCCACAGGCACTTACAACCTCTCAATCGCAGTGACCATAAAAGCATGTATATCCCAACCGGCCTGCTTCACTTGAACTTTAGTTTTTCAATGACTCTGTGCATTTTTTGGTAAAATTGTAATTGGTTGTTGTTCCAAAGGTTATAGTTGTGGTGAACCAGCTTTAACCATGTGCAATGCAACCATTTTGTTTGTTTTATTTTCAGTAAGGAAACCATCATGGATGCTGTTGTTGCCAATGTCATCTGGCAGATGAATTCAGATCAAAAACAACTGCCTTAAAACAACTCCAAGGCCATATTTGGAGAAAAGCATTTAATGATGGTGTTATTAAAGGAGAGTAAGTAACACAATGTTCCATGTTGTTGCTAAAGAATTTCAAGCAATTTGAAGATGATTACTTTTTGTTCTAAACTTCCAAAATATTTCAGAGTTTTTTTGTAGCATTTTGAAGTTTGAGAAGTTTATGACTGTCACACTGTTGTAAACCACTCAAATACAGAAAGGGTTTTTCTCATTTGATTAAACTCTTAAATTCTTGGTTTTCATCAAAGTGTGTTTTCCTGATTTACTGCAGGGTGTTTGATGATGTTGTTACAGCATTCAAAAGATGGACTTCAAACAAAATCAAAATTTATATATACTCATCTGGAAGCACAGACTCTCAAAAGCTTCTGTTTGGTGACTCTAAGTTTGGCAACATTTTACAGGTTAGTTTATTGGTTTACCTTAAAAATTCATAAAATTGAAAAAATAATTTAACACTAACATCAGTTTGTATATTCTCTCTACTGTTCTCTAAACATTTCCTAAGGTGCTGACAAAGAGAATTTGTTCAACAATCCAGAGCTTCTTTAGTTGATGATGATTTCCTTTACTTTCATGGCCTTAATGTGTGATTTGTGAGTGATATTGTAAGGAGAAATTAGATGCTCTCTGGGCTCAAAGGGTTAAATCAATGCAAATATAGAGATGAACTAGCGTTATGGTGATAAATATTAACATACATGAAAAAATTACACGCATCTGATCAGCTGAAAATTAGTGCATTTTTCATATAACATGTGCAAAGCTGTAACACAAGTGCAGATTACAAATAATCTGTCCTGACTTTCTAGGATGCATTTTTCATGTAAATTATTAACAAGTAACAATGCAATTTCTCATGCAATTTGGAGTAAATAAGCACAAATTTTAGAGGCTACAATTTTCTCTTACTTATTGACACCAAATTGCACTCAAAATCATGTTGTTTCCTATACTAATCAAATTTTGCTCTTCTGTTGTTTCACAGTATATCAGTGGACATTTTGACACCACAGTTGGAGCTAAAATTGAGTCAGAGAGCTACAGTAAAATTGCTGATGCAGTAGATATGAAACCCTCAAGAATTCTATTTATCACTGATGTTGTTAAAGGTATGTATTCCACTACTAGCAATATTTAAATTGATCACCGTAATTAGGTCTCCTGTGCTGGGCCTTGATCTTTGAGGTAGATTGTGTGACCACTTCAAGGAAGGTTGGCACAAAAGGCTCTGTGTTAGGTTGACCTTATGGTTGAACCAGGGAGGGGTCTCTGGAGTGAGCTTAAGTGCTCATCAGTCATGAGAAGCTGTTGTTAAGCCAGAATTATTAAAATTATATTAATTTTTCATTAATTTATTTGTCTTCTACAAAACATACACAGAATGTGAGATGAATTGATGTCCATGAAATGTACCCCCTTCACCCCTCCCCCTTCTTTTTTTTTTTTCATAGGAATTGTGGCTCAAGGAAATCTCATGAGATCCATTATCAAAATTAGTCTTTCAAAATAGAAATACTGAATGTCACTTGCTACCTATTAAACTTGAACAATTTAATCTTTAGGTAAATGCCTTGTTCTAATTTAATTTAATTTATTTCTACCCAGAATCAAGAGCAGCATTTAAGGCAGGATACAGAACTGCTATCAGTGTTCGGCCTGGCAATGCACCATTGACAGATGAAGATAAAAGGGACTTTAAAGTGATATCTACATTTGATGAGTTATTTGAAGACACTGAAGAGCTGAGTCACGCAACAAAGAAATCAAAAGTTGCTGATTGATAATTATTTCTGTGAACCTTTAATATCAAAGAACAAATGGTGGTGGGGATTTTTCCTTGCAAGGGAGTTAAGAAAGATGAAAGGCGCTAAGCTTGTCAGTCACAAGACTGCATCTGACTCAGTCCCAGTCCTTTGGGAAGCATGCAAGAGGTGAGGTGCATGTGAGGGAAGATGGGAAGGGGGTGAATCTCCTCTCTCTCCTCCCTCTTCCCAGTGACCCTTTCACATCTGTGGTGACTGACCTAGACTGCATATGAAAAATAAGCAACCACAGGAGGGGGATCAGAGACTGCATTGAAACTGATGATACAAACTCAACCAACTGAATGCTGAATGTTGTCAACAGCAGAATGATTGGATCTGATTGTTTGGTAACAACCCTAATTCAATAAAAACCGATTACATAGAAATGAATTTTACCTGTTGCATGACTGGTTTAGAACATCTTAACTTGTTCTCAGAATGAAAAATGTGGACATTTTAATAACTTGTTCTGTTACACTCACGTGAAGGGAATCTGATGCTGAGAGTTCTCTAGTTAACACCAAGTGTCATTTTAGACTGATTTCTTTCTCTGTGGTGTGTCAGGGTTTTTCGCTCCAGCACCTAATTAAAAATACCCAAATGAGGATTTACACCTGATTGGTGAGGATCTCCTTGAAGGTGCTCAGTACAATCGCAGTCACCTTCTAGTCACCCTGGATGGTTCATAATTGCTACAATGTTCAGATGCTTCCCTCACTTGGAAATTACCATCAACTTGATGCTAACTGAGCAGTTTCTTTGTTGTGTTGTCAAAATTATCCTTCATAGTCCTTGTGCTCCAAGAATTGATAAAATAGAAAATAATGTAAGCTTATTTGGTGTGAAGATAGAGGAGGAGATTAGAGAATCAATTTTTGCTGAACCCCATATCCTCCTCTATGGGAGTGTCTCCTGGGATCTGAACAATCTTCTGTTTGTGGTTTAAAGAAATGTTTGACGTTTGTAGCTGGGAAGGGAATTTTTGTTTGTAATCAAGAAAATCACATCATGGCTTTCAGTTTGTTTATTTCAAATAGCAGCATTTTTGCTGTTAGGAATGGCTGAATTTTTCCTATGGTGCCAGCAACTTCTATAAAAATCATATCAAAAACTTAACTAAACAACAGCCAATCTGAGACACTAAAAAGTATCCACATCCATATGGCCAACATTGTTACCAGGGTCTTCTCCCCTCAGGGAAGAAAAGAGAGGACCCTGGGAACGAGGTTGCTATAGGACTACGTCGTCGTGACGTCAGTTACGATTCAAAGCAGCTTCTTCCAGTTGGACGAAATATCACGTGTGAAGAGATTTAAGGTTAAACCTTTCATAACTTTGCTGTGTTGAGCCGTTCTGTCTCGCGATTTCTTAGCACCCGACGTAGTATCTTTCCACTAGGTGATTTTGGTATCTGATCAATAAACTCCACACCACCCCTGAGCTTTTTCTGTGGTATCACTCTTTTAGCCACAAATTCCATTATCTCCTCTGATGTCACAGAACCACGACGAACCACGAAAGCCTTCGGGAGCTCTCCGGCTTCGAGATCGGGGACGCCGATGACAGCCACGTCGTCAACGTTTGGATGGGAAATCAATAAAGCTTCAAGCTCGGCCGGCGGAACCTGGAGTGCGGTGCGGAAGACAAAATAGATCTAATTAATAACCTGATTTACGTTACTTAACCCATTGGAATTTCATATAAAGAATAAATTAATATTAATAAGCGCCAGCTTTTTCTTATGAGTTGCAGAACTTGCCTGAAATCCCTTGTATTTTATAAGTTCCTTTATTCTATCGACGATAAAGAAGTGTTCATCCTCATCATAATGTCCAATATCTCCTGTGTGAAGCCATCCATCACTGTCAATTGTCTTTGCAGTGGCCTCTGGGTTTTTTGTATATCCTGAAAGAAAATTCCACCCAGTTGAGCCTACAGAACAGACAGAATTTTTTTTGTGCTTTCACTGCCTCCGATAGACTGAGAAACAAAAGATTTTTGCTTGTTCTGCACGCTAAGCGAAGAAAATAATCTCGGCCTTTCACACACCGCCTTCCACAGCAGCCACGAGCAAGTTAATCAACAGTTACTGATCACTAAAGCGTTTCTTTACTAGTTAAAAAATTATGATAAAGATAACTAGCACTTTTTAAAGACAATAAAGTGCTGGAAATTTTGTCAGTCTTAGAAATGGCTGACGTTGCTACATCGTTCCCATGTTCTTTTCTTTCATTCCCGACGAGCAGCCCACCCCTCCTCCCTAAGGCCAAGGGCGACAGTATGAAAGAGGGCTGGGGAAGAGGTAGTGCCAATAAAAATTTCTCAACGAGGTTTAACTGCATCAACAACAGTGCACTTATCAAGCCATCTATGATTTCCATGTGATAAAATTCTCACCCATCATAACCAAGGGACCCTTCACACAGATTTCTCCATCCTGGTTTGGACCGAGAATCTCTCCAGTTTCAGGACTGATGACCTATTGACATAAAAAGAAAACAAAGTAAAAACACTGATGTTAAATCTCACTTACTAAATGTGTTTTATGGAATTGTGTGGATGGTTCATGTTAGAGGTTAAACAATGCTGTGTTATCTCCCTTAGAGAAGCTATCGATGAGCTCACCTTACATTGCAGGTTTGGCAGTAGTAGCCCGACGGATCCAAATTTGGTTTTACCTTCAGCTGGAGTGCAATGGGATGCTCCACAGAGTTCTGTCATACCGTACCCTACGATAAAGAAAAGAAAAAAAAAAAAACGCGAAAAGATAGTCATGCAAATGTAAAAATAGTTTGCATAATTAGTTATAGAGACCAACTAACGTTGGACGTTTTGGTATTTAGTATCGCTAAGTATTTTACGAGTTGTGCCGTATTTTGACGAGCCCGCAGGGAATCCACCGAAAGGCAAACTCTCAAAGACATGGGTGAGCTCTAAGCATACAAAAAAGAATTTCCAAAACTACATTTCATTTTCATCATCCGACTCAATCACATGGCGACGACGCTTCGCAGGAATTACTGGCGGAACTTGAGGAGCAGAAGGCTGTGAACCAAGAACGATTGAACGCTTGTTAAATACGGCACAAGAGAAGGCAAGTGTACAACATCGCAGGTATTTTTACTCCATTCAAGCGTTATTTGTACTCTACTTAGTGCGGTTGGATAATCAGGGATTAATCCCGGTGTCTTTAGCATGAAATTAGCAGTGTCATTATTGAATTTGGGGAACATGCGAGATTCTTTATTAATCTAGGCCATGCCTTTTTCTTGAGGGTACTCATATGCGCTGAGGGACCCTACTCAGATACCCCTTTCATGCCCTTCAGAAGAGGACACGTCTCTAAGGTAGACCTGCTGTCTTTTGCAAAGGTACGGTCCCCCGTAAGTAATTCGGACCTTATTTTATCCTTTTGGCTGAACTTTCTTCCGTTTTCTAACCTTGTCTTATTCTCTTGACTTGAGTAAGCCGTTTTAACATGGCTGTCTCCAGCTCCTTGCCAAGAGGCGCGGCCCCTGAGTTCACACGCTCCAAGCTTGACAAGTCGAACTTATCCACCAACGGATGCTTGGCCAAAAACAGAATGAGCGGTGGAACAAGTGGGGCGTCTGTTATCTGTCACGGATAAATGGCGAATGAGAGGAATTAGAGTTGCCGGGATAATAAATATCGTAAGTTTAATAAGTTACCTTGGGTAAAATAGAAAATTTCTCTGTGCGCTCCCAGAGTGTTAACCTCTCGGTTTTAAATGAGGTGAACACGTCTTAGTTGTATTTGCAGCCTTCTTATTTCCTTTCGTTCTAGTTTTTTATGGGGCTCAAGTCTGCGAGCACGCGCGGTACTCGGGGCCTATTGACCACCCAGTCAGAGACGGGGGGGGGGGGAGGGGAGAGGGGCGCAAATGAATCTCACAAGTGAAAGATAATATAGGTTCTCAATGCAGTAAACGAAAACCAACCTTGTAATCTTGCATAACTTTCAGGAATGAGTCAGGTTCAAAGCGCATCATGACCACAACCTTACATCCAAGTTGTAAACATCCTCCCATCATGCAAAGCAGGGCGTAGATATGATAGAATGGGAGTAAAGTTAAGACAGCCGAATCAGCGGGGAAGACATCACACGAAAATAGAACGGACAGCCCAGCTACAAGATTGTGATGTGTTATCATGACACCTTTGGACAATCCTGTCGTTCCACTCGAAAATGGCAGTGCAACGATATCCTTCTTTGGATTGATAGACACAAACTCCGGAAAAGCTGTTCCATCGTCAGCGAAAAAGGACGACAACGGCTCGCATCCTGGCGCCTCACCGACAACAATTACAGAACGAATTCCTTCCAATGCGGCAGCGTCTTTGGCCTTTTCCACCAGTGGGGGAATGGTAACAATGTATTTTGCTTCTGATACTCGCAGCTGGCGCGCTAATTCCTGGGACGAGTATAAAGGATTGACAGTCGAGACCGTGCCACCCAGAAAAGCAGTGCCGTAGAAAATTATGGGATATTCGATGACGTTTGGGAGGAACATGGCCAGGACGTCTCCTTTCTTGAAGCCACGTTTGGCCAATGCTGAACTAAATCTTTGCGTCAAGTTTTTAAGTTGTTTGTAGCTGTAGGAACGCCCAGACAGAGCATCCACCTTGTGAGTAGAAAAAAAGTTAATCCAAAGTACAACTGAAACGCAAACATAAAGAAACTTAATACTTCTGTGAAATAAAGATCCCTTCACCTCATTATTTTTGCCTCCAATAAGACTTCTTTTGTATAAGCTTAAAAACTGAGGCTCCATACCCTTTTGGCCGCAAAAGATTGAAACCAGTTTCAAAGGTTTGTGGAGAAAATTGCTCGCACAGCGCAAGGCATCACGCAACGGCAGGCTGAAAAGGCGTCGTATGTTGTGACCCAAACAACATTCGTCACGTAACTTGCGTGACAAGTTAAGAAGTGACATGTAAGCTTAAGTTTCATTTAAACTGAAAGGTTAAAAAGCGATCGTTCGAAACTTCCATTTTTTAAAGACAGTTTGCCTTTAAACTAGATAGAAATATAAATAGACACAGATCGATCCCGATAGATAGATATACTGTATAGATGTAAATAGAAATTTATTTGCATCTGAACAAATTGACCATGGCCTTTTGATTCAAAATCTTCGCTATCAGACGGATTGTGCTAAATGTGGAATACTTTTATGCTCTGTTTTAGATTCCCTTAGGGGAGACAGCTTCGAAGATTGAGCGATAGTCGATAGAACGATCTCTTATGAAAACATTTCATGAGGGAGTATGCAGAGGATCAATTGATTCGATCCTTATTAATGAAGATAAAAACTCTGCAGCACACAAATGTTTTTAGGTCGGCTATTTATCATTTTCTTATCTATATTTTCTGAGATTTAATGCTTGTTAACCTTTCTCATATTATCAATATCAAAGCGCAACTATCAAGGAATTGCGAAACTAAGTAAAATTAAATTCTGGGTCGCCTGAAATGATCTTGAATCATGAAGTATACTTACAAGCGCAGTCTTTTCGCCAAACTTATCAAAATTCTGGTAAATTAACTGAGGCCAGGACACATCTTCTGGGATTAAAATGTCTGCGTACTTGCTTTTAAGCGCCATTATCCAATGATAATACAATGCTCGCTGGAAAACATCTATCCAGTTACGAAATATCCGTAAGTGTCCTGTGAAGTGCCCTATGTAACCAGGCGTCACGAGACAGTCAGCATGAAATCAAGAGAAGGACTCGGCCCAAAGAGGATGGTTTACCAACCATGGAACACGGACTGCGAGAACAAATGAAACTTGGACCTGAAGTTTAAAACACGGACTGATTTTTTTCTCTTTAAGACCTGTTCCTTAAAACCAGAAGGACTGAGAGAAAAAAATTCACAGATTAAAGAAGAGCTTCAATCTAAATAATTTGATATAATGGTGACTAAATTTGCTATGTTTGCTTTAGTTTCACCAAGAAGCTTGACTTGACCTGAATGACGCCACAGTTTCCCTAACAAGAGAATTACCTGCTTCATTTCATTTTACTGGTTCTCTGTTTTGTCTATTATAATCTTGACATTCCGCAAACATAACGAGCGCTTAAATTGTTGAATACAGTGCAATTAAGCTTGTGCAAGGGACTGAAAAAAATTGAACATTATTTTGTAGTTCGGGCTGTGACTATATTGCAAGGTATCAGGCTTTTTCCACTTCATGTATGTCGCAGTTGTCATACATACGATTTCTTATTCTCACTTTCCGCTTAGATTTGTTCATGAATTTGGATGTATACTGATCAAAGGACGTGGGGTTTATTGCCCTCATGACGAAGAAGAAGATGCCGTATTTTGCTAGCGGGGAACTAAGCTGGGCCTATTTGAGCGATTTTAGTTTGCACGCAAAAGGAGTGAAATTTGCTTAAATTTCAAGATGGTGACCGCAGTCTTGCAATGAACTGACTGCGGTGATCAACTCTCTTCCATGCTGACTTCCCGTAATGCCCTAACTGACGATCAAAAGAAGAATATGCAATGGAAAACAGGTTGCTGTATGTTTGAGTTTTATTCAAACTGAAAACCTCAAGGTGTAAATAACATGAACGGTTTATGAAGCTAATTGGATCGAGTTATGTTAGAACCGTCACACCAGCGTGATGTCGGTTGCTAAGCAAGTCAACCTGATGTTAGAAATCATCTGGTTGTTCAAGGAACGAATCAAATTTTTTTTTTGTTTCCTTTGAAAACATGTAACTTCAATTCTTTTGGAGGACGCAATGACTATGACAGTTGCGTCCAAGGCATGAGTTTTTGTATATTATTGCTATACATTTTTTCATAATATTGCCGTATGTAGAAAATTTGAATAGATAACTCTAATGTTCATTGCGGCTACTGAAGGATATTTTGCGCGTTCTTGGTGAATTGTTTCGTCAATTAAAAATTTTTTTCGTGTGTATTTTGTACAATTGTTTATGCCATATGTCGATATGAAAAGGTTATCTTGAATTAGCTCGACTATCCTCGATGTAGTCATCCGTGTTGAGTGAATTGTCTGTACCATAAACATTCTTTCAAGCCCGCGCCGTTTATTAGAGAGGAGGGCTTTTTAGAAATTTGAAGTTCTATTCACGGGGGAAGGGAAATAATTTTAATTGCCATAACCACACTCAAAAGAGCGCTAATGGTAAGAAAGAGATTAAGGATAACTTAGATCTCGATCAGCTTAGTTATGTTAAATAATCAAACAGCAGCTGGATTTTGGAGCCACACCCACGGCAGTTTTAGCTACTCCTTCCGAGTTCCCGTTCGTTACTTTCTTGTCTGCGTTTTGTCGCACGCTTCTTTTAAAACTTCTTTTCCTCGCACCCGAAGGGCTCTCGACTTTGGACAGTTTTTTCAGTCTGTCTTTCAGTTCTCGACGAAGAATTTTGCCGCTCAATGACTTTGGAATCTCATCTATAAACTCCACGCCGCCTCTCAGTTTTTTGTAAGCTGCTACATTTTCATCAACAAATACATGGACATCCTTTTCAGTGAGTGTGACATCAGCTTTACGCACCACAAAGGCCATTGGCAGCTCGCCTTCCTCTGCATCCGGAACTCCAATGACTGCTGCATCCTCTATGGCAGGATGTGAAATAAGGAGGGCTTCAAGTTCAGCCGGGGGGACCTGGAAATAGCCGGATATTGAAATCACAAAAACCGAAGAATTATTACTAATGCAAAAGGCAATTAGTCCGTCAGTGATTCAGTCAGGTGGTCAATCATTTTACGTTTCCATACCTGATATCCTTTGTATTTTATTAACTCCTTAACTCTGTCAACAATAAAAAAATGTTGATCCTCGTCATAATGTCCTATGTCTCCTGTGTGAAGCCAGCCATCATTATCAATTGTCTGTGTAGTTGCCTCTGGATTGTTGAGATATCCTGTTGATAAGAGGGTTAGTTAATAAATAATAAATAATTCATTAGTTATTAATAACTGTATCTCTTCGTGAGACGATATTGCCGCTATGCACGTATTAACTTAGTGTATGGCCAGGGTATTGGTGAGTCCTCTTCAGATCAATTGGCAGGAAGACACAAAAATTTACTTAGGTTTCTTTACTTGCGAAATTTCTTTTTCACTATAGAGGTTGTCTGTTCTAACCTTTCATGACTGTTGGTCCTTGGACACAAATTTCGCCATCACGACCAGGACCTAGAGCCTCCCCAGTCTCCACGTCAACCACCTACGGACGACAATAAGATAACTCTTGGATCGAGGGAGGAATTGTGGGAATTTTTAAATACCTTGCTTACGCCTTGCCCAAGAACAAAACGAAACGAACCAGCCAGTGCTCGAACCCAGGCCCCTCGAGCCAGAGTCCAACAAGCTAGCCGCTGTATCATCGTGTTCAAAGGGGAGTTGGGTACGAGTTAGAGGATTCAAATTAAATTAGTTCATGGAATCAGCTATGTTCACATAATATCTTACCTTGCACCGTAAGTTTGGCAGTATGCACCCCACAGAACCGTGTTTGTTGTTTTCTGCAGGAGTCATGTGACACACCGGGCTTAGCTCGGTCATTCCATAACCTAACGGGGGGAATAATGGGAAAATCATTTTCACAATTCAAATTTTAACATACTTGAATTAGTGCTGTTCAATTAAAGAGTTCATTTTCTAAATATTCCCGCGAAATATCGTTAAGTATCTAACTATTTCAGACACTGGCTGAATTTTGGATGCACGTTCCTAGAGATGTAGAGAACTTTTGGAGCTCCCCCCCACAAAAAAAATTCCTGGCTGAATTTTGGATGCACGTTCCTAGAGATGTAGAGAACTCACTCCCCCCAAAAAAAAATTCTTAAAGACAACTTTTCGCCATTAATACTGCATACACATTTATCATCAATTCTCCTAAGAGTTACAAGGAGAGATTATGACTTAAACGGTCAGGAAAGAGGGAAAAAGTGTTCTACATTTAAGCCTATTAATCATATTTCCCTCCATTTTCAGTTAGCCCTCATAACTTGCTCGAGTTCATCCATTTCAGCTGAAAACCTGTCCACAACGCATTTTTCGATTCCATTGAAAGTCAGAAAAACTGCCATTACAATTACCATTGCCATTATCAGAATACACTTACCTTGTCGCACGCTGCTGAGGAGCGGAAGTCTGTCCATTAGAGCTTTTGAAACTTGTTTTCCCAAGGGAGCGGCTCCATTTGTGACTTCAGTCAGATATGACAAGTCAAAGTTATCAACGGAGGGGTGCTTAGCTAGTAAGAAAACCACAGGGGGTACCGCGGGAAGATGGGTCACCTGGAAAATGGAGAAAGGCACGGTAAAACGTCTCTAAATTACATGCTATGGATCATATTCACATCAAAAAAGCGATAAAAAATCAAGAAGACTAAGAATGATGACGATTTAGACCGATGGCAGGAGACAAATCTAAATTTTTGTGGCGTTACTTTATAACTAACCTCATAGTTCTCTAGTGCGTGTAAAAACTTATCCCGCTCAAATCGTGACATAGTTATGATGGTGCTTCCACAATGAAGACCCATTGACATTATAGCCACCATTCCGTAGACATGAAAAAACGGAAGAAATGCTAAAAGAACGGTTGTATCGCTGAAGCTTAGAAAGCCTTCTGTTCGCATGATACTTCCGCATGAGACGAGATTGTAGTGAGTGAGCATAACCCCCTTGGGTTGACCCGTGGTCCCGCTTGAAAAGGGAAGAACCGCTATGTCTTCTTTAGGGTTTACTGTGACGTCAGGAACGCTAGAACCGTCATCTTGGAGGAGGACTGAAAGCGACTCACATCCGTCGACGTCACCGATGACGAACACATTCTCTCGTCCCAGATCCTGCATGGCTTCTTTTGCTCGATGAACCAACTGGGGTACGGTAAGTATCCATTTGGCATCAGCCAGTTTTAATTGTTTGGCAAGTTCTTCGGTTGTGAAGAGTGGATTTGCTGCAGTGACCACACCCCCTGCCTTAAGCACACCGAAGTAAATTATGGGAAACTCGGGCAGATTTGGTAAAAACATGGCAAACACGTCTCCTTTTTTAAATCCTCGCTTGTTTAGAGCAGATGAAATTGTTCTGCTCAAATCCTTTATTTGGCGATATGAGTATGAGCGGTCAGATATGGAATCTCTCTGTCAACAGAAGAAATATTTCAATTATTGACTTATTTATTCAATATTACAAGTCTCTCTTAGGAAATAGATAACTAAGTCGTATTATCAAAGATTCTGTGACAAATACTCCAACGTACACGAAGGCTTCGCGTGACATGACATTTTCTCTCGTTACTACAACCAAGCAGGAGTAAATCTTTTCACAACAAAACTGCTCAACGTATTTGAACAAAGTTTCTTCACGAGCCAATTTTTTTTCGCCTACGATAATGTTTACCTCTATATTGTTTTTAATGCTGCAAAGAGAAGAAAAAGGTATGAACGGATAATTTTACGCGTGTTTTTTTTTTTCGGAGGAGCACTTTTAAGAAATTTAAATAAGTTGGTTAGCGAGGATTTTGAATTTAAACGAGGAATGATCTTAATCCACACCTATTCAGACTTTTTCCCCTCCTTACGACTGGCTAGAAATCAAGTAAAATTTTATTTGTTTTAGCGCTGCAGGACGCACGTTTCTCTGCCCGCAGGAAGATTTGAAACAAGTCGTAGAGAGGTTTGCCTGGGGTCTGGCACTAAACCTCTTGTCGGTTCATGCAGCTCAAGGCCTCATAATTTCCCGCGGTCGAGGAAACGCACGCACTGAATAGTTAAAAAACTAGGGCCTGTTCAGAGGCTATATGTAAAAAGGATAAATGATAGAAGACTCACGATGGCTTCCCTGTCCGCGTACTCATCAAAGTCTTGAAAAATATATTCATTCCAAGACAGATTGTCTGGAATCTCTACATCGGGATTTTTACTTCGGATAACGTTTTTTTCTTCTTCGTTGTTTTTATTTTCAGTAACTTGGGTTAGTCTGGTCATAACTCTCGCCTTAAGCTCTCTTCGTAGTATTTTACCGCTCAAACTTCTTGGTATTTTATCGATGAATTCCACACCGCCTTTTAATGTCTTATGCGGTGCCACTCGCTCTTCAATGAATTTTATTATCTGTTCTTCAGTGATCCTTTCGTTGGTCTTCTTTACGACGAAGGCTTTTGGAAGTTCACCTGCCCTTTCATCTGGGACCCCGATTACTGCAGCATCCTCTATGGCTGAATTAGAGATGAGGAGAGACTCGAGCTCGGCTGGAGGAACCTGGGAATTAGGAATAGAATGAACAAGAAAACTGAGTCATTTATGTTGAGGAGATAGAGAGGGGGGGGGGGCGGTGAGTGGATGGCTACAGGATCAGGACAAACTCATCTGTCACTAAACGGAAATAAAGTAAGTTGAAGAAAATTTATCAGAATCAGTCCCCTGCTGACCGCTTTGGTGCAAAAAGAGGAAAACGAACCGATTTGACTTTGGGACTACTGAGAGCTTCGTGCAAGAAAAAAAATCAAGCCAACAAGCAAATTAAAATGTAAATTACCTGGAATCCCTTGAATTTGATAAGTTCCTTGAGTCTATCGACAATAAAGAAATGTTCATCGCCATCGTAATAGCCGATGTCCCCCGTGTGCAACCAGCCATCTGCATCAATTGTCTGCGCGGTGGCTTCTGGGTTGTTAAGGTACCCTGCAGAGAGTTGGGGTTACTGAGACACAGCATTGTAAACCTTGTTTTAAACTGGTCGTGAATCATAATCAGACAAATAATCTTAGTAGATAGGTCCTTACGCCATTTAATTCTCACTGACGAACTTAAATGTGCTTAGAATAAAATGATGTGATAGATTTCTCTTTGAAAATACCTTTTCACAGCATTTCTTTTAGAAATCGCTACTTTAAACCAGGTAGAAATCACCTTCAAATTCCTTCTTCAAATCAAAAGGATAACATTTAAAATTTGATGTAGATTTGGCATTAGGAGTAGTTTCCAAAATCAGTTTAATTTGGGATATACCTTTCATAACAGTGGGTCCTTTGACACAAATCTCGCCTTCCTTATTGGGACCCAGCTCATCACCATTCTCAATGTCAACAACCTGGAGAGAAATTTAAAATATCATTTTATGGACTGATGTCCTTTGCAACGAAAAGTCAGAGTGCTGTACGTATTTTTGTGACCAGATTTGTGAATTGCAGATACAAACGAAAGCAGAACTGTTCACGTTTCCTTAGCTTCATGGGAATTTTTTTAAAATAAAAGTTGGAAAAATATGACTTACAACTATGAAAAAAAAAGACCTCTCTCGTGGTTAAAAGAGGGTTTCAAATGATAACATTGGATTTTTATTAAGTCTGTAAGTTAAAGTGGTGAACAGGCATTAGAAAAAAACGCTGAAAAGAATATTATTCATTAAGAGCTTTTTTTAGCCTTTTTCGGAGCTGCACTTACCTTGCACTCAAGATTTGGTAGCAGCATTCCCGCAGATCCATTTTTAATCTTATCAAGTGGTGTCACGTGAGATGTAGGACTCAACTCCGTCATGCCGAAACCTAATCAAGAAAAAAATTATAAACTTGTGTCAAACAGATGTAATTAACTTCTTGGCTACGAATTTGGCTCAAGTAATTTTATGCTTATTCTCTCTTTCTTTCCTATTTCACTGTGACGTAAGCTCATGGAGGCACTGTGGATGTAAGCTAAGAGAAGAGGGGATGAAAGGATTCTGTCTTGTATCGAATGAGACTTCTGCCTCTAGAATCAATGTTTCCTCAAATATTCCTGTATTACCCACCTTGCCGGCACCATTCCATTGATGGAATACGCTCCTTCACCGCATTCATTAATTCGCCTCCAAGAGGTGCTGCCCCAGATGTCAAATCCTTCAAACTGGACAAGTCATATTGCTCGACAAGTGGACTCTTAGCCAAGAATAGCACAAGTGACGGTACAACAGCTGCATGGGAAACCTAGGCAACGAAACATTGATTTAGAAGGTAAACTCAGTGCTGTGGCCAAATGATCCACACTGCCGAGGCTATGCGGGATATTGTAACATAAAACGAATGCGAGCAGAGCTACTACCCCTGAAGGGAATGCTGGTCCTCTGAGGGTCAAACCCCCCCACCACCACCACCATTTTTCACCAACCGGCATTTCTTCAGGTGGTATTTAGCCGGTAACCATTTGTACTCCTGGGTGGAGGCACTGTGTCTTACCGAAGAACACAACATAATGATCCGGCCAGAGCTAGAACCTAGACCTTGTGACCTGGAGTCGTGCACATTAACTCTTAGGCAACCGCGTTTCCCATTCTTGACTTAGAGAGAGACAAGCAGGGGGACTGGTAAATAGCAAGGAAAAAGAGCTAAGTTAGTGAGGATAAACGAAAGGAAGGAAGGTAAGATGCAAACCTTATAGTCTTGAATGACCTTGAGGAAGGACTCTGGTTCAAACTTTGGCACACACACAACCTTCCCACCTTTAAACAAGGCACAAGACATCGAGATAATTTGTCCAAAAATGTGGAAAAAAGGTAACAGGCCAAGTACGACTGGCTCGTCGTTGTTTAACATGAAACTATCATGAGTTACTATCGAAGCCTCTGCAATCAGATTATAATGAGTAAGCATTACTCCTTTTGCAGGACCTGTAGTCCCGCTCGAATATGGCAAGCAGACAACGTCCTCCCTCGCGTTGATCTCGACATTTTCCGGAAAATCTTCGCCTTCGTCTTCGAGCAAAGACGAAAGTGACTCACAATTTTCGGCCTCTCCAACAACGTACACTGTATTAATTCCAACATTCGAAGCGCCCTGCTTGACTTTGTCTGCAAACAGTGGAATTGTTATGATAGAAGTAGCTCCCGCATCACGGAGCTGGTGTGAGATTTCGTCCACTGTATACAATGGATTTAGTGTCGTTACGATCCCTCCTATTAAAAGAGTACTGTAGTAAATTAACGGAAACTCTGGCATGTTTGGGAGCATGATGGCGAAAACGTCGCCCTTCTTGAAGCCTTTCTTTCTAAGGGCCGACCCGCATTTTCTGGTCAACTGGATTAGCTGCTGGAAAGTGTACGAACGGCCTGATGGTCCGTCGACCTGAAGAAAACAAGAAACAGAATAAACTGTACAATGTACCTTGAAATTCTGCCCAAACTATCTCATGATACATGGCCGCATTTTTGAAAACAAACTTGCTTTCTCGACCACGCCTGTCAGAACCCGTTGAGTTTTTTTTATCCTAAAGGGCTTCGTGATTCTACGTATGAGCTGCTTCGAAGAGATACATACTAGAAGTTGATTGAGCTTATTGTTTTCTTGAGGAGTAGAGTACACACTACATAAAACCGTTGTTAAGAAATCTTTGTCTTTAAAAGAAAAATAAGCGCTTTACACGACCCACGATAGGATCATTGTGTTCGTGTTACTCTGTCACGTAATATGCCAAATTCTGAGTCGATGAAGGAAGCGTTTATGCAGGGAATCCACTTGGTCAATAAGGTGGTTTTCATGATATCGTATTAGTAAACAATTACCCAAGGACTATCTATCTGTAATAAACTGATTAAAATATAGAACATCAAATAATATAAAATAGCGATACAGCAGCAATCGAAATACACCGCTGTTAACAGCGGGACTTTCTTGGTCAAAATAACATTACCATAGCAACAAGAACGATCTAAAGTGATACAAACAGCAGTAAGACAAGTAGCAATTAATTGAACACAAACATTGCTGCAAGTTATTTTAAGTATATTTTAGTTACTACTTGGTTAAATGCAGAAGACGATTTTATGGTGCAGGTCCTAATTGGTTTTCTGTGAACTTTGAATTTATTCTGCACGCTTTTTGCTGTAATATTTCGTGCGCATGAAGTTGGTAGAGTTTAAAAACAGTCGATTTCCTATGTCAGACCCGTTAGAAATGACATTTGAGGTGTATATAATTTTTTTGGTTATGAGAATGGGGGATTTCTTGTTCTTCCGTACGAAGGACTGGAAATGATACATTTAGAATCCGTCAGAGAAACAGAGTTAGAGACCCAGAGCACAAGAAACAAAACAAACACCTTCGCTGCGTCTAGAGTTAATCGTAGAAGATTAACAACGCTTTTTACAAATATAAACACGCACATGAATTGCTTTACCGACTATGATTAATCCTCACCGAGGAATCGATTTTCTTCCATTTCGTTCGACTTTGTGAGAATTAATTCAACGATTATTTGATGACCAATTCAAAACACCTTAATGTGCCGATCAAAGTTGACCATAAAATCATAACAATTGAGTTTACTTCCCATGAAACAATCTGTTTACATACTGCATCGTTCACGAGTCCTAGAAGTTAAACGTGACTTTTCACTTAACAAGACCTTGCAAATGACAGACTAAAATTTAATCCCGTTTAACTGATGTACTGTACTCACAATGGCCGTCTTGTCTCCGTAGTTTTCAAAGTTTTGAAATACAAACTGTGGCCACGAAAGATCTTCAGGAATGTGAACGTCCGGCACTTTGCTTTTCACGACCATTTCCGCTTGAGAGTAGCACGTTTCAAACGAACCTGACACAGACTGTATTACACTTGAAATAAAACGACCGTCAGTTGATGGTTTTCAACTACATGGGTCAACTGAGCGAAGTAATCTGTCATGCAGTTTTGCTGATGTGATTTTCAGTTTTCAAGCATGAATTAACAGTGGCTATTGATTGGGTATTTGACTTATTGTTCGGTGTTTTCAGTGATTATGCAAAATGAGGTCGTAATTACACTGATCATTTAAATTCGCTTTTCTCAGCGTGGACAAAGAAACAACAGTTAGCTGGTTGTCACGGAAAGTAGATGTAAACAATTTTGAAAAGCTGAAAAATATCTATCCATATTGAAGTTCGTGTTGATTTTGGCACCTCTTCCTACTGAAAACTAAAGATTTTGAGGTATCACTTAGTCACGATCAATATTTATCACAACATTTGTTTTAAACCGCTTTTAATTAAATGACTAACAGAGAACGGTGTTAACATCTAGGAAACCTTTTTAGCCGAAGTGTCGGGTTTGCGCTTCGATTTTTTTAAATCAAGTTAAGAAGGCAAGCTGTCACTGATATGGGGTTATTTTATTAAACGACAATGAAGAATCACCAACATTAGCGAATTACGTGTGAAGTCTTCTACGTGACGTGTCCCTTGGTTAAAAAATGCTAATAAACAAATCCTAGTGACGTCAAACGAGTAGTCGACTGGAACTCAATGAGTTAACCTCACATTGCTCGGGGGCTTTGTGGGTTTCACAATGGTGGCCGGTCACGGAGAGATCGCTGCCATTTTGTAAACCAAAGAGGTTCAGCTACGAGGTTGAAGTTGGGGCACAGTACTTGCGTGATAACAATTAAAATCCAGAGAATGCGAGCTGTTAATGTTCTCTTATTCAAATTCATTACGTTTGTTTATCAGTGAAAGGAAGAAAACATGGGCCGTTGGCCAAAGGCTTGCAAAACACCCATGATCTTAAATTTCAGATACCTCCAGAAAATGATGCTTTTTGCACTCATTTTGGTAACACTGAAATAAAATAATAGGGATTCTGTTGTCCCTAAATGCATCACGCGAATTGAAGTCATTATCAATCGCGATATCTTTCACATTGAAAGACGTCAAGCCATCATCTTTTCACTTCACCCATCTTGCTGAAGTTGAATGTTTTAGAGACCTGATGATGATGATGAGGAGAACGTTTTTCTTTTTTCCTTTTTTGGTTGAAACAAATTTTCCCTTCTACACCCAAAAAGAGAAGGAAAACTGCATTTATTACTCTTGAAACGTGCTTACACGTGCTGTCTTTGGTGCTTTAATTATTTCATTTTTTCTTCTCGTTCTATAGATATCCCTTATTCGTTTGCTGTGGTCACTCGTGCCTGAGGATAAAATTCGTACCTCTGTCAGCAATGAAAAAGGAATGAAAAAGTTAGCCTGAGGTTAGATCTAAAGAGGAGAGTGGTGTGACAGAGGCACAGCGGCAAATATTTCAGATCTATCCCATCATGTCAAATGATATCAGTAGTTTGTGATCGTGTGCAACTTTTGCCTTTTTTTAATTAGAGAGAAACAAACTCAGAATATAAAAGTAATTAAGATATTTAAACAAGCAAGTACTTTTGTCAATTATTTTAACGACACTAAAGTAATTAAAAATGGTTGAATGGCTTAAAAATTTCTTTAAATAAACAGGAAGAGGAAACTAGAGAAATTTAAGTATTTCTTTTGTCGTTGCAAATATTGAAATCGATACATAATATCTACAAAAGCTCTGATGGTTCAACCTAAATGGCGGTTTCGGGTAAAAGAACAGTCCATGACAGTTGGTTTTGCTTTGAACATTCTAACACAGCAAATGAAACAATGGCCGTCATCACGATAGGTATGCAAGCCAATTTAATACGTAAATTAATGTTTTGTCGCTGAACTTTTCTGTCTTTTCATATAAAAGAAAACCATTGATGAGATATGGAATTTATTTTGTTATTTCTCTGCAACCAATACGTTTTTACAAATACGAAGATTGTTTAAGCAATATACCACACTTTCTATCGGTTTACCGGCGTAACAACCCCCACGGGATGTTGAGAAAACACGAAAACAATGTGTGAATCACGAGCCGAAGGCGATTGCATGATTTACAAACTTTTCGAGTATTCTCCCTACGTCCAAAGTAGACTATTGCGCTGGTAAACCGATAGAAAGTGCGGTCTATTGCTTTTATAAAATAAACTTTTAATTTCTTGGTATATACCATTCTATTAAACGATAGGTTTTTGACAAAGTAGCGCGCTCATAGTATTTCTGTTTTTTTATAACTGAAGGAAATTGAATAATTGCCGTTATGGCAGTGGACCGGTAAGTTTAATCTTAAATGAGTGTCATGTTATTGGAGATTCTGTCATTTTTATTTTAAAGACAACTTTTCATTGTAGGTCGGAATGAAATATGGAATTTATTTCATCATTTTCTGTGGGACTTATTACAAATGAGCAAATTAATTTTTACCTATCCAATGGATATTTAGTAATTAAAGAGACAAGAGCTCGGGGGGGGGGGGGGAGGGAAGGCAAAAGAGGATATTCTTTGTTGTGTTTTTGGATGACGAACTCCGTTTTTTATAAGTCATCTTACGAAAGTTGTTTTTCCTGTCATTTTTACCGTCTATCACAAATACTAACCCTGCGCTTCTTCCCTAAAAGAGTAAGAGGTACTAGTAACACAGGTTCCTCTCTTAATATGTCTGCTAAGTTCGTAGTCGACAAATTTGGAATTTCTTTTTAAAAACAAAGTGTTGTTTTTATTCTTGTTTAAGGCAGTTGATCACAATCATATGGCTCAGTGTTTTTCAGTTGTTTATATACATACATACATACATACATATATATGTATGTATATATATATATATATATATATATTAACTCTAGTTGGCGTGTAGAGTGGTATGTTGCTTGCACCAATCAGATTTCCACATTAGGATATCGCGGTATCTCGCGTGTAATTGTGGCCTTCGCAAGAGCCCTCGTCGATTGAAGTCGAGATTATTCGGGATATGTGTGAGTTTAGATTAATTGAGCTTTTTCTCTTTCTCTTAAAGTGAAGTAATGCGATATTTCCGTTCTTTTGAAAGTTATGAAAACATCTCGACCTATCCAGCTAAAAAAATAACTCTTGCATGGTATGCATGCCTGTTTTAATTCCATTCCCAGATCCAGGGAAGGCAAAATTGTTCGCACAGAATTAAGAGACAAAATGATTCAAGAAACAAACGAACTGGTACAGAATCCAGGAAGAAAAGTAGTTTTCTTCAGAGAGAAACTCTTTACCACGAAACAATGACACTGTTCTGGAGGAAAAACCTGAACATGTTACGCGATCAGAAAGCTGTGTTACATCATGAAAGGAACTCGTGCTTTTATACATGAGGGATAAGCGATACCGCTGGTTGTTGTTGATAAATCGTGACCTTAAAGGCCATATTCATTTGGGGCTTCAGTCGGAAATTTAGTGGTTCCCATTTATACTGTGACCGCTGTTTCTTTGGGGATTGTTTGTTTTGTTAAAGATTACAATACAGCATAGCCTTTTTGATATCATTCTATTCTTTACTGATATCGTGGTACAATCTTCTTCAAGGCTGTTACGCGCTTTTGCGGTGAAGCTCACTTAAGCAGAAACGCTCCAAAGTAAGAGTGAGCAGTCGACATGTAAAGTCTGACAGATGTCGCGGTTTGTAACTCTATGGTGTCACCAGCCTCTAGATAAAACGCTCCCCCTGCATAGTGGGGTCCTTCTGGTACGTTGTGGGAATGTTGAAGCATGGTGATAAGTTCGTGGTGATTCTTGAGAATCAGCACTCTCCCGCTGCTGCGAAAGTACAGTTGTGCGTAGACATAATATTTTCCATCTCGAGGCACACTCAGACGTCCATGACTGTACGTCATGCCGTCCTCGAGACGGCTGTGCACATTTCCCGCATCCTAGTCTGTAATCGCTGTAAGGAAATTTTCCAGTTGAATATTAGTAAAACTGAGAAAGCCCTTGAAACAACCTTGCCTAACCGACCTTGCCCATTGCCGTAGTTAGTTACTCTTCTGTCGGTGGCTTCGATGTGAGCCAGAGGCTGATAATAGTCCTACAATAAGATAAAGAAACAAGTATCAGTTTTACACTGTAGAATATGAAACTTTCTTATCCACATTTGCAGGTACTTGACTACATCTCAATTTTCTAAAGACTAGAGTTAAACATTTTTATAGGATGTCTACGACTTATGACTCCAGTTTTCAAATTCTCTTTTGAAAAAGATTTGACTGGTGATTTATTTTTGAAACAAGTGCAAAGCTGTAGAACTTGATTATGACAGATAGCGAAAACCGTCTGTGATAGAATGGTTGAAACAGATAGCAATTGGCCTGAAATCAAGAGTGAACGTCCTCTTGCTGAGGGGATGAAGGACATAAGTTGTTAAAGAAAGGTAATGAAATGAAAGCTGGATCGTCAATAAAAAAATATATCAGTATTTAATTCTCACGAGTGAGGGACAAAAAAATATCTAACCTCCAAAGAGAAATCGAACCCTAAACGTTCTGTTTTCGCAATCTGACGCTTTACCATTGAGCTTCAGAAAATTATGAACAGTTTTTGCACTTGTCTTACCCGTGGCGATGGAGCCGCTTCCACGTTAACGTATATCAGAAAAACACAGGACAAAAAGATTTTCATCCCAAGAAAAGCCATGGTGTCGGGAATATCTGAGAGATACTGTGGAAGGAATTGTTATTGTTCAGAAGGATTTTATGCACGAAATCAAAATGGCTTTCTACACGAAACACTACACCAGAAACTGAGCTTACCGTGACTAGTTGTCTCTTGTAAATGTAAGACCCGAAACTGGGAAAGGAAGCAATGTGTCTGTTGTTATAAGATTCTATCAAAGACAAATTTGGATGAATTGAAAAGCAGTTAGGATATTGAACAAACAAGTACTTTTGACAATTACTTTAAACGACACAAAATAAATAAACGTGATTGAATGGCTTAAAAATTTCTTTAGGTAAACAGGAAAAGGAAAGTATTTCTTTTGTCGTTGCAAATATTAAAATCGATACATAATATCTACAAAAATTCTAATGATTCAACCCGAATGGCGGTTTCGGGTAAAAGAACAGTCTATGATGGCTGGTTTTGCTTTAAACATTCTAACATAGCAGATGAAATAATGGCCGTCATTACGATGGGCCCATTCAATGCGTAAATTAATGTTGTGTCGCTGAACTTTTCTACCTTTTCATATAAAAGGAAACCAATGATGAGATGTGGAATTTATTTTGTTATTTCTCTGCAACTGATAAGTTTTTACAAATACGAAGATTATTCAAGTTACAGACCACATTTTCTATCGGTTTACCGGCGTAATAACCCACACGGGATGTTGGAATAACACGAAAACAGTGTGTGAATCACGAGCCATAGGCGATTACATGATTTACCAACTTTCGAGTATTCTCCCAACATCCAGAGTAGGTTATTACGCTGGTTAACCGATAGAAAAAAAACTTTTAATTTCTTGGTATATACCATTCCACTAAACGATAGGTTTTTGACAAAGTAGCGCGCTCACAGTATTTCTGTTATTTTATAACTGAAGACAATTAAACAATGGCTGTTATGGCAGTGGACCGGTTTTTTTTGTCATTTTTATTTTAAAGAAAACTTTTCGTTGTAGGTCGGAATGAAATATGGAATTTATTTTGTCATTTTGGCACTTATTAGTTTCTACAAAAGAGAAGATTAATTTTTACCAATCCAATAGATATTTAGTAATTAGAGAGACAATATGGAATTTATTTTGTCATTTTGGCACTTATTAGTTTTACAAAAGAGAAGATTAATTTTTACCTATCCAATAGATATTTAGTAATTAGAGAGACAAGAGCTCTGCAAGCAATAATTATGAAAATTGATAAACAGTATACTCACTGCTTGGTCTTATGTACGTGTCCCCATTTCAATTTGGGCCGCATATCTAAGAGACAAACAGGTAAGAACCATTTGAGATAAATTGTTCGTGCTTTATCTGTGGAACGCCCATAAGGTCCTTTTACCAGTAACAGTTGAGAGCTGGAGCATTAGATAGGTAGAGTTAATAACGTGAAAAATCTTCTTTACGATCACAGTTTCTCTTACAGTACTCCTCAGATATTTCCAAGATCATGGCTTCAACTGAGATGAAGATCTTTTTTTCTTGTGTTATTCTGATATGCGCCAACGTGATAACGGCTACATTTTCACAGGTAAGACAAGTGGAAAAACTATTCATAATATTCTGTAACTCCAGACCACAAGCGTAAAGTGACGGGTTGCAAAAACAGAGTGTCTGGGGTTCGGCTCCTTACTGGAAGCTTAAGATTTTTCTTTATCCAACTCCTTTGAGAAAAAAACACGGATATCCTCCTATATTTGTCGACACAGCTTGAACTTACACCCACTTTCTTTACTCACTTGTGTCGTTTAATTCCCTTCAGTAAGAGGACATTAACTGTTAATTTTAGGCATTGCCATCTGTTTCAACCATTGTATCTCACACGGCTTTTGCTGTCTGGAATTCAGAATCAAGTCTATAGTTTTATGTTTGAAAAATTAAATGATTAGTCTAGATCTTTTCCAACAGAGAAGGTCAAATGTAGATTCTTAACTCGTTGACATTCTAAGAAAATCTTCATCGAAAAAAAGACTTAAGAAAAGAGAAAAGTTAAGATTTAGTCATGTTCTCTCGAAAGCAGGTGAGAAAATTTCATAATTTACAGTATAAAACGGATGCCCACTAATTCTACGTTATTGTATCTCCAGTCCAAGGTTTACGCTCATATCGAGGCTATCAATAAAGGAAAAGTTTCCTATCAGGCTGGACAAGGTTTGTTGAAAAGACTTTGCTTGCAAAAAGGACTGTGCGGAAGGTGTTCAAGAACTTGTAAAATATA